CAGTCAGTCAGTTGGGCGCCTTGCTAACTGGGTAAACCGTGTCACCCCCCAAGGATCCTACACTCGGCTTTCACTCGAGCTGAGTCGCATCGAGTCGCGCGTGTGCCATATCGCGTTTCGTGCTGTGCGCAAAAAAAGCCGAGGCCTGAAGACTTGGCCACTGAACAGTGAGTAGTGGTGGGCTTAGGGGGGTTTAGGGGGTGCTTAGGGGGTGCTTAGGGGTCTAGCTACTGGCTACTGGGTACTGGGTAATGGGTAATGGGTAATGGGTACCGGGCTTCGAGGACTGAGGACTGAGGACGAGGCCACCACGAGGAACCCTCCAAAGAGCAAAAGAGAACACAGGCTCTTTACATTTATAGAGAGAGAGAGAAAGAGAGAGGAAGCGAGAAAGAGAGAGACAGCGAGAGATAGAGAGAGAGAGAAGGTGGCTGGCGTAAAAGGGACAAGGGTGTTTCAAATTGCCTTGGCTTGGCTCACAAAAAAAAAACCAAAAAAAATGAAAAAATCACGAAATTGTGCAACGCTTTTGAAGTTTGAAGTTGTTGTCTGGTGAAAAAATATAACCATACATATACGTATAGATAAGTCGCCAGATATATTCGAGCATGGTTCCAAAGTTAATTACCAGAAAATCGGATAATTGCGGCTGTTCATATATGATTTACAACAGCCATTAATGTAATAGTTATTGTCACGAATGTGCTTTCCTGAACATTTTCGATGAATGTATGGCCATGGAGCTGAAAAACAATTTTGTCGGTTCTTAAGTTACTTACGGCAAATTCTTATTAAAACATTGTTTTTGTTATATACTTTTAAGAATTAAGGTTACTTTGAAGTTCTATATTGGTCATGAACTATATTTAACATTCTAAAATTAGTCTTAGAATTTCTTTTTGCTTACTTTTACTTTAGAAGTGTAGCCAATACGTTTTTATTAATATTAAAAAGTTTCTCTAGTTTGTTTGAATTGTATAAAAAATTTATAGGTTTGCTGCAATACTTTCAATGAAAATATTATACATAAATATTAGTTAAACAGGATATGCCTCTCAGTAAAACTTTAAAGTGAAAATATTAGATTCAAAGGGTTAGAAAAGTTGGTAAATAAAATAAGTAGCAGATAACCTAACTATTTAGACCATGTTTGGCTAGGGAAATTTGTTTAGCTGTAAAATGCCAGTTTTTTTTTTTTAAATGAGCTTTCCATTTTTGTTAAGAGTTTTTCTTATTTGTGGCTACTTTAACGTTGTTGTGTTTCCTAGTTTCAAGCACTCGATTTGTAAGGACCTAGTTGAAAACGAAAGGACACGCAATTGTGGCCCAGAATCGAAAGCGAACAGTTTTATTTTCTTTGGCCAAAATCCATAAACTTTCGACGCACTAACTGTCATTCGTGCGACTGTGTGACTTTTGTGTCGCCGAGCGGCTATATTTGTGTTTGTTCCGCGACTTTTGGGCGCTTAAAAGAGCCAGCAACCCCCCTCGAGAAAATTGTGGGGAGTGGAGTGTTGGACCGGTCGAAATGGAGCTACCGAGGGTACGATGACTGCGATGACTGCGATAACTACGATAACTTTGTGGCTCGTCCAAGGACCCAGCGGGTTAGACCGGAGCCCAGGGCGATTTGGTTAAGCATTTTGTTTGTCCACCACCTTACCAGCTACATCCTGGAGAGAGGGCTCTGCAGGACCCCATATAGAAACCACTCCCCCCCCATCTACATCCACATCCACACTCAAACGTACACTCACACACAGAAAGCACAGTCACACAGTTCAATCTGCCCCCAGGCTGTGCGTGTTCAATTGGTTTTCCTTTCATTGTTGTTTGTTCGTCGCTCTTGTTGGTTTTTCGGTGTAAAAAATTTACATAACCCAAATTGCCGCATAAATAAATTATTAAATACGTGACGTGTAAATGGTCAAAGACCAAACACCAAACACCAAAGACCAGCGAACAGAAGTCGACTGGCCTGGTCTGGTCTGGACTGGTCTGGCCTGTTCTATTGTCCGACTCCCCAGGGCTTGCAATCAGGGCGCAATCCAATAAGGAGATTGTGTTCTCGGAACTGCGAGCCCGCCGTCATATGCCATATGCCATATGCCACATGTGACCTATGCCAATCGCATGGCGTTGAAGATCCCCACTGGAAATTCAATTAGGTCGAGGGCCAAGGCTATTTAATTCACTCAAAACGATCAAACCAATTAAAAAGTATATCTTCAATATTTTCTATTCCAAAAAGTTCAGCAATGACCTATTTTCGAACTGGTTCCATTAAAAGGTCTTAATTCTAAAATAGTTTTTTAGTTTTTTCATTAATTTCCAACTCATTTTTATAGATACCCGTAGATAAGTCATAACCAAATTAGCTTAACAATCTTTGGTTGCAATAGGAATTCTAGTTTTCAACTATACATATACAAAAAAGAGGAAATAATGATTTACATTCAAAATAGTCCATTCAGTAGAGAGACCAAAGCAAAGAAAACCCAAAAGTAGCTATACATTTGTCATGTACATTTTAGTTTCAAATTAGGGGACAAATAGAACCAGTAAATTATTTAATTTACTATTTAGCTAGCCTATCAACGTACAATATAAAATAGGTTAGCCAATGGCAAACGTCAGTTTCCCAGATCCTATAATTTGAATAATAGCAAAACGATTTGGAGACTACCATGTAAACGTTGCCCTCTTAACCTACAACTTGTAAACGCTTAAAAAACACTTTAGGGCTTTGTATATTTCATTCAAGGTGAGGCTCTAACACTCTTTTAAATTATATATTAAATTTAGCAAATTGAAGGTAATGGGAAAGGATGGTAGTAGTAATTTTTTAAAAGTTTCTTTCAAAGTAACTCCCTGATTTGGTGACCCTATTTGCTGGCTACTCGATAATTAGTAAAACTAACTTGTTCTCAGTCCCAAAAATACTTGGTGACCCCAATGCTGGGATTTTTGTGCTAAATATACTTGTGCATCAGTCGGAAACGCAGTGTGGGCAATTAATGGACCAGTTCGTATAACTACCCAATTAGCAACTGCGTTGGTGACAATTTGGTGACCCCACCACCACTACGTGGTTGGACAAAGTTCGGATCGATTGGTCGCCGTCCAAATGCGCGGCGCCCAAAAGCGGGTCAGCATGATTTGTGATTATAACTGGTGTTCCATATTCGGGACTCATGAGTTATGAACGCAGTCGGACTTGACCAGTCCAACTGGTGCCAAATGTCCGAAAATAATGGCCCACTGTTGCAATGGGGGGGAAATGGAGCTGTGGAAAATCGAGAATGGCTGCTTGATGACCTAAAAATAGAATAAGTCACAAATGGCGGCGAAGGCGAATAGCGAATGGCGAATGGCGAATGACGAAAGGCGAATGGCGAAAGGCGAAAGGATAAGCGGCGAAAAAGGGTGGTAATGTGGCACAACAAAACCTGTGTTGACAACGACTTAGTGGTATAGGGTGGCATTTGCTATTTCGTATTTCGTATATGCTATGTGGCGAAAGGACCTTACACACACACACAAACACACACACACACACACACACACATTCGAGTACTGCTTCTGCTCCTTTTGCGGCGGTTTCAAATAAAGGAAGTCGCGGCGAAGCAGACAGCTGCATTCTTCGCCCAAAAACGGAGTTACCCAGAGAGTGCTGACTCTCTCTAGAAGGCTCAAATCGCTCGGTGCTCGTTGCTCAGTGCTCAGTGCTCGACTTTTTATTTTCGTGTCCTTTGTATCCTTTGTGTCCTTTGTGTCCTGCTCTGCGTTTACGTGCGCGCGAACGTTGCATAAACATAAACAAAACGCGATTGGCAGCGAACTGAAGCGGTGCTCTGCGCTACATCGTTTTTTTTTACTGTGTAATATCCAGTGAGATATTATCCTGCCATATTCAGTGTGCCCCTATTTTTTTTGAGTGTGTGAGTGCAAGCCATCAAGTGTGCAAAGGAAAAACATAAGAAAGAAGTGCAATCGATAAACCTCTCTCCAAAAGAGTGGTATAAATAAAAAGAAATGTTTAAATACTACAATATGTACAGAACAGAGAAAGAACAAATGAAATCACTAAATCACTAAAAGACATTTAAACAAAAAGAAATATTAATATATTTAAAGAAAACAAATCAAGACCAGGGCCAAAAACAAGAGTTGCATTAGATTAAAAGGTCGAATTATATTCCCACGGAAATCGCAATCTCGTCCTTCCGTTACTGCCTTTTCTCGTTTTTTTTTTGTGGTTGGCTTGCCAGCCATTAGTTATATCCCTAATTTTTCCCAATTTCCATCCGATTTTCAACAACTTGTTCGCTTTCCTGCAGGCGACGCTGGCGAAATTGAAACTAAAACAGCAACAGAAACCACAAATAATAACAATAATATTAGCCATAATACGGAAACAAAATTATAATAATAGCAACAGCTAAAGCGAAAGGCAAACACATCCAAAACCACAAACAAAACCGAAATAATACTTATAATAATAATAATAATAATATTAATACAAATAATAATAAACCGAAACAGCTCTGGGATCAAAACGCAACGTTTGATGAAATTTTTTGGCAACACGTCGCGTCGTCTTGGTTGCTGTTAACCACATCCTGCTAACGCCAAAAATTCAAATAATATTCAGCCGAAAAAAAACCAATAATAATACAAATTAAACAAACAAAACGAAAAGCAAGCAAAAATACAAACGAAACCAAAAAAAAAAAAAACAAAAACACAAAAACCAAACAACAAATTCATCTTCTACTTGTTCTACCGCTTCAACTTTATTCGTCTTCGTCTCCGTAATAAATATATCTATATATATTTATAAATATATTCATATATATGCATATGTGTGTGAGTGCGTCGCGTGTGTGTTGGTGCCTGTAAATGTGTGAGCCACAACAACAACAACAGCAACAGCAGCCAGAGCCAGAGAAACAACCACAACAGCACCAACAACAATAATAGTTAACAGCAGCAACACTTCTCAGCAGCAACAACAACAACAACAACCAGCAAGCACCTCCACAACAAAAGCAACAAGAACAACAACCACAATAGCAACTACAACAACAGCATCAGCGGATAGAGCGAGCAGCCAAAGCACAACATCGATTGACATCGATTAACGGTAAGTTGGTGCCATAATAATCGAAATAATCGGCGCTAATGTGTCAATGTTTTGTTTTTCCATTTTCTTAAGTTTCTATAGGAATAGTTATTGTTTCCATAATTCTCCACTAGACCTCGATGAATTATTAAGTCCCTGCATCTATCTTAATAGACGTTAGGCTTTTTTGGACTTACTATCTTTTAAAAATATATTTTTAATTATGGTCTTTTAGGCCATTTGTTCGTTTCTAAGAAATAAATGTTTGAGGCGATGCTCTCTTCCGATGAATTCATACAATAATTTATTTGCGATACTTAGAGCCATTATTTGCAACTATTTTAATCAAAACTTTTTGTGAACAAGAAATTGAACTGGATTGTAAATCTTAATTTAACGTTCTTGTTAGTTTTTGCCAGATATGTACATATATGATGTAATTAATAACATTAACATAGGCATTATAATTAAAAATAAATCTAGGATGGACTATCAATAGAATCTTATATTTTCCAAAGGTACCTTTTTTTAAAGCATTCAACCTAAAGTAAATAAATCAATAATAATAACAATGATTAGTAGTTAATCGAATGTACAAGCTTATTTTGAACACACAATTCTTATGGAATTTAGTTATTAGGGAGGAATCCTTCTTGAATTATTTGTTATTGGTGATTATTAAGTATAGCATACCTAAAAGGGCAAACTTGGACATGTGCGAAAAATGAATGGAATTGTTTTAAAGCTTGCAGTATTTAAATTTAATATTTAAACAATATATATACAAATGAACTGAGCAACGGGCGACTGATGAACTTGGCTTGATTATGTCATGCCTTCTTGCCGTCTTGGTGAAAATCCCAGTTAACCAGGCCCGAGACCTCAAGACTATCAATGGGGTATCTTTGCCCCCCCATCCACCCTTTACCCTTCACCCACCGCCCCGCCGCCTCTTTTTGGCCCCAGTGCCTTGCCCCTTGCTTTTGGGCTACAACCTTTTGCTGGCTTTTGGAGGGCAAACTTTCAGCTGCCATCAAAAGGCAAAGGGGGTGTGGCAGGGCGGGGCGCGGTGGCTAACGGAATTCCTTCACTCACTCACGCACACAAACACACAGACACACACACACACACATGGACAAGAGGTTCGTTAAGAGAAGGAAACCCAAAAATGTATTGTTGTAGTCCGCGTTAGGCGGCAACTCAAAAGAGAGAGCGCATCCTCTCTCGGCGCAGGTGAGAGAGTCCCTCTCGTCCTGTCAATCCGTGCGCTCTCACTCAATCTCTTTCTTTCTATCTCTCGCTAGCCCCAATTCGTTCTCACGCTCCGGAGGCATGCAAAATTCATTGACTAACAACTAACTGCTAACTTCGTTCAGTTTCGCTGTTTGTTTTATTCCATTTTTTGTCCTTTTTACTTGGCCCCTCGATTTTTGGTCAACATTTAAAACGAGCTGGCGAATTTGTCATATTCCATAATCGATACTTTGATTTGCCTACAAATACATTTTTGCGCCTGTTTGGTCTTGTTTGTGTGCTCCGATTTTTTTTTCGCTCATGTGTTTGCCATTTCATTTGCATATTGACACAAATTCGCTGTTTTTTTTGAGGTTTTTTTTCGGGTTTTTTTCGGGTTTTTTTGTATTTCAGTTTTCGCATGACTCATCGCTCAGCGAATGGCCAAAAATTAATTCGGCAAACAACTTTTTGCGAGTGTCATGAATGAAACAGACACACATAAATATATGCTCATATTGGCACATCAGCTTGTTTGTGTGGGTGCTCTTCTATGCTTTATGCACAGTGCTGGTGTATGAGTGTGTATGTTAGTGTGGCGAAATATCGAACTGACCTACTTTTATGCTCAATACACACACACACACACACACACACGCAGATTGGCAAGTGGAAAAAGAGTGCTTTGACCTTAGCGGAGGCTGCTTATATAAGTCCAATACCCAAAAGCAAAGAACAAATTTGTAACTCCAACTAGCATCGATTGGGATTGTTGTGACTAGGCTTACAAATTTATAACAAATAAAATATTGATATCAATATTATTAATATAAAAAATTATTGATATCAATATTATTAAATATTTATTAATTATTAATAAATAGTGAAGGAGACATGAAATTCAAGAGCTGTTTTTTAATTTGAGTTTTAAAATCCCCTCTTGCTGAAATTTTGTAAATTTTACTTTCATTTGATAGTGGAAACTCTAAAATTTTGAATTATTAAAACCCCTCTTTTGCTTTTACTTATTAGATTTTGGTTTGTTTTTTATTTTTGATTTATAGTGCATAATCAAAATTCAAGCGGAATTTTCATAAGGTCAACGCCCCTTGAGTTTTTAAACATCCACTAGCTAGAAATGTTGCATACGCCACTGTATATCGCTTTTATTGATTGGCCATTGCTTTTGTTTTGTGCGCTTTACTTTGAATTGCAATTCATTTAATGCGAAATTCCTTCTGCGGTAATCCAATTAGTCAGCTGTTGAGGTTTCGATTGCGACTCGATTCCCCGGGATCAATGTGCACCACTCTAGTCTTAACTTAATCGAACTTTAACTATTACTAATGGCCAAACCCTTCTTGATTTACTTGCAGCATCGTGCTAAGCGGCGGGCGCTAATCGAACATGGCGCCTCGGATATAGTTGTAGCTTTAATGTAGCAGGCGACATCCATGTGCCTCATGTAAGTACCCGATTTACACCCATATTAACATAGTCGTAAGTCACAAATAATTATGTCCAGTCTACGCTTATTCATCATTATTAATTCCACCTTCAAAAGAAAAATGTAATTAAGCTACAAATTGTGTACGATTGAGTATGGTATTTTACTTTTTGCTGCAAATAATATGCTAATTTATTTTTTCTTCGTAATTTAATTATTTTGTACTTCAGCAAATCGCTTGTCTGTTCAATTAAATTATATATCGACGGAATAAGTTGCAACAAGTTTCGGTACAATAATTTTCGACATGTTGGCTTAACGCAACTCAATTATACAATGTACAACAAAGTTAAATTTTTGCTTAACTTTATTTACATACTCAACAGTATGGTTCATTTTGATGCGGAAGGTCATAATGTAATCATATTGTACCAATGAGTTGGTCTAAAGTAATTTGAATTTAAGATATGCAAAACCAACAAACTTTTAAACTATGTACTTTATAGAGCAAAAATCCTGTGGGAACGATGCTTACAAAAACGTTATTTATCATAATTAAAAGCAAAAGGGTGTACGAAACGTGGCCTGTTTTATATTATTTAAATTATTTAGCTAATTAAAGTAAATTAAAATGAAATCTCGGAACCTATAAAAGCTAGAGATTTGGGACTTGACATGCAGATTCTAGTTATTTTTGTGCAGCGCAAGTTAATTTTAAAGCTCATGGTAGAAATAAGTTTTTGGGCTGTATATGTGTGTGTGTTGGCAATGCAGGTCGACAGATGGCGCCACCCTAACCCCGATTGTTTTGTGGGCGAATATTTAGTTTTAAATTTATCTGAACTAAAGGCATATAATAGTTGGGAAACTCGACTATAACTCGACATTCCTGCTGTATTTTGTATTGTGTTCAAACATAACTGAATGACCCTAACCAAGTTGTTTTGTCTTTTGTTTGCAGGCCTTGGAAATCTAAGGCTCTCATCGTTGGCCGCATAGACAATGACAGAAGATTCCGACTCGATATCTGAGGAAGAACGCAGTTTGTTCCGTCCCTTTACCCGCGAATCATTGGTGCAAATCGAACAACGCATTGCCGCTGAACATGAAAAGCAGAAGGAGCTGGAAAGAAAGAGAGCCGAGGGAGAGGTGGTAATTATTTCTAGCTGAATGTGCATAGCTTACTCGATTTTGTGTGCCTACTCTTCTACTCTTTCTGTATCTGTATCTGTATCCGTATCTGTATCTGTATCCGTAACCGTATCTGTATCCGTATATGTATCTCTATCTCTTCGTCTAAGTGAATTGACTTCCAATTGAGATCGAATGCCCAACGGTCAATGCTGATCGCTGATCGGTGATCAGTAATTAGTGATCAGCTATCAGTGATCAGCGATAAGCGATCGTCGCTACTGTGCGCTTTTGTTCGTGCTTCAACTTAAGCCTGAACGTCTTTTTAACGTAATATATATATATACTCGAATATGTTATACTAACTAACCCTAATACATAACCGCATATCAACAAAACATAACATAACTTACAAGCAGTCATCCTCCGATTACGTATCTGTATATCGAATGCGTCTGTGTCTACAGTTCTACTTATATACATCTATATCTATCCCATCCCTTTTGTCATTACAACCTACAATCATGTGCCTCTGTAAATGCAGCAACTATACATCGAACCCATCTCTGTCCATATCTGAGAGTCACGCCATTAATCCACCGTGCCTGACCCCTGCCATCCAACCTGAAAACCCAAAATAACTAAGCAGATCCAGAGGTCGGATCTCTTACTGGTCCTCAACTCTTAACTGTCAACTGTTTTCCGTAATTTCAACAAACACCCTTGCTATCATTTCACCAATTTCAAAGTCAAAAATTCGTAAATGTTTTAGTCGTAGCTAAGACCCCATTCTAATTGAACTCAAATCTCAACAATACAGCATATAACAACCTACATTCATTTCGATCTTCAGTTTGGTTTGTTCCGTATGATTTTCAACAAAATTCCAAAACGTAAAAGTGTCGAAAAGAACAATAAAATAATTTCTGATTTTCTCCTTTAGTTGTTTGTACTCGTATTTTGTATTCAGCATAAAAACCCTAAAACCCCCCCCAACCACCAGCCAACCCAATATGCTCTTGTACGTGTCGATATCGTAACGTATTACTATCGAATCTGTAAAATTGAATTCCTGCCATAATCGTTGTATGTTCGTTCGTTTGTTGGTTTGTTTAATTGTTTTATCTATTCGAACGTAAGAACTGTGTATTCTGTAACCCATTGGCTTCGTAATGTGTTCTAATGTGTATCCTAATCGATTACCTAATCAATTTTTTGTATTATTGCGTAACATTTAATTTTAATGCCAGCAACCCCAACAAATTTAACATTATCATTGTCGTATCGTTATCGTATTCGTATTCGTATTGTACCAGTCGAAGGCTACAAAGACTTAAGTTATATTACTTGATTTTCGTACGATTTGTTTCATTTTGATTTAGCCAGTCGCTTGGGTACATGAGTGCCAAGCCCAGTCCACGTCCACGTCCATGTCCATGTCTATGCCCATACCCATGTCCATGTCCATGACCCCCATGACCCCCATGACCCCCATGACCCCCATGACCTCCTCGTCTCAGCACACTCAGCAGACCTCACCGTATCGTCTTGTAAATAACCGACTCGCTTGTGAATACGTGTATAAAAATTCGACAATCATTAGTGCCAGTACTCAGTTTCAAAATCAGACCATCACCAACTGAATCATCAAAGAGCTTATATTTGCATCCATCTTGTGCACTACTGGATTGAGCTCAGGAATCAATAATGACAGGGTATTTTGAAAATTTCAATATACAAATGCTACGGAATGGAGTCTTGGAAATGTATTCTTTTGGAATCTTCATAGAAATCGATCCAAAACTTATCTTCAGTGGTCTTAGCTGACAGATACAAAACTCACCGAAATAATATATATAGGCGATACTTCACTATAAGGAAGTGCCATTATAATATATGTATTTAATAAGATATTAAAGGCTATGAAAGCAAGATCATTTTTCGAAAAGCCATTAGATTTCAGCCAATCAAAAAGAGAAAATTACATACCAAGTCATACAGCTGTCTGTTATAAAACTCAAGACTGAGGATCAATATTAAGTTCTAAAACTGAAAGCCATGAAACGCAGAAAACAGGAAGTGCTGCAGCTCAATGCTCTGGTATAATCAATCATGGCAAATCCTGTTATGAAAACGTATTAAAATCTAAAAGCTCAATCAACTTAAACCGATCATAGCTGTAAGATGCCTGCTATGATATCTTGTAAAAAAAACCATTAAAGCGCATTGTCATTAGTCACCTACACAAAGACAAGCAAAGTTTTTAACCCATGCGCACCCTAGTCAACTTCAAACTATGCTCTCTCTCTCTCTCTCTCTTTTTCCGTCTCAATTTCTGTACCTATCTCTGTCTCGGTAACTCTATTTCCTTACGTCCCTCCGTAGACCTCTCACTCTGTAAAGACCATTCCAAACACCCAGTCACTAATACAGACAACCACACACTCTATATAGATATAGAAATCAGAGGGTCGCAAGCCACTCACATTATTCATGATCTATTGCGAAGATGCGCAAATGCAATTAGGGGTATATATCCATATCCGATATGTGCCATATGTATTCTTCCCCTGACATAATGCTGAAAACTGCTCGCCTACATAACCACTTTCTACCGTTTGTTTTTTCTTTCGTGTACTCTTCTTCCGTTTCATTTACAACTTTCTCTCTACTTTTTGAACGCTCTCTCTCAACGAATAACTTTTGCGCGCTGCTGTCTGGACAAAAATGAATACAACCATGACTATAAATAAATAAAAAAAACCATCAATAATGAATGACAAATGCATATTCGGCGCTTGCATAATGCAATCAAAACAAATTACGAAATACTAAATCAATACCGATATCAATACCAAATCGAACATGAACTTTTCTCTACGCTACTTTTTACTTGAACTTGATAATGCTCGTAATGAATGCCCTAAACCAAATACCAAATCCAAATCTTCTTTCAGCCGCAATATGGTCGCAAGAAAAAACAAAAAGAAGTAAGATTTTGCTCAGAAAAAGAAACCACAACAAATAAGAATACCCACCAATATCCACTTATACCCACCAGTACCCACCAATTCCCACCACCCCCTTGACCGACCTTTTGAGAAAACACACACACACACACCTTGAGAATCTCAATTCTCAATTCTCAATCTCAATCTCAATCGAAGGAAAAGTTTTATGATTTCACCTTTTTGTGCCTTTTTGAGTTGAGATTTTATTGCCACAAATCGTTTTCCGTTGCCATTTTTCGTTGTTGGTTCCTCGTTTTCTTTGTGCAACTGCTGCAACTAACCAATCAAGCCAGCCAATATCCATACCACTTAGCTCTGTTTGATCCAGCCCCCACACTGGTGTGCCCCCAGATATATGCTCAAGACATATGTATCCACCATATATATCTTTGTATCCGCTCCTTAAATGTAGTCCTCAAACGTAAGCTTGTATCTATGTACCTATATCGTAAATTCGTTCTATATCTTTGCAATACTATAACTTCCCACCGCCCTGGGCCGCTTAATGCAAAACGAATAATAATAACAAAAAACAAAGAAAAAAACAAAAAACAAAACAAAACCGAAAAGCTCACCTGTAAATAGCCAAAGAATTACTATTGCAGCTGGAAATTCGCTTTTAACTTTTTCGCTTTTCTCAGCCTTTGCTTTGGGTCCTTGCAGTGGTTTTTGTAAAATAACTCTAGTTTATTGTCTGTGGTCTAAACAAAAATCAAAAAAATATTTGTTCTAAAGTTCCAAAATAAATAAAAACAAAACCTAGGCAACCAGGGCAAATTACTGGGAGGACGAATAAAAGTCCCTAAAAATATGAATAACAAATCAATTGTAGGTAAAATTATTACCTGATTTGCTTTAATTAATATATTTTCAGAATAAACAGTAGATTCAAAAATGTAGATATGATTACTTATAGATAACGTTAAACTAAAAAATTGAGAATTGCTTGTAAGAAGTTCTAAATTTTTTCAAAGGAATCAGTGCTGTTTTGAAGTAATTAAATCTGTTTTAATTAAAACAAGAAAGGAAATTCATATACCCTTGCAGCTTTTTCAAAAATGAAATATTCTTGAAGCAATAATATTATGATTTACTTGCGTATGTTTAAAAGCATAGCCGAAGTTTCCTTCCTTTCTGGTTTTAAAGTAAATTCATAATATGTACTAATGATTTCTGAGCTGCCGGCAATTATTATTTTGAGCTAGGACCTTGCAAGCGCCTCTGATACTTCGGCTGGCCGATGCGAAGACCAAACGTTTTCTTATATTTTATCTATTGCTGTTAAATATAATGCTTCAGGATATAAGTGTATAAATATTCCCTTTGTCGCTTGCCCCCTGCCATTTGGCATTGCCATAGTTATTGGCACTGCCCCGGGGGCTTCAATTACTTATCAAGGTGGAGCCCCCAGATGACTGAGTGCTGGCTAAGGAGCTTAGCGAACATGCCCGAATGGCCTGGCCCCAAGGCAGGAATCAAAGCCGCCGACACAAACACAGAGACACATAAACACACGGCTCTTCGTCCTGGCTTGGGTAGAAGTATTAATGGCAAATCAAGGGCTCCAAATGCTCCAAGTGCTCCAACCGAACAGAATACCCCCAACAATGTGTATCCCTAATCGTATATACTATATATGTGTATCTGTATATGTTTTTGCCAGCTAATACTTGAGTAATTTGTGTGTGTGTATGTGTAATATTTGTTGTTCTCAATGTAAGCAGATGTAAGACATATATACCCATATATATATACATTTATACAATATAAATATATCAACTAGCCCCCCCACACACACACTCAACTACCTGATCCAGATCCAGATCCAGCTCCGAACCTCTCGACTTTAGGCTAGGCTTTAGGCTAGACCAGAGATTTTAGGGCCAGGAACCTCGTTTCTTTTGACCATACTATGCAGATGTCTGATGATTTAACGGCGGCGAGCAATCCGCAAAGATTTCGCACGCGCAAATTTTTGCATTGCCCCGCACCTCCACCAAAGATATATCAGAAATTCTTCCGACCTATACAAACGAGTACATAAAAAAAACCTATAAAGAACGAGGCAAATGGTAGCGAGAAAGCGCAGGAGAAGTCAAGCAAATCAAGCGAATCAAGCAAATCAAGCAAGCAAACAAAACAAACAAACGAAGCAAACAAACAAACAGAAGATGAGTCACCAAGCAGAGTGCCCAGCGTACTGTAAGTTGTGGGAGGTGAATCGAGTAAGTGCCAGCCAAAGTATTGAAGTATTCAAAGTATCTCATCCAAGGACATCCCGATTCCTTCGGTTATGTATCGGAGCTAGAGCCAGAAGTCCCTCACACATATTGCTGGGATCCGAAACCGATCACAGAACCCGTTTTGCTGAGCATGTTAAACAGCATCCAATCCAATTTTATCCCACAATATCCCAGCAATATTTTGGGACTTGGCCTAATATCGTTAGTTCTTTCCTAGCTTTAGATGAACATCATTAAGAGGTTTATCAGTTTTGGTTACGTTTCGGTTTGAACTATCATTTGTAGTTGGCTTCAGACAAAACGTAGAACCTTCCCAACCAAAACCCGAACCAAAACCCGAACCCAAATCCAAACTCGAACCCCAGATCCAAAAATACGCCTGAAACCCGTTTCCGTTCCAAACCACCTGCCATTTCTGTAAAGGTGTGCCTGGGTGTATGTGTACATAAGTGGGTGAAAGTGCGTGTGCTTAGGTGTGTGCATGCCATCGTAGTTGACGTTGCATGGCGCATGAAAACTTTCTCTCTCTTAGCAACTTTCTCCAGTTCCTTTTCAACTCGTTTGCAGCGATTTCCTCCTTTCCTCTCACCCATCTAATTGGAAGCGTTACGTATCTAAACCTATTTAACTTCATGTATCCCGCTTTTTCCTTCAATATCTATGCCTATTTATTTCCTAAACTAAACTTAAGTCACGGAGGAAACATGTTTCGTTTGCCTTTAAAACGTATCAAACGTCTTATTCCCTTTTCAATTCCCTCCTAAATATATTAGTTGTAAAAACCTATCCCAACCTAGTCATAATATAATTAGTTAAATTACTGAATACAACCAATACTTTTTCAACAATGAAAACATTCTTTTTCCGTAAAAGAATAGTTTTAACTATCCCTTTCTCTCCTAAACCTAGGTTAACAAGGGTCATTATAGTTATCCGACTGACGTTGCAGTCTTCCTTTAGTCCTTTTGCTTATATTTATTTCCGTTTGCAATGCAGAGGCTATATTAGCTAACCGTACGGTTAGCTAACCCCGAACTAAACCTAACCTCATTTCGTCATTACGTTCCCCGAATGCGTCATAAATTTGTAATCAGTACGCGGACTGCGAAAGCGCGAGGACAACTTATGTCCGGTCGGAACCGGCTATCTGCCTCTCTTTCACGCCCCCCTGCGACGTGGTGCGGTTGCCTTTTATTAGTTTAAATATAGACTCGAGTCGGCTGTTTAAAGAGGCTCACCACCCATCGAACCACCAACTACGGATACGGAATCGTTGTTCGTGTTCGGTGTTTTGGTGTCCCAGTGTTGCAGTGTTTCAGTGTCCCAGTGTCCTGCTGTCCCAGTGTGCTGGTGTCCTGGTGTCCTGGTGGGTGCCGCAATTGCGTCAAAGCTTCGGCTCCACAAACAGACACACTCACACACACACTCACACACGCATACAGCCACAATCTAATTGTCACGCCAAGCCAACTATTATGGAATTTTTTCATTCTCCTTTAGTTTTCCTTTTGTGGCTCACTCTCGCTCTTCCTTTCTTGTCCTCTCTCTACGTATATATATATGTATGTGCTCGTTCGTGTACATATAGTGGGTCGTACTTGTACGATATATACCATATATGGCATATATGGCATATATGGGCAGAGCGAGAAGGCGAATCGAACGTTTCATAAAGTGACGTTAGAGTTTCTGTGTGCTTTTGGCTCTGGGCTCTTAATTTAACTTTTGGCACTGCACGTGTCCGCGTCCGTGGAAAGTAAAAACAGTGGGTTTCAGTACCGACGACCCCTTGTCTGACTGAAATCGATAGGGGGGCAGATGGGATAGGAAAGTATTGGATTGGGATTCCGATGGGAACCCAAGGCAGTCGGTCGCCAGTGGGCCAAAATATTGTCATACAATATGCATGTCGAGGCAATTAAAAGTTGCCAGCAAAACATGCAAGAATAATGTTTTGTCTAGCCAATCAAAAAATGTTTGAAAAATACAAAACGTCGACTCGGTGACATTGAGTTTACCTTCCTTCCTTCCTGCTCCTGCTTGTGATCCGATTCCCTTGAATGTCCCATCCCTTCTATAATAGATAATGTATAGCCTAGTATTTTGCACACTTTAGCTAGTTTACCAACACTGGACACGGTTTTTCAGTTTCTATCTATTGACGGGCATGCCACACATTTACACAAACACACACACACACGAAAAGGGACCTTGTCCAACACTGATTACCTTTGTTTCCTTTTCCGTTTCCATAAACATTTCCGTTTCCGTTTTGTTTCCACCTTCTACTCATTGTTTCGTTTCCGTTTCTTTGAACCCGACAAAAGAACAATGATGAATTGAAAAATAGATGAAAACCATTGATACGATGAAGCGCCCAAAAAGGTGTAACCCAGATATTTGGTTGAACCGACTTGGTGTTACTTTTGCATACCATCAGAATCTGCTCTACCAACCCATATACCAGACCCCAAACTGTCTCCTGCCCTTTTGCTTTCTCTTTCACCCTGTATATACACAATATATATATATATATATACTTATACTACATACCCACATATATATTAAAACATATATATATATATATATAGACAAAACTCTGATATGATATGCAAAACTGAAACCATCACGAAATTCTTTAATCCGAATTGAAAGCGCTTGAAATTGGTGTTGATTAGTGTGCCGCTCACCTTACTCACCTGACTTATGATTTCTGATTCTTACATATCCGTTTTGAGTTGGCTGAGTCCGGACTGAGTCGTGCCGCGTGATTGATAGTCTTGGTACGAAGGTCCTTGCTAATCTATTGTTGCCCTACCCGTTCTATTCTCCCCGCACAACGCACACCTCAGATCCGATATGATGACGAAGACGAGGATGAAGGTCCACAACCGGATCCTACACTTGAACAAGGTGTGCCAATACCTGTTCGATTGCAGGGCAGCTTCCCGCCGGAATTGGCCTCCACTCCTCTCGAGGATATCGATCCCTTCTACAGCAATATACTGGTAAGTCATCGTCTCTGACGCATATAGTACGATCATAGCTATGGGGCGGGGTTATAAAAGACACCCAATAACCAATAACCAATAACCCAACCGATAATCCGATAATCCCCGATAATTGACCAGCGATCGACGCTCTCTTGCAGACATTCGTAGTTGTAAGCAAAGGAAAAGATATTTTTCGCTTTTCTGCATCAAAAGCAATGTGGCTGCTCGATCCATTCAATCCGATACGTCGTGTGGCCATTTACATTCTAGTGCATCCATTATTTTCCCTATTCATCATCACCACAATTCTCGTCAACTGCATCCTGATGATAATGCCGACAACGCCCACGGTTGAGTCCACTGAGTAAGTATGCCCGGCCAGAGCCACCTAATGTACAAACTTTGCATAAGTTTAATATCTGACCACATGTAATCCCCGACTGAACACACTTGATTTGGTTCCCGTAGCTAAATTTGATTTTCAAACTTAATTCACTTGATTTCAGTTTCCGTTTTCGTTGTTATTTTGTTTATTTTTTTTTTTTTTGAATTTTATCAACTAACGTTATGATACTCTGTACTAGTCATATAAGTATATAAACATCTATATACCTATGTGCAATATTTAATCGACATACTTAACTATATATTTAAACGATATTATGCAATACTATATATGTAACTTTTTCGATATTTATGCAGATGTGTATTTAGGTCGAACTTAAATTTCTTTCCTCTATGATTTCAACAAAAGCCAAACGAAAAGAAATCGAAAAACAGCAACAAACCAAAGTGCAATCGATATGTAACACACACCTGTACTATACCTATATATAAACCCATTTAACTGCCTAATCAATCTCTATAACCTACGCAGGCGTGAAGGTGAAGATGTCGAGTAAAGTAAAGTTCCTAGGTAGCTAATCTCAAGCCATTTTTCCAGTAAGAGAACCCCAATATCATGATGCATTACTATACTATACAGCTGTGGTCAATTGGGAATCGAATCGAACCCAGATCTGTCGAGTGCATCCGCTCTTGTATGATATGACACCACTATCGCATCAAACTGCATACATACGTATCTAACAACTATCTAATATTTACTATATATGTACTATATACTCATTTCCGTACTCGTTTCTGTCGTGAGTAACTTTGCAATATTCGATCGTTCGACTGTTCGATAACTCGATAACTGGATCATAGAGCCATTCAAATTAATCATTCCAACTGTAAATTTGCCACGCTAGTCCATCTGTGATTGGGCATCACCCAATTTTATCGTAATCCGCAATCGCTATCCCCCCGATAACCGACCATTCTATCCTCAAGAATTCGGGGATTCGTAGAGGTCCAGCTGGGACTGAACCAGTCCAACTGGTTGGTTTTGGTTTGTTCACGTTTCGAATTAAATTCAATCGATATATCATTTGTAAATGCAGTAACTTTGCTCCGTATATTCGATTGTAGTTTCTAGCTACCTAGTCTATATATACACATATATCCTACACATGCTTAGAGCATACAACTTATACAACTTTTAATTATATCCATAAATAGATAATATAGTAAATTGTTTAAGTATCTATTAAGTAAACCTTTGTAAACCAGAACGTATTGTAAACTGAATCCCTTATAATAATCCCAAACTAGAAGCAGAATTTAGTACATTTTGATCATCGTAAATATGTAAATCATATGTAATCATAGTGTCATACATAATTAGTTAAGATCCCTTATTATCGAACCTAGTTTTAGAGAATAAACGATTTTGTATGTAGGGTTAGTATCGTATTGTTTCCAGATCGCTTTGGATGGGGGAAAGTAATGTAGATACTTAGCTAGCTTAGAAAGCCCATATCCTTAGAACAGTTTATGGATCCTTGGATCCCGTATTTACATATAAACATAGATATAGAAATCCCATATGTCGTCAGGACATCTGTCTCTCGCTCTTTTCACTCAATAGTCTACTCCCAATCGATTCGATACGTACTTCTAGTTAGACTCGATTCGATTAGTGCTCATCTAGAACTCGTTATCGTTAATCATTCAACAATCCTAGAATATTGCGTATACGTAGCCGTAAATTGTACATAGGTAAATGGTAAACTCTAGCGACAAATGAACTTAAGAAAAGCCAAGCGAGCAAAAATGCTTTAAAGAGATCGCCTCAGAGCGACAAAAAAAAAATACAAAAGCAAAATGTAAAGTGAAAAGAGTTACGTCATTTTTCTAGCTGATATCAAAGTTATTGTCGCAGATTTGGTATCAGAATCGAGCACCCTAAGAGAAAAATAGAGACGAACGAGACAGAGCGAGCAGCAGAGCAGAATGATGAGCAGAATCAGGAGCAGGATAAGCATGAGCTTTAGGATAAGGAGGAGCAGATGGCAGCCAGATGGAAGTGCAAACGGAAGTGCCACTTGAACTTGGCCAAGGGTTGGTGGCGTTCGAGGGTGCAGGAAAAGGGATGGGATGCCATGGACTAGAATGGGCTTGAATGGGCTAGAATGGTATGGCATGGCATGGGGGCCTAAGCAGCAGGTGCCGCATAACTTGAGACACGCACACACGCACACACACACCGGTGAAAAGTGAAAGTTTGAATATATGGAATGGCCGGAGAATGGAAAGCCAGAGTACACTCCTCAATGTGGGTCGAGGTGGGCGTGCAGAGAAAACAATTCCATCAGGAATTGCCAGTAAGAGTAGGTGATATGATCCAAAGCATTAGTATATTTAAAAACCATATTCCTATTGTTTATGTTTGACCAATACTAGTAAACTTACTACTGTTCGTATGAAATTTTACAGCTTAAAACCTAATACGTATTTGCCTATTTTTATTACATTATTTAAAGGCTATACAAATTTAGTACAGAATTTTCGGCGAATTGATATTTAAAAAATAATAAATAAATATTAACAATACAATTAAATCAGAATAAATAAATTATTTTAGGGCCATAACTTTTCGTAGTATTTTTTGCCACTATCCTACAATGATTTTAAAGTTGGTGAACGAAAGCCTAATCATTATCACATTGTTGTGGCAATTAAACTACAGGGATAATAGGGACAGGGATACATAAAAGCCAGAAGGATACAATTTTGTATAGACATTCCTGATGCCCCATTGTTTCTCGCAGTGCAGGGGTCACACTTGTGCCGGCCCCTGAGAAACACATAATACCTGCAATTAAAACACACCTCAAGTGTCCTTCACAGGCATTGGGGCCTAGGTCAGACGCAAGACCATCACCCCCCTTTGACACACCTCCCCCCCTGCAGTATAGACCCCGCAGAGGCTTTAAACTAGTGGCGTCGTCCAAAGGACAACGACAACGACAACGAGCGTAGAGAAGGGTGTCACTGGAGCGCTGTCTGCCTGAAATATGTCAAATGGCTAACCAGCCAGCGGGGGCGGTGGTTAGTGGGCGTGCCAGCGGGGAGCGTGGACCAAATGGGCGGATAGACGGATGGGCGAATGGGCGGACAGTTGACCGAAGGTCGGCATATTGATCTGACACCCACACGAACAGCTTCCCACACAGCACAAAGGCAGCGTCAAGCAGTTGGCCGTTAAGTATTAACCATTATTGACATTGACAATTGTCTATCTGCATCTGCAATTCAGTAATTAGGACGGTCGAGTACTGGCCAAGTGTCTTTTTGATCTGCGCCTTCCATTTGGTTCCATGTCCCCGGTAAATTCTGGGTACCTGTGTACCAAAGACAAATGTTGCAATACTAATGGAATACTGTCTACCCTTTTTTATTAGCATTTAAACTTGAACTTAAACTCGATTTTGTATATCAAATAAAAAGCTAAAATAAAATAAAAAAGGTTTCGTAGGCATCGAACTTCAGACGATAGGATTATGGTAATCTGTGAATCAAGTAAACACTTAAAATTTGCAAATAAAATCCTTTTCTATTGGGCTACATTTGAAAAAATACATTTGTTTCGAAAAACGTTTGGATTCAGGATACTATTCAGATTTTGTTCTCATGCCAATTTTTCCCGGTTGATGTTTTTGCGTGTGTGTTATGCTTATTGAAAGAAGCGGGCTGTAGTAGCGGGAAAAAAACGAGAATAAATAGCCATTTGTGAAACTAAGATATCGCTAAACTCTTTGAGAGACAGGGGTACATGGGTTAGTCTAATCACTTAAGTTAGTTTTAATAAAGTACGTTTATATTTATTTTTTCTAAAAATCAACGGCGACAATGTCTGCCGATGGAGGCAAATGGTATCTGAAATCAACGCTGGACCGGAAGTGCCAGTGACTGGAGATCGCCACAATGGGAGCCAGGAGTGTAGCCTACTTATAAGCGCCATTTCTCTTCCAATTCACTTTGCAATTACTATATTTCAATTTTTGATTTTCGATTTCTATGTAACAAGAACCCGTCTATTTTCTTGGACCACATTTTGCAATTGGTTTTAGTTTTTGTGTGCGTTTGTTTGTTTGGTTGTTTTTTTTTTTTTTTAATTGATGACCCATCATCAGGCAGTCTAACCAAAAAAATAAACATTTCAAGCAACATTTGAAGTGCATAAGAGCCAAAGAAGACAACAACAAATTGCATTTCGAAATTCAATTCGTTTTTAGGGTGATATTCACCGGAATCTACACATTTGAATCAGCTGTTAAAGTGATGGCACGAGGTTTCATTTTATGCCCGTTTACGTATCTTAGAGATGCATGGAATTGGCTGGACTTCGTAGTAATAGCTTTAGCGTGAGTTATATAATCCTATATAATATAATATATATTACTTATTACAATTGAATAATAAATTATCATCCATTCGTATATCACGCTTACAATCCCCATTAAATACAGCTTAAACACCGAAAACAAAATGTTTCATATAAAGGCGGCAATTTAAACGTTGACTTCCAAAGTGTATAAATGCTGGCAATTTCTTTCAATCTTTTAATTTACTGAGATAACAAGGAATAAAATAATAATGAATATCCCGTCAATATAAATGCTAATATCTGATAAATCTGGGCTACAATACCCACTTAACCGTATCATGAACCTTAAACTTTATGAATTATATGGGATATTATATTATTTTCGGTGTTTAGCAGTAAGTTCACCCTTGCACCAATGTATCATCTATAAGGATCAGTTCCCGTTTCTTGTGTTGCCTTTAACTTACAATTTGCTTTCGTATTGATATCGTAACTGGATCATCCATCGTAAGAAGCTGTAGTCACTCGAATCTGAATAGCAGACCTCCCACTTAACCCGAAAATTCCCTTCCCATCACTTTTTCCACCTCATATTTTCGCGCTTAAGTTTGGTTTTGTGAAACTCTTTTTTTTCTTTTTTAAGTTTACAGTCAGTTGACTTCTGATTAAAAATTAGCGGTATTTGCATACAAAATTTATTATTATTATCAATTTATGCAAAACATTCACACACCCACGTGCACACTTCATTAACATAATCGTGACTCTGTGTGCGTGTGTGTGTGTGTGTGTGTGTGCGACTGTTTATGTGTGGGAGTCGCGCAATTAGCAGCATTAAGTTGAGTCAATCAATGAATTCGAAAAAGAAATGGAATGAAAAAACGATAACTGAAGGCTGAAGGCGTTAACCGATTTACAGACATATGAATATATGCATATTTTGCTGGTCCATTAAATGCAATCAAAGAGACAGCAGCTGTGTGTTCTATCAGCATCAGCAATTAAATGAGCACGAAGTGTGGAAGGGAAGGGCGCAAAAAAACCAAAAAAAATCGTTGCTCATAAAAAGTGCACATGTTTGCATGGTGCAGTAAGCAGGAAAATCACCTGAAATTTTTCAAATCATAAATGGAATGCATACTGACAGTAAATGTTATAATATTGCACAAGTAAACATTTTCTTAAATGAGAGTATGAAATTAAAACTAATATAAATGTCAATCTAATTCCAGAAATTGGTATTAAATATTTTCAAAAGCTTAATATAACAAAAGAAAATAAACATTGAAAAGATTAAAAATAAAATGGTTGGGCTTTTTGATAGCTTTGAAATGCAATCTTTCATATATTTTTACAACAGCTTATTGGCCCTTTTATGCGATGAAAGTAAAGTATGTTTGTTGTTTACTCACCAATTATTTGCTGACTTTTCAAGGAACGCATATACATACCTACATATATATATAAAGTTAAGTATGTATGTGGGTGAGTTCACAAGAATTAATCAAAGGGATGAGGCCAACGGAAATATTAAAAAGTAGAAGCTAAAGCTAAATTAAAACGAACACAGGCACAAGACCAAAGAGCAAATGGAATTACATTCATTAGAGTCAGCAGTTGGAAAATAATAAAAACGGCAAAAGCAGCCACAAGAAAACAGCTATGGCCATGGCCATAGAATTCTATAGAATTATACGTTACACGCGAGGGAAACAAAAAAAGTCGCGTTAGCTGAGTATTTTTATTGATTTATTTTTGCCGTTTCTAATGACGCGCCCAACCATACACATACACATTAACACAAACACACACACACACACACGCGCACAGGCACATGGCAGGATTTTCTACGATTATTTCTCACACACATAAAACAGCCATAAACAAATTTTTGGTCGCTCAAGTTAATTTTTGTTCCATTTCCCCATCTTTCGGTTATATTTTCGTTCTTCTCTTTTTTAAATGGCCGCTTTCCCTTGTTCTTTTTGTCGTTTCGTGACAATTCCATTTCATTGCTTTCTGCTTCATTTTAAGCATTTATTGGAGCTGTCTATTTGCCATTCTTTTTTTGTTTTTTTTCTTTTATCCTGGGTGGCCAACAAGGGGGAAAAAGGGAGATTGGGAGATTGCGAGGTTGGGAGGTGACTGTGTCGTGCGGCACATTTGGCTGGTGGCGCCGCCAGGACGCGCAGCCTTGGCTCGTCAATGCCAGGCACGACATTTTAAAGCTCCGGCTTAAAGCGTTCGTGTTCTTCTTTGCCACCTCTCCCCACCCCGCCACCACTACGGGCAGAGAGTGAGAGTTTGGTGAAAGCAGGCCAGCATTTCTGTTTTTTTTAACACGAAAGTCAGAAAATTTTTCAGAAATAGGTTCTATAACACTGTTAAATCGAACTAACTTTCCAATTAGCAGCATTAAGTCCACATGGCGTATACGTATTTAGCATATCGCCCCTTAAATATCACGTATACGCAATTTAAAAGAAAAATTTTAAATATTACGTATACGCAAGAGAAGAAGTATTACATTGGGCATATTAGTTCAATGTTTATGCAATTAATGAAATGTATCAGTATGTTTGAAGGCACATTAATGTTTATTATTCGAGACTCCTGAGAAACTCAAACTTTGATGGTCGTTTGCCATTCGCATCCTTAAATCCACTCTCAAGATTCGAAAGTATTTCCCATTACCTTTTCTCGTTCGCACTCATTTGTGTCCAAAACAAAAAACAAAGGGCTATTATACGACAGCATTGCACGCAATGGCAGACAAATCGATAAATATTCATGAAAAATAAATGGAACCGCTGTTGCTAGTGGCACTTTTGGTCGGGGCCAGGCCGGTGGTGCGCCCACCACCCGAGAAATTCCCAAAGGATGACGTACGACCGGTCACAGCGAACCACATTCCTGGCCGTGGGGCTAAGCAGGCTCTATTAATATGCTTTTTTATGGCCAGCCACGGAGGGAAAATTGATCGGTGGGCAAACAGAACAGAATGGGGAGAGGGGCGGAAGTGGAAAATGGAAAATGGGATGTGGAAAATGGGAAGTGGAAAGTGGCCCAGGTGAAGCTAATTTACAAAATGTGTAATAAACTTTGCCCGTCCGCAGCTTTATTTATTTTAGTACCTATGTTTGGGCATATGTCAAAGTTCGCATTCATTTGGGCTTTTTATGGCATACACTCACTGCTCATATACACACACACAGCACTCGTTTGATTTACCTTAATTGCTTTGTAAGGAACAGCGAAAGAATATGAACCCACAACATTTGTAATTATATCGAATGCGATCGAATCAAATTGAATCGAAGCAAATTGTATAAATAACCAAACTACTTGCATGCCTTTAGCATTATAATTACTAATTACTCGATGACATTCTGTGTGTATATCCGTATCTGGCGACTCAACATCGAATTACCAACCACGCGCCGACAATCGACCATCCAATATGTATTACCGATCCGCAGTTATGTGACCATGGGTATAGATTTAGGTAATCTAGCAGCCTTGCGAACGTTTAGGGTGCTGCGAGCGCTTAAAACCGTAGCCATTGTGCCAGGTATGAAATACGAAGGAAATACGCATATATATTGTCCGATAATATAACACATCCCTCCAATTAACGATCCCCTCACCCCCTTCCACCAAAACGATCGTCCATGTAAACAGGCTTGAAGACCATCGTCGGCGCTGTCATCGAATCGGTGAAGAATCTGCGCGATGTGATAATCCTCACCATGTTCTCCCTGTCGGTGTTCGCGCTGATGGGCCTGCAGATCTACATGGGCGTGCTCACGCAGAAGTGCATCAAGAAGTTCCCGCTGGACGGCTCCTGGGGCAATCTGACCGACGAGAACTGGGACTATCACAATCGCAACAGCTCCAACTGGTACTCGGAGGACGAGGGCATCTCGTTTCCGCTCTGCGGCAATATATCCGGCGCGGGGTAAGTTCTTGGCTTTATCTCAATTTTTATCGGAGATTAGGTTTGAAAGTTTGGGTTGACAAATAGAGCTAGTCCTCGCAAAGAAAGTAATAATGAATTACATTAACACGGCATCTTTTTTTTTTCAAAATCAGACTCCAATTAGCTCGTACTTTTTTAAAACAATTTTCAATAATTTAAGTAGCTTAATTTTTATTCCCTATATAATTATGCGCTTAAGAAATTTCTTAGATCAGCATTATACAGTTAATTTATTTTAACATATATTTTATTAAATTAAACAAGAGCATTAGAGCGTACAATCAAATAAACAGAAGGTAACTTGATAATTATTATATTGTTAAATCGTTTGTTTGAATATATCTTCATAAATATTTATTCCTCAAAATGGATATGAGAGCATTTCTGAAACAGTCTAATTAATAAATAAATCTATCTGCCCAGTCAAAAATCCTATTTCTGCACAAGATCTTACAAAAAAATGCCTAATATTGTAAAGAGGAAATTGTAATTGTTAAAACAAATCTAGGAAAGATATTTTAAGCCCCATAACCTATTGATTACAGAAAGTGAAGAAGAGTTATGTCTCAACTAAACCAAACTCTGTTGTTTTTTTATTTCTACGCAATGCTAAACGAACTGATCCGATCTGATCGCAGGCAATGCGACGATGACTACGTGTGCCTGCAGGGGTTTGGGCCGAATCCGAACTACGGCTACACCAGTTTCGATTCGTTTGGCTGGGCCTTCCTGTCCGCCTTCCGGCTGATGACACAGGACTTCTGGGAGGACCTGTACCAGCTGGTGTTGCGCGCCGCCGGACCATGGCACATGCTGTTCTTTATAGTCATCATCTTCCTAGGTTCATTCTATCTTGTGAATTTGATTTTGGCCATTGTTGCCATGTCGTATGACGAATTGCAAAAGAAGGCCGAAGAAGAAGAGGCTGCCGAAGAGGAGGCGATACGTGTAAGTAGACACCCAGACAACTGAAACTGCAACAACAGCAGCTGCAGCTGCAACATGCAACATGCAAGATGCCATATGCAACATGCAACTGCAGCAGCAAGTGCCACGCAGTGGGACAAGAACAGACATGAACAGTACAGTACCGAAAATCACTTACTATGATATATGTACCATATATATATATATGTATGTATATATAAACACTCCAAACTTCGACACAATACGAAACGATACTTTAACCAACCTCCACAGCAGTGGTAGATAATTTCAATTTCGATTGCTGCGGTAACTCGATCGAATATTGAGAATATCTACCCGTACCAAAACCAATGACTGCCACAGCAACAACAGACTTGTTTTTTTCTTTTGTATGTACCATATGAATATAAATATGAATATGAATATCAATATAAATCGACTACTCGTATGTATATCGTATGCCCTAATATCGTATGCTTTAGCTAATTGTCTATCAATCTAACTTAATCAACTATCGCAACATCTTATCGAAACAACTACTCTCTCTCCTGTACTTTCCAATCATTGTAAAAAGTGTCGAACGCTCGGTTCCGTCTGATACTGTCATTCAGTAACTGCTATTAGACGTAGTCTTGATCACGAACCATTTAGCTTTTAAAGTTCCTGGAACTTGCCCGTATCTCTATCTCTCTCTCTCTCTGTCTCTCCATATATATCGTATATACTTAAATATTTTAACTTATGTGTAAACTCTTTGGAGATATACTCGTACTTATCTAATATATACTTATGATTTTAGTGCACCATTAGTTTCGATCCTGTCACTAGTCACAAACAATTAACGAAAATAACAAAAGAAAAAATCAAATTACTCACAACCTATACTTACTATATCTATCTATATATATATATATATATATATATTTATATATATGTATATTTATATATATATTAATATGTATGAAATAAGATCCAATCCAGAACCCTATGTCCTATCCTATACCCAAAAACCCTCCCAGCACAGCACCTTACTGTATGATTTCATTTTGATCTGTAAACCAACTATCAAACATTACCGATCAAAGTGTAGTGTAGATTTGCTTTTCGTAATGTACCAATTCAAATCCGAATCCAAGCCAACCCTCAATACCCGACCCTCAATCCCCAACCTCTAATCCCTAATCCCCCGAACCTCCGGATGTGTGAGATTGCGGAGTAATGGGACTGTACATAATCGCTAATTATAATAACAATTGTTGTAGGAAGCGGAGGAGGCTGCCGCCGCCAAAGCGGCCAAGCTGGAGGAACGAGCAAATGCGCAGGCTCAGGCAGCAGCGGATGCGGCTGCCGCCGAAGAGGCTGCACTGCATCCGGAGATGGCCAAGAGCCCGACGTATTCGTGCATCAGCTATGAGCTGTTCGTTGGCGGCGAGAAGGGCAACGATGACAACAACAAGGAGAAGATGTCCATTCGCAGCGTCGAGGTGGAGTCGGAGTCGGTGAGCGTTATACAAAGACAACCAGCACCTACCACAGCACACCAAGCTACCAAAGTTCGTAAAGTGAGCACGGTAAGTATTCCGAGCGCAGGCGCAGCATTATTCTTTACCTTTCCTTTCCATTCCAGTCTTTTCTGTTCCGTTCCGTTCCGTTTCGTTTCGTTCTTTTCCGTTCTATTTGACGAGTTTTCGTTTTTGTATCCGTTTCCGTTCCTCCATATGAACCTCCTTGTTTTTAAAATGGTTTTCGGTTTTATTATGATTTTCGTTCGGCTTTTGCGTTTTGGGCTCTACTGTACCTAATGTCTAGACCTAGATGTGTTAACTGTACTTGAATTGTGTTTGGTCGATTCTTATGTATGTGTTGCTTTCAGTTGCTTTTGGCCTCGGTTAGGTTGATTTTCCTTTGCCTTTTCCTTATAATTCTAATCGACTCCCCTGAAAGAGTCTCGTGCTCCGATCGCTGCCTATCGATCGCCAATCGCCGATCGCCGATCTCTGGGGCTCCAGTTTCAGTTTGCGTTGCAGCTTCGATTCGATTTTTTTCATGAGCTATCGATTACTTGCGTCGCCGCTACAGCTACAGTTAGAGCAACAGTAAAAGTTACAGTTATAGTTATCGTTACCGTTACCGATGCCGTTACATTGCCATTGCATTGTTATCGAACCTGAGTTCCAGTTATCGCCTATCATTTTCTATCGTTTCTCGTCGATTTTCCTTTGATTAGTTTGATCATTTTGTTGGATCTCTCCCTCTTTTGATTGGATCGTACATTTCGTGCCTTATATGCTATATAAACTTACCCGTATGATCATGCAACTAGATATTGAACCCTTTCATACCTGTATATGGATATAGTGTTAGTGCGTGTCGATATGTATGTACTATGATCTTTACCTATTTCTATCTCTCTCTCTCTACAATCTTCATTTGGTTTTACTTACGCTTTTTTTGATTTCCGTTCGTTTGGTGCATGCGAGTGCCTGAGTGTGCGTGAGTGTCGGTGGGAATTTGAACCCCAGACAGTTTTGTAGTTCTGTTGTAGGAGCTTTTGACAATGATTTACCCATTTACGTAGCTTCTGATATAGACTTATGAGTTTTAATTCGTTTTGAGTTTTGTCATTGCTTTCCAGTGATTTCGAAGTATCTTTATTGTTTCTATTTCGATTTTGGTTGGGTCATTGCTCGGAATGCTTTAGGTAACATCGAAAACTCCTTATCTAAATATATATCTTATGGTTTCTTCGACAATTGGCTTTCGAACTGCATTCTGCTCCGCCCGTCATTTTAACGCTAGCTAAGTGAACCGATAAGAACCATAGGCTTCAGATTAGTTAGCTTAGCTTGACCATTGAACCAGCGCTTGAAGCCTTTGAACCCGCACAAAAATCACTGTGCTTTTCGGTTTTCGATTTTGTTTGATAGCGATTATTATTTTGTACTCAGTTTTAAATGATATCCCTGATTTCTGGTCATGACTTGGTCACCGTTCAATGTTTTCTTTGAGTTAAAGTTTAGTTCCTGTTCTTGTTTTAATTTTTGGTAACGTTTCGTTGAGATATTTTTAGATATATTGAGCGATAGAGTTAAAGATATGATAATTTCTGTGGCTGCATTAACCATTGCATGCATTGATCGAACGTTACATTTACCGTTATAGCATTTATAAATGTATAACAGTTATAAAAGTTAACACACGCCACAAACGGATTTCGAAAACTAGAATCCATCGAATTGGAGAACGTTGCCACTCGTGCTATCATATTAGCACCAGACCAGATTGAATAAAATCAAATTGAATCGAACCAAACCAAACCGATCACAACACCTATCGGACGAGCGATAACCAATTGCGATAACAACAGATCTGCAGAGCTCTCTCTTTCTTTCCCCCTCTCGCTATGCTAAATATAGTTACCAATCACGACACGCGAGTTTTTTTTTGTGGCTATAGCAAGCGTTTGCATTTCCGCACAACACACTTACACAAGTACGCGCGCAATTGGGAGATCCTCGCGATAGCAGCCGATAACCAATAACCGACGATTGGAGGTTACATTTATCGAGCAGAAATCCATTTAAAGTAGACGACGTTTTCGGCTTTTCCGTTTAAGTCCTTATGCCACTAACACAGCAATGAACTGCCATGAATACCTAAGAAAAAACACATTCTCACACGATATATACCTAACCGATAGATAATACTGATTGATAACTCGCTATTGCTATCTCGCTCTCGCTCGCTCGCTAGCTCGTTCTAACCAACCATCAATTTTGCTCAGGGCAGCCTCAGATAGTTTTCGATAAGAGCAGAAACTATTTGGGATTGACCGTTGATCGTATATCAATAAGCCCCAAGTTGCCTCAGGTAGGTTGCTCTCTCTCTCTCTCTCTCTCTCTCGCTCTCTCTTTCTATCTCTCTCCCCACACACACTCTCTTTCTCTCTCCAACTTTCTATCTGTCTCGCTCTGTTAAACCAATCAAGCGAACTCACACAGACAAGAAACAACATGCGTACACCCCCAAAGAAAAAAGTCTGATAAGGGCATAGCCCAAAGCCAAGAACTATGTAAAACAGCCCCGACATATCGTGTAGATATATATCCCTAATTTCGATCCGCTAGCCACCCTCTGTCATGCCCGCTGAGTATGCAATGAAAAGAGATCGAAGCGCAGTAGAGTTGTGATTTGAAACTAGAAATGCATCCGTACGAAGTTTGGAAGAGATTTGCCTAGAGTTGATTGTAGAACTTACCGATTAACACTTGATTCTGATTTCGATTATTTTCGTTACCGTTATTGAGTCGGCTTTTCCGTCAATGGGACCGATTTCCCAATCGACTCAAACGTTTGTTCGAACCTTTTCTTTTTCAGTATTGTTCCATTGAAGTTTTCTCTTATGTTGGTTGATAATTCTTGACCTAAGAACCGTATAAGTATAATCCTGCTTAGAACATTTCTTTTTTTTTTTGTTCTCCAAGCCCCGACCCTTAAATATTTAGCTAAACTATTCAAATTTATATACAAACGCTACGCTGAAGTAGAACCGAAATCACACCACAAATTTAAAACTCAAATCAACCGTTCACAAAACTACAAAATGTAAAATAGTTGCTATCTTATCATGTTAAAAGGAACAAATACACACATAATAACACAATATATATACACACTCATACACACAAACACACACTTGTGTATTCTCACACAGTTTTATGAACAACTAAACGCTCCAAGTAATAACTTTTCCTTTAAATCGTAGACAACCAAAACAAATAATTTACCAAAACAAAAACCAAAAAAAAAATGAAATTGTACAAAAAAAAAATATACATTTATCCATAGATAATAAAAACGCAATCGAGGAATATATATATTTTATTTGATTCATTTTTTCTTTTTCTTCTTCTATTTATACTTTGTTTGTACAACAAATGAAAAATGAAAACGAACCGAACCGAAAAAACAAAACTTAGACATCCTTATCCTTACCTGGTTCACCGTTTAACATACGCAGGGGATCACGTAGTTCTCACAAGGTAAGAGCCCAACACACACATTCGAACAAACCACAACACACTACACCACACTACACCATACAACACCACACCACACCACACCCAGTTACACCTCAAACAGGAACACCCACTAACACGGAATTGCGTTATACACGTCCCCCCTCCCACATAATCGGCCTGTCGATAATGTCCATGTGGATATTCGAAATCCGATCCAGAACCATGGAATTAGCCATTGATCATCACGACACTTGTCGATCATCTAAGACCCACCGTCTTAGTTTTAGCCAAATAACCGTATCTCGTAGGCAGTTGCTACCGTACAGATTTGATAGCATTTACATAGTTTTCGAAGCGATTTTAATCGAACAGTGAACGAAGCTCTTGGATCATCCCCATATAAGCGACTAGTTAGCGTAGCATCCGTAACATCTGTAATTCTTTCGTAATACCCGAACATCTTTAGAACTGAAAGTCACACGTGGCACTAACCATATCAATAAGTATTCGCATTAGCATTGTCATAACCATTTCTCATACTCACCTAATCGTCTATTACTGTCTACATGTTTTTATGGTTTTCTTCTCTTCGATAATTGTTTCCTTGTTTTGTGTATCGCTGTATCTTCATATCCCTATATATATATATATATATATACTGTTATATATACTATCATGCATACCCATCTATAACGTATAGTCGTCTAACTAACTGTACTGCTCTTAACTGTACTCGGTTGTAAGTGTGTCTGTCTCTGTGTGCCTGTCCTCTGTTTGTACACCTTTGTACACCTGTACACCTGACTCTGGTTAGCTTGATCCCAGCAGTGGGCTTCGATGGGAACAGTTCTCGTACGGATGTCACTCATCTCACGGTCACTGTCACTGTCACCATCACGCTCACATTCACTATCACCACTGTCACTTCTCAATGTGCATTATTCATATAATTTTTCCTTTAGATTACTTATGATTTGGTCTACTTTGTTTTGGTTATTTATTGTGGTTGTTTTTGTTGCTTTACACTCTGTAAGTATCTGTGTAACTATGAATAACAAAAACAAAAAACAAAAAACAATCTTTTTAAGGCTGTCTGTGGTCCGCTTTATATATTCATAACCAACCAAAAATCTGTGATCTCGGAACAACCAAAATCAGCTCAGAATACTTAAAGTATTACCTGAACTGATTAAGTTGCCAGCTCATTTTATTTGTTGTTGCGCTCATAATTTATTACTGTTGCCTATTATTGCTCATTTCAAACAACCCATCGATAACGAGTCTTTCTGGTTTAAAAAAACGGCCATGTTTGCCGGTAAATAGCCCGCGTCATAACTCTCACAACTCTCGGCTAATACCACCTACCTACCACCTCCTACTACTGCTGTCAGCTGTATAAATACTTTGTAATTACTAATTACGACTATATTAAAATATATATATAATATACATTGATATGTGACTTAACTGAATGCGTGTGTGTGCGGGTGTGCGAGTGTGCGAGTGTGCCTGTGGATGCAAGTGGGTTAAAGCCGTTGAACTAACCGATCCTCACCCTGTAACCATGTCCAGTACACGATACGGAACGGACGTGGTCGCTTTGGTATACCCGGTAGCGATCGCAAGCCGTTGGTATTGTCAACATATCAGGATGCCCAGCAGCACTTGCCCTATGCTGACGACTCGAATGCCGTCACCCCAATGTCCGAGGAGAATGGGGCCATCATAGTGCCCGTATACTACGGCAACCTAGGTGAGTTTCCCCTTTCCCTTTCCCTAATTTCCATCTCAACCATCTCAATAACCCCGCAAAAAAAAAAAAAAAAACTGGCTGACAATCGATTCCAATTCCGATAACAGGCTCTCGGCATTCATCGTACACCTCGCATCAGTCCCGAATATCGTATACCTCACATGGCGATCTACTCGGCGGCATGGCCGTCATGGGCGTCAGCACAATGACCAAGGAGAGCAAATTGCGCAACCGCAACACACGCAATCAATCAGTGGGCGCCACCAATGGCGGCACCACCTGCCTGGACACCAATCACAAGCTCGAGCATCGCGACTACGTAAGCCGATCTAAGCCAACGATTATTAATCGACAAACTAAGCGATTGATTATATCGATATTTACAGGAAATCGGTCTGGAGTGCACGGACGAAGCTGGGAAGATTAAACATCACGACAATCCTTTTATCGAGCCCGTCCAGACACAAACGGTGGTCGACATGAAAGGTATGTAATGGCTGATAGGAACCCTTGATTTTTTTATGGGAGATATATTTATCGGTTTAATTTATTTAATCCTTAGAGGGATTTCAGATTTAAACATATTATAATATATGTAGGTACTTTAACATGAATATGCTCTAAGATAACTATAAGTAAAATGCCCAACAGATTATGAAAATCAAAGAATACATTTTCTTCGATAGTTTCGATAACACAAGACCCCCTCCTTTTTTCTGCTCCTTTTTAGATGTGATGGTCCTGAATGACATCATCGAACAGGCCGCTGGTCGGCACAGTCGGGCAAGCGATCGCGGTGGTAAGTGAATCGATATATGCTTGCCGATAACTGTAACTGTTTACTATTGATTAATCCCCATTTCGTTCATTCTGTACATTTTTGCATCCCAATCGATCGTCGTCTCTTTTGTGTTAACCCTTACATGTGCATTGTTCGATTAAATTTTTTGTTTCCGTTTCCTGTTTCGTTATCATGTAAATACGAACCATATACAGCGTTTTGGGGGGGAGGAGCGTGGGAAATAAAGATTGCCAGTCGATTTTCCCCGACAATCTCCTCCTCTTTTAAATAATTTAAATTTTTGGCTTTACAAAACCAGCATAGCTTAAGATCATCTCCAGCTCGATTTCTTGCCCAAATATCGAATGGAGTGGAGTGACAGTTTCATAGACCTGGTCAACAAGGCTGTTGCAACAACGATTTAATTCAATTTCCTCTCATGTTTTATGCATTTCATTTTGCATTTTGATTGCGGTCTTGTTTTGATTTTATCGGTTCGCATGCGTTTTGTGACCCCGCCTGTCCGAGTCCTTCGACTGACTGATTGATTGATTGATGGCTGGAACGAATGAGCAAGAGCTCGCATGTGACCTGCATCCTGTGCATCCCGTGCATCCGTTCATTGATATTTGATATTTGATTATCGATAATTGATAACTGATAGCTAATATAGCCCTCCTGGCGAAGAGTGAACCATGCGTTGCCTTTGTTTATATGTATATTTCACCCATTGCATTTTCCTTTGTGTTCTGTTCTGCATACTATCTCTACTCTCATGTGCATACATATATATATATAAATATTTTTGATTTCTCTTTTTGATTCCTATGCTCTCTACTCTGAGCTGAACAAAAAACCGAAAACCGAATAAGGCCTAAGCCAAGCAAAACATATGTTATATATATACCTATGCATATATATATCCATATAAATATATATATACTCCAATGAATGACTTCTTTGACTCGTCCATTTTATTTAATGCCGTTGAAGCTAACAGAAGAAAGCGAACAAGCAAAAAAGCCAAAACCTATACGACAAATGTTTAAAAACAAACAAGAACAAAAGTCCGTTCAAAAGTGCAGCCCGCAAGGCACACACACACACAGCCCAACAGCCACACACCCATATATAATTAGAGTTGTATCCTTACACAAAACACACACTCTTAATGCGGGAAAGCAGGGCGCTCTCTCGCAGCTTCTCTCTCTACTCTCCCTTAATTCAAAGCTTTCGCATTTCGCACGCTGCTGACGCCACCTTGCTCCACTCAAACACACACACACACTGCAGCAGCAGCAAAGGCGACTGAGCAGCCGGAGAGGTGATGAAAAACTCCCACTCACTCTTTCCTTCCAGGCTGTGACGTCACAAGGGCTGCTTCTTCAGAGAGGCTCAACTTGACACCCGTTTCGATAAGCATTTCGAAATTACACAAAAAAAAACAACAAAAAAAAATAAAAAGAAAAGAAAAGAAAAAAAAAAAAAGCTAATCGCGAAATTCGGGTTTCTTCCTATGTTGGTTATAACAATGCTATTTGTAGTACCTATTTTTCGTTACCTATTTTTGTAGTGCATGCCCTAACTATAATTACCTGTATATTTCCAATATTAGATAACTTTCTGCCCAAATTAGATGATTTCGTTTTTATATTAGTACTTACATTTTTCATATTTCGTAGTTGTTTTGAATTTTGGCCCAATAAAATAATTAAAAAAGCAACGGTATATTTGTTATTCCTAGAGCATGCTTTTGTTTAACAGTTCGTAGAGCATTATTTAGTTAATTCACATCCACTGTTATCTAACAATTTCCATGATTATAAACAATATATAATACATATAGAACTAATTAAACTGTTAAGTGAAGCGCCGAGCAACGATTGTATTGGAATATGATTCGCGTAGAGTTATTTGTGACTTTCCAGAGTGTCCGTGTATTGCTTCCAATGAACGGGAACATAGCTCAACCCAAAGTTAAAGAGTAGTTAGTAATCAGCATTAGACGCATATAGACTTCGATCAGCTTTAAGTCGAGAAATGCCTACATCAGTAGCTGAATAATAATAAATTGGCGGTGGACTCTTCGGACACCGAAGTGCAGATATTCTTTTCGTAAAGCTGGCAAAATGTTAAAGTGCAATTTATTTTGTATTATTTCCAAGAAACAATTTCGGATTGTTATTGTGGGCTGATTTTATTATTGAGATATATGTAAGTTTAACATTCGATGTCTCGTATATTAGTATTATTATTTTAAAGAATTGGCAATTTGCAATTTTGACTATTCTAAATACATTTTAAACGGTGTACGAAGACTGTGGATAATATTAATAATTTTTTTTAACCACAATTTTCTATTAATGGTTTGCCAGCCCTGCATAAGAATGCTGATTAATCACGGCCAAGTAGTTCAGTTGAGTTAAGACTTATAGTACCTTAAAATTTGACTAAAAATTTGCAAATCCTACCTACAAACTTTTGTTTTTCGTATTGTGCAACGTGCAAAGCAAAATTTGACAATTAGTAACTCAAAGCCAAAGCCTCTCTCACACAAGACACAAACTTTGAACCGTTTGCTTAACGAATAATATCCAATGCAATGAGCTTCAATAAAATAAAACAGCAAAAGCAAAACAAGAAATGAAAAGAAATGAAATAAAAAGAAAAGAAAAAACGAATGAATATGACAAATGAAAATGAAAATGAAAACTATCTAAAGTAAAATGCAATCTGGCTGAGTCAAAGTTGGTCAAATCACCACTAATAACAAATTTTTGTATGGTTCAGTCTCCGTTTACTATTTCCCAACAGAAGACGATGACGAGGACGGGCCAACGTTCAAAGACAAGGCACTCGAGGTGATCCTCAAGGGCATCGATGTGTTTTGTGTGTGGGATTGTTGCTGGGTGTGGTTGAAAATTCAGGAGTGGGTCTCGCTAATAGTCTTCGATCCCTTCGTCGAGCTCTTCATCACGCTGTGCATTGTGGTGAACACGATGTTCATGGCGATGGATCACCACGACATGAACAAGGAGATGGAGCGCGTCCTCAAAAGTGGCAATTATGTGAGTGCTTGCACTATATCAGATCATCTTTCATACCATATATACATATACTTATATATGTATCTATATACTTGTTACACTTGTTCCAGTTCTTCACGGCCACGTTTGCCATCGAGGCCACCATGAAGCTGTGCGCCATGAGCCCCAAATACTATTTCCAGGAGGGCTGGAACATCTTCGACTTCATCATCGTGGCCCTCTCGCTTTTGGAGCTGGGTCTTGAGGGTGTCCAGGGCTTGTCTGTCTTGCGTTCGTTTCGATTGGTAAGCCTCCGTTACACTCCACTCCACTCCACTCCAATACAATCCTTTCTGTATTAGCTGTGTTAGCCTAGCCCTAAGATAGTGTTAAGATCTTGCGAATCTAACCTTTAACCCCAGCAGGCAACTAACTAGAGTGTACCCACGTGATCCTCGCGAAATCGCAATCGCAAACGCAATAGCAATCGCAATCGGAATCGCAACCGCATTGTTAACTCGTAATCGTGCTCGTATATAAACAAACCCATTTCCTTTCCTTTGCCCTGCCAATTTGCAGCTGCGTGTTTTCAAGCTGGCCAAGTCCTGGCCGACGCTGAATTTGCTCATATCGATTATGGGCCGCACTGTCGGCGCCCTGGGCAATCTGACCTTCGTCCTGTGCATTATTATCTTCATATTCGCGGTCATGGGCATGCAGCTGTTTGGCAAGAACTACACAGGTACTTTAGGAGATGGCGATCGCCAAACCCAGTTCTGTCTGATCCCGATCCTTCCCAGCTCCCGACTTTCCCGACAAAAAAAAAAATCGAAATGCCCTCGAATTCAAAGCAATGTTCTAGCGTGCAATGAAACTATTTTCTTAGTGCAACCTTTCTCAAACTTTTTGCCTCCAACTTTTTCAACTTACATACGTTTTTGACTCTATATGCTCCTACTATATAATAATTCTTAGCTATAGCCTTGAAAGTACACCAACGTAAGATCAAGAATTCGCCTAATCCGAGAACTCGTTTCAAAAGCCACGCTTTGGGCACGGTTTTACTTTAGTTTAACACACTTTGGTTTGATTTCAACCTATATGTTTTTTAAGATTCTGCTTTTGCTGCCAAAAACAAATTATAGCGGAAAATCTTGCCCGGACTATGTCTGCTATTGTTTTTTTTTCTAGAGATATATCCTTTAAGCGAATGTTACGTTCTAAGATTAATTTTATAGTTCCGGAAATAGCATAGGCATAGCCTAAGCAAGAATGATGTAACCTGTATATATAGAAACTACATAAGTGTTTATGTATGAGAGGTTGTATCGTGCACAGCAATATTTAACGCAGCTGAAGATTGCTGTGCACGAACCTTCGGTGACCTTAAATGATATTTTACTTTAAACTTTAAATCGATTGATTTTTGAAATAATTCTGTATAACCTAAATATGACTTTTTTCCACATTATTTTCCTAATGCTTTGCCCGGCTTTCAAATAAAATAAAACCAAATCAAATCAAATCGAATCAAATCGAAATCGAATCCTAACTACATAAATAAACAACATGATCGAATCGAATCAACTTCCCATACACCAATTGCCAATTGAACTGTGAATGATCCCTCAAAAAACATAAACAAAATCAAAACAAATCAAATCGAATTCGCAAACTGCAGCTGCGTGTATTCAAATTGGCCAAGTCTTGGCCAACACTTAATTTACTCATTTCGATTATGGGACGCACCATGGGCGCTTTGGGTAATCTGACATTTGTACTTTGCATTATCATCTTCATCTTTGCCGTGATGGGAATGCAACTGTTCGGAAAGAATTATCATGGTAAGTGCAAGCTCAAACGCATCTCAATCTCATTCAAGACTTTATTCGATGTGTGTCTATGTGTGTTTATGTGTGTTTCTGTTTCGGCCATTTCTGTTCACTGTTCGTAAACGTGTTCGTAATTGTGTCTATGTGTCATGGGGATCACTGTATCCCCTTTATAGTTACCCACACCTGTCTGTATGTACTGCGTTCTTTGTGTTCACCGATCTCAATTTTTACACATGCTACGAATTCAATTGTAGAGAAATAAATCAAAACCCTAGAACCTTGATGTCTAGCATAATTGAGCTTCCGTCTAATTGGATTCTGGAAAACCATCATGCCATTGCAACTTTTAATTTATTTATAAGCCAGTAAGCGTTATCGTTAGTTTAGCGATCTGCTTAACCCATCAGTCCGGTCCGAATGAAAGCCCTAGCCCATCCAGTACAGCATAGTCGATCCGCAGCGACTATAAGAATGTTTTCATTAATTACTTGGAGCTTAAGTCCCATTATTGTTTGGCGTTCATGTTCAATGTTCGATCGAGAGAGTTCGTAAGTACTGGCCTGCCAGCAAATTGGCGGTCATTATCCTTTCTCCTAGCTAATTTACTACAAGTTCGTCTATTTGATTTTTTTCCTCCTAAGTATTATGTATATGAGAACGCAAACGCAACCTAGCTACACACTTTCGTAGCTGTAGCCTAAGAAATCATGATGTTGATGGTGGTGTGGCGTGCGATACTTTGTGCCACCCGTTTTTCGGTTTCTATATGATTTCTTTTTCTGTGTACGATTTTTCTGGCATTTACCCTATACCACACCGTTTTTTTTTTGTGAGTGCCCGCTGCGCTGAACACTTTTTGCACACGCTTTTGTATGTGGCTTGACACCGAACCCAATAAAAAAAAAACCAAAGAACACCAATTGAAACTATATCCAAATACCCCAAAAAAAAAAAAAAAAAGAATTTAAATAATGTAAAGTGAGCCAAAGTGAGCGACAATAACTTGTGTCCTATGCCATCGTCAGATCACAAGGACCGCTTCCCGGATGGTGACCTGCCGCGCTGGAACTTCACGGACTTTATGCACAGCTTTATGATCGTGTTCCGGGTGCTGTGCGGAGAATGGATCGAGTCCATGTGGGACTGCATGTACGTGGGCGATGTCTCGTGCATTCCCTTCTTCTTGGCCACCGTTGTCATCGGCAATCTTGTGGTGAGTAATCCATTTCATTTCCCTCAAATCGATAATCGATGTGGTTGTAAACGGTTCAGCGGCGTACTTGTTAAGAAAGCTTTAAAGCAAGACGACCGCTGCATCGTCTACATCCACATAACAAATGGTAAATCGCTAATCGATGACATTTCGTTGCAGGTACTTAACCTTTTCTTAGCCTTGCTTTTGTCCAATTTTGGCTCATCTAGCTTATCAGCGCCGACTGCCGATAACGATACGAATAAAATAGCCGAGGCCTTCAATCGAATCGGCCGGTTTAAAAGTTGGGTTAAGCGTAATATTGCTGATTGTTTCAAGTTAATACGTAACAAATTGACAAATCAAATAAGTGATCAACCATCAGGTGAGAGGACCAACCAGATCAGTTGGATTTGGAGCGAAGGTTTTTATCCACTTGTTTTCCAATTACTAAACTACTTTTAATTATATGATACTCGTAATACTCGTATATTGTCAACGATATAATTGCGTATACCGTTAACGTTAACTTCAACTAACCATTGGCCAGTAATTGAATTGCGTAATCGATCTAAAACCAATATCAGTATCTAAATCTATTACAAAAAAAAATCAAACCAATTCGCATTATGTAAACAATTAAAAACAAACAATCCCAAACTAAAAATACGTTCTTAGCAGACAATTTGCAAATTCTCTTTAGTTAGTTTCAAGTATACCTCCCTCCCTAGATCTAGACCTTAAACCTCGAACTCAGCCTCAGCCTCAGCCATACCAACCACTCACCAGAACATGTATTTATAAAGCCAAAAGTCTCATCTTGGTATTCATGTCGATCGAGAGATCGCTCCCATTTCTTTTGTTTGTTCGTATCGGTTCCCGTTCGATTTGAACCTAAGTGTTGTTGTTCTTTAGCCGGTCACTGATCCTCTGACCTCTGACCTCAGACCTCCTCTGACCAAAGCGGCCAGCCAGCGAGTGAGTCGCGCTGAGAGAACTGTGCCGTGCCGTGCCATTTCCGATCACATCATACCCAACAAACAACTAAAACAAATCGTAACCGTAACCGTAACCGTATCCGTCATAATTTTTAGCATTACTTAGATAGTCTGTATTTAGCTGAACCGAAAGTAATCAGTATCAGTAAAACCCAAAAACCAAGTATTGTACTCGTATACGTGTTTTCCTTAGATACATATTATTAATGTTTCTGAACATTTTATAAACTAGTTTGATCCTCGTCGTCAATACTGTTAGCAACTGAATCCTTATAACTTTGGTTGAGTTCTTTGAATCTAGCTAAAAGTTAGTAATAATTGTTTAACCTCACCTTTTCATTTCGGATTTAGGTTATTGGTTTTGGTTTTCGTTTTGGTTTCACAACAACCACTCCCCCACATCCTTGTACATTAGCATTTTAAATAGTCCTCGCTAGACTCGCAGCGGAGATCGATTGGCCGAGCAGAAGAAAAAAAGTTTGAATCTAAAAGAAAATTCCCAAATAGTAAATTAAATTATGTGTCCAGCTGTCATAACCGAAACGAAATAAAAATATGCGAAAACAGTATTAGACTCATTGTAATATGGAATTATATAAATTGAAAGTAAAACAGTGGATTTGATCCTTCATAGTGTTATGAACTTTTCTTACTCTCGTTATTCAACTTTTATTTGTTCGATTTACTGTCTGTGTATTAGTAATATGTATGGATTTTAGTTTAAACCTTAGCAACTCGAATCATCCGTCACCTTGAGTTTCATCCCCTAGCCGGGATCGGTGGAAACGGCTCGTTTCACCTGTCGCCGGCTAGTGGAAACACTTTGGTTATTTACGGCTCACCAGCTTATTCAATTAATCGATCAGTTACGTTCATTAGTTGGCATCAGTGATGCGAGTGCAGTGGAAACGCTGCTCTAGCCCACTGGCGCCGAATAGTGGAAACACTTTAGTTCAGTTCTCTACAGCGATGCGGCAAGCAGTGCGCAAACGCCTGCTTGCCCATTGATGCTGACTAGTGGTAACGCATAAGTTACGTTTTGCTCACTAGTTTATTGAGTTCATTGATCATTTTGCGATTTGTGTTGTTCGCTGTTGTGTTGTGAGCGTTAATCCTCCTCCGTTCCCTCCCAGACACTAACTACATTTGACACAAACTTCAAGCCACACGACACGAATATGAAAGATCCATTCAACACGATCCACTGACACCACCACGAACCACTAATTGAACCGCGGAGACGCGACGCTGATTAAATGTGTTTTGTGTTTCATTTGTGTGTCCTTATCGATTTAACGATTTGATCCCAATAATGAGAATTAACCGTAATATCTATCTACATTCTTTTCATTTATTATGGCTTGTCATGATTTTCAAAAAAAAAAAAAAAAAAAACGATTTAAAATTCAAAAACCCAAACTTGAATCGCATTGCATTGGCCGACGTATCGAACAACGCTCAAACCAAATCGAATCTCGTCTCATCCCAAATCAAATCAAATCAAACCAAATCGACTCAAATCAATTCAAATCGAAATCGAAATCAAAATCAAATCAACCAAAACGATCGACAAACAACCAACAACAACAACTTTAATGCGAACGGCAACTGCTTGTATGAATTATGAATTCGTTTCGCTTTATGATTTCACAACAATCGATAACCGATCAATAATCGTCATTAACCATCCGTACAACTCAATATATATATTTATATATATATATATATATATATATATATATACCATACCTCTGTTACGTTACATATGTATATATCGAACCGATTATGTAAACACTATCTATAAACCTATTACGATCGAATGTGGGATACGAAAGGCAAAGGCGTATGTCGTTGTATATCTGCAGAGCATGGTGACAACGAACTGGAGCTGGGTCACGACGAGATCCTCGCCGATGGCCTGATCAAGAAGGGAATCAAGGAGCAGACGCAACTGGAGGTGGCCATCGGGGATGGCATGGAGTTCACGATACACGGCGACATGAAGAACAACAAGCCGAAGAAATCCAAATATCTAAATAACGCAACGGTAAATACAATCCATTCCAGTGCTGCTCGCAAGCAATCGATTTTGAACTTGAGCTTGAGCTTGGGTCCTGTGGTCCCGGTGTACTCGAGCTCAAGTTCGTGATACATTCTCGTATGTATTGATTTGTGATACCCCGAACCCGATCCCACACCCCATACTATGTATAACTACTACTACTACCGCTACTACTCCTCCTAAAAAACATACTTTGTTATTATATAGAATATTTTCGTAACGACAAAAAAATTGATTTACATTATTTGTTCGTTTCTCTTTTTCGTTCATTAAATTTTCACTTTTTTTCTTATTACATATAACTGTCTATATGTGTACTGTTATGTGTGTGTATTCCACCACCCAATCAATGAAAAAAAAAAAAAAAAAAAAAAAAAAAAACAAATTATCAAAACAAAATGATAAAAACTCAACCAACCAATCCAACCAACCAACTGAACCACCCAACTGAATGAAACTGAAACACATGAACTGAAATCTCGCCAAAAACAATACCAAAAAACAAAAACAAAAAAATATATATATACCGATATATTTAAATATATATATATGTATAACTATAACTATAACTATACAGATGATTGGCAACTCAATTAACCACCAAGACAATAGACTGGAACACGAGCTAAACCATAGAGGTTTGTCCTTACAGGACGACGACACTGCCAGCATTAACTCATATGGTAGCCATAAGAATCGACCATTCAAGGACGAGAGCCACAAGGGCAGCGCCGAGACGATGGAGGGCGAGGAGAAGCGCGACGCCAGCAAGGAGGATTTAGGTCTCGACGAGGAACTGGACGAGGAGGGCGAATGCGAGGAGGGCCCGCTCGACGGTGATATCATTATTCATGCACACGACGAGGATATACTCGATGAATATCCAGCTGATTGCTGCCCCGATTCGTACTATAAGAAATTTCCGATCTTAGCCGGTGACGATGACTCGCCGTTCTGGCAAGGATGGGGCAATTTACGACTGAAAACTTTTCAATTAATTGAAAATAAATATTTTGAAACAGCTGTTATCACTATGATTTTAATGAGTAGCTTAGCTTTGGTAAGTCAACTACAAAATTAAATTAAATTTAAACTAAATTAAATAAAATTAAATTAACTAATTCAAAAGACTCCAAAAACCAGACTCGAGACTATTGTTTGCCATTTAGATTGTTGCAAATTTATGTCATTTGCTTTTTTACATGCTAAAAACGCAAATCGTAGCTTGCAACAGCTCACGAAATTTACCAATTTAACTCAAGAATCAAAAACCATTCAAAATAAGCAAAGAACAATTGAAAATGTAGTTATTCAAGCCATGCTTAAACTTTACCAAAGTTGATTGCTTCATTCAACCCCCACCCAACCCATTTATCAGTTCGATTCCCAGACTCTGCCCAGTCCAGCATAGTTCAGCGTAGAGATTTTCCGATTGGATCAGTGTTTTAAGTTCAAGTACCCGTGGTCGATGGCAATGCTTGCTTTGCGTCTAGATTCAAAGTCTATCAGGACTTGCCATCGGCCTTAACCCCCTCAAATTAATATTTTCCCCCACACAAACCAAACGAGAGAAGATAATATCTTAGTAGCTTAAATTGGTTTGCCTCTTACGCCTAGGCACATTCCTGTCAAACGGCTTGTGTCTCCGCGTAAGCTCGCAAATCTCAGTCAAGCAGCTGCTTGACTTTGCAGTAGATCGATTAGTGTTAGCCCTAGATATATACTTAGATATTCGTTATAGAACTAGATGTAGACGCTTTATGCGTATCATTTCAAGAATTTTGTCTTCAATTTCTTTGAAAATTTTTCTTTAATTGCGTTTGACTCTCATTTGTCCGCCCCCAAGAAGAAGATCAGAAAAAAAAAAGAAGAAGGAAAAGCCAAGCCGACTGTTGTACAACAATGCAGCAAAGCTTTAATTACCATTTTAATACTCATTAATGTTATATAGCTTCTTATACTGCTTCTAGATAATTGTTATACTCGTACTCGTCTAATGTTACCTCATACTCTCCTTACCACTCTATAACGCAAATGTAAATGTCCATGTGTTTCTTCTATGAATACGCAACAACAACAACGCAAACGCAACCGCAATCCTGCTTCGAATCGGAACAGGCATTAGAAGATGTACATCTGCCACAAAGACCCATACTGCAGGATATTTTATACTATATGGACAGAATATTTACGGTTATATTCTTCTTGGAAATGTTAATCAAGTGGTTGGCGCTCGGCTTCAAAGTGTACTTCACCAACGCGTGGTGTTGGCTCGATTTCGTGATTGTCATGGTAAGTCCAACGGTTACCCAAGTAGATCGCTCCCCATTCTGCTTTCGGACCACTCTATTTTATTTGCCGAACATATCTAAACCAGAAACTGAATCAAACCCACAACCAACCTCAAATCAAGACTGACCCTGGACCGAAAGGAATTGAATTGAAATGACTTGAATTACTCGAAGACGTATTAAGACTTTTCAGTTATGCCACTCCCCTTCCCTCTGTCAGATAGATAATGCTGCTTAAGGCGGTAACAGACAGTATCTCTTGACCAAACCAGCTCAGTCCGAGCTTGTATCTAAACTGTATATTGAGAACCATTGTATGATAAACCAGTAAAAAGTAAAAGTAAACAATTTGCGCCATAGACTAGCCTAGTTATTCACCATAGCTTAGAACGATAAGTGCCCCATAATAGACCATCCCTAGACATAGCTTATCCAACTTTGAGTTTCGTTTTGAGTTACCCGCCACTCTAAATCGCCCATCTAGCTGTCGCTAATTAATTTGGCCGCGGTCTGGTCCGGGGCCGATGATGTGCCCGCCTTTCGCTCGATGCGAACTCTGCGCGCCCTGCGACCTCTGCGGGCCGTTTCGCGCTGGGAGGGCATGAAAGTAAGTAGCGTCCACCACAGCCTCTCTCTATCTCTGTATCTTTCTCGCTGTCACTCTCTGTCTCTCTCTCTCTCTTTCTTCGCGATCTCAGTCAACTTCCCATATATATGTTTCTCTCTGTGTAACTCTTTCTCATTCGCATTCTCTGTTGTCTTAATGTGTGTGTGTATGTGTGTGCGGGAGTTAGTGTGTGTGTGTGTGTGCAAAGTTACCAACTAATACCATTCAATAATTATTACCGTTAAATGTTGTTGCCTCACTAACAAACTAACCTCCCTTTTGCGATCTTTAAATGACGAGCTCTTCATTCTTCAATGCTCTTTAAAACTGTTATACTGCTCTTCAGCTTGTAGTAAACGATGCAGCGGCTACCTAGAAAGTGAGAAGTGAAAAATGTTTTCTTACAATCCTGCCGCTTCACCGATTACAGCAATTTTTATGAATTTGGTTGCCTGCAGAACCAGCAGTAACCGTGAACTTCGTTGGCAAAGTGCTTAAGTTTCCCCCAGAAAAAAAAAAAAAAACAAATTTACACACACAAAACACATATTCAACCTTCTGCAGCGTGTGTGTGTATGTACGAGCTATGTTATATTATCACCGTCTTAAATTTTCTGTTTTAAATATATATCGATATTTGAGTCATACATGTGCGTGTGTATCCATGGGTGTACGTGGTTTTCTTTCGCTCAATATGTGTGTGTTATACGCTACTATCCGTCCAAGCCGAATCGCTCACACTGCGCCCAGGGCAGCGCCATACTAAGTGTTGTACCGGCCAATTCTGTACATTTTCTGCTGCCTGTTAATGTTGATGTACTTACTCCCACATATGTATGTCCCTATCTACCCAAAATATATATCTATCAGTGTCCCTATCTATTCCATACTGTTGCCTAAATGTAACGTAAAGTTAACGTAAAATATAAATTATATAAACCAATCAGCTGTACTGCAATATATACCAGAAGCTTTGTAGGCATCGTATTCCATTGCTGCCGACGCGTGCTTCAGCTTTGTTGCGTACATAATGTAACACTAGCATAATCATACGGTTATAGTTTATACAAGTAATCTAGGATCATTGTTCTAAACATACATACGTAGGTCAGTCTTAGCCTTTTAATTGTACTATATATTATATTCGTACGTATTTTGTATAAATTAGAGCTAAGAACAATACATGCCACTCAATTGGTCAGCTAACGTAACTGTTATACGAAATAAAGCGTATAACTACTTGTGTATAAGTAGTTTGGTTCAATAACTAGCCATAGTTTAGTGAGATACCTTCCCGAAACCCCAGCCCAGTACACTCCCAGTTGCCAAAGTCCGACCCCTAGATCGTTTTGGTTGTCTTAGACAGATAGTCCTAGATACCCTATCTCCAATGCCACGTCCACATGAACACAACGAATATGAACCGGAGAAATCGACCCACCTCCCTCGCCACGACCTCCAATTTAGCGGCACCAAACTATATCCATATGTTTAGGGTTATGTACATACTAAATGTATATCCCCATAATCGATGCAAGTGAACTACGATAAAGGGCCACAACTGCACTGAATTGTACAAACAAGAAGTAAAACAGTATATTATTCGAAAACTTCACGACGTCAAGTCGTTAGTGTATAGATATCGATATCGTTTACTCGTATATGTATATATACTGTATATTCAACCACAATCAGTACAATCAGAACAACCAGATGTCGAGAATTCGACAAATCGCTCATACGCAGTGGTGGCAGTGTTTTACTTACAACAAACGACGCTCCAGTCGCGTCTCGTCTCACACCAACTGATGTCGCTTGGTCTGGGCTAACTTAACTGAGCTCTTCTCCGGGGCTAGACCCCACTATTCCAGTGAAAACTGGAATCCACAATACCCAATCGAGTCCGGCAGCAAAGTTTGAGCAAAAATGTGTCAATATAGAGACAGATCAAGACAGGAAAAACCAAAAGCCGAAAGCCATTTTCAATGAGAACCTAGTGATGAGGTCGCACGACTGCACAATGGACCATCGAGGTTCCTGCATACGCCCCGATCAACACCCGATTCCATTCCCCTCGCCATAGAGTGTGTGTAAATATTAGGAAAATCTGTCGAATCACAGAACATCCATCTTCAATGACGTCTCGTTTTGTCCACGGCGTATGCATGCCGAATTCGTCCATTGTGAAGTTTGGTGCGACTGGTGGTGCAAACAATCGTTGTAGGAAACAATCGATTTAGACAGCGTTAGATTAGATCCCAAAGTCATATCTCACTCTCTGTGGATGTTTCGTCCTTTACCCGAAGCCGCCTTATTATCGACAGGACCTCCCCCGGATTTCAAAACTTTGTGTTCGTCTCAAAGAAAACAAAACAAAACAAAACACACACAACTATCGTCTCTCTGTTTGTCTCTCACCCGGAGCAGTAATCGTATCCCTAGCCTTGGATTGAACCGAAACTACTTCCAATACACATCGAACCAATCCGAAAAACCAAACCCTCAGTAATCTACATATACGTACTTTATATGCATATGTGTTAACTTGTTTTGTGTGTATGTGTCTACGTCTATAAATGTTACCATCTATGTATTTGCCAGAAGACCTATATATCTATCTATATATACCCGTACAAACTATGTCAATGTATCAACTATCGTACACTAGGCTATTGTTTAAGAACCCGTTTTCGTATAAGTCAGAAGAGCGCATTGGTAATATGCAAGTAAGTGCTCCGTACCCATAGGGCCCCCCTGTCACGTCCCCCGCCCCTTTGCCATGCCCCTTTTTGTCGAGCAGCAGCTGCAACAACAACGGAGCGAATTGAACTCTGTAAAGCTTCTTTCAGTTAGACAGACAGACAGAACCAAAAACTTAAAACCAAAAACCTGAAACCTGATACCAAACCGAACAAAGAACCAAAAAAAAAAAAAAAAAAAAGAATAATAAACACCGAAAAGAAAGAAAAACACTTTTGCTTTATTTACAAAGAATCTCTGTATGCAACTAAATATGTTAAACTTGGCACTATTCGAACTATATCGAAACTAGGTATCGCTTATCAACTTCGTTGCTTCACTTGTTGGAGCTGGTGGTATTCAAGCCTTCAAGACTATGCGAACGTTAAGAGCACTGAGACCACTACGTGCCATGTCCCGTATGCAGGGCATGAGGGTACGTACTTTCCATACATACTCGTTACAAACCCAATACCAAAATCAAATCAAATCAAATCAAAACCAATTACCACAAATAAATACCAACAAACAAACAAACAAACAAACAACTTCATCAATCAGTATCAGTATCAGTATCAGTATCTGCATATCAGTATCGTTAATCGTGTATCAGCTACAAGCGCCAAAAACTCATCATTATTAATACTGGCAATTCTTTTAAGTCGACTTACCCTCTCTAATCGTACTCGTATACACCAGCCATTCATAACTAAACTAACAGTAACCGATCTTAATTGTGTATCTAGAGAAATTGAAACGTAGCTTTACAGTTAACCATTTGAATTGATGGACTCATAACCATAGTTATCTGTTCAAGCGCAGCAGTTGATTTGATTTGTTGCATCCGTAATGTAAAACCATATAAGCCGTAATTGATTGACTGATTAGATGATACTTACTACTTACCCAACTACTTATTCAAATCTCTCTCTCATCGATCAGCCGAACACAAAAAAAACACACTCCAAGTACTAGAGTTAATCTTAGCTATCGTTAATCGTTATTCTTATACTTATGCGTATCGTTATTCATAATTAGACAATCGTTTTGCCTTGCCTTCTCTCTCACACAAGTTGCGTCTTGCCCGCTCTCTTTTTCGCTCTCGCTCGCTCGCTCTCTCTCTCTCTCTCTATTTTTGTCCTACTATCCACATTTTTTAATTGATTGTCCAATCGGCTCACTCTTAGAACAATTTGGCTCACTCGAACATAACCAACTAACCAAGAAATTCGTTTAACTAGCTTCAATCGACGACAGCCAGTCGAGTCTATTTGCCTGCCCAGTACTGTAGAAACCGATCGAACCTAGAGCTAGAATTATCATCGTCTTATGTACCTACACAACTTTTGACTCAACTCGTATTTAACCCATCTCATCTAGTTCGCATTCCGACTAGTATCTAGTTTAAGTTAACTTTTAGCCAAATTTGCTGTATATTCTTAACTACTTCAATGATCTTGTGCTTGCTTGGTCTGCAATGAACCGTTACGCTGTTGCTTGTTGTACATACTTAACCGTTATCCATGTAGTGTTGTAAACTGAACTGTTGCTTTGGCTTGGCTCAGTGTTGAGCAACGCACGCTGCCTGCAAGTAGTGTTAGTCAAAACCGAGAAAATCTTCATTGCACACTCACACGCCTTCATCTCATTAAGGGCAAGCACTTAACCATAAAAGCAAACATTTAGCCATCTTTTCAGAGATCACACTCAGTCACAAAAAACCATGTACACGCACTAACACACATCTGTACATCCCCATCTAAATATAAGTATGATACTAACTTGACTTAGTGTAAACCGATAATTTTATATATACATATATATATATTCCTAACTGACTAAATAACTCTCTGCATTTATTGTATTATATTCTATCCCCTCTTTCCCGACCTCGCCTCGCCTTGCCTCGCATCACCCATACACCCATGTATCCCAACTACTACAACAACCAACCAATCCATCGATAACTCAACTCCCAATCATCATCGACGTTGCCAACGACGACCCAATCGGTTAACGATCGATTGATCAATCGATCCACGAAATCTGAAACAAACGACTACAAAAAAAACCAAACCAAATTCAGGTCGTCGTTAATGCGCTGGTACAAGCTATACCGTCCATCTTCAATGTGCTATTGGTGTGTCTAATATTTTGGCTAATTTTTGCCATAATGGGTGTACAGCTTTTTGCTGGAAAATATTTTAAGGTACGTGCCAAATGTTTCAAACTAAAACCTGAACCAAAACCAGAAACCAGAAACCAAGCTAAAAACAAAAACTGAAACCGAAACATAATAGAACAGGCCAAAGGTCGGAGGTAAAATGAATACAAGTCACGAACTTGTGCTCGTTTCGCCTTCAAATGGCTTCAATTGAAACAATCCAATTCCAAGCAGCTTTCCATAATTAGCAATGATCCAATCAATCGAACTGTTAAATCAATCTTGAAAGAAATGCGTATCTTTGTATCTATTTTTCGTAAATAGTTGAGTTTTAAACACGATTCGAATCATAAAGTTCCGAAATAACGAGTCAAGGGTTTGTCCAAACAGCAGCGACAAGCCCTTGTAGACTGTACATATATCAGAATTCACTTAAACGCAAGTCCTGAGCCAGGGCCAGAATCGTAATCAAAGTCAATATCAATATATAAACTGAAATCAGATGCAGACTCCGATTCAGCTTGGGCATGCTTAACGAACGTTATATAACTATACGAGTATGCGACCTTGCGAAAATTGCTGCACTAAAACCGTTTCTTAGAACACTCCTTAGTATTAGCCCTAGTTTGTACTTTGCCTTTTGCACCGGAAATCGAATCAGAGCAGAATATGAACTATTCAAACTATTTTAATCTAATCAAATATAATCTTATTCAATACAATTCAAGCTGAGCTTTTTAAAATATCGTATAGTCAAGAGGCCAAGCTAATTAGCTGCTCAAACACTAATACCAACACACCCAAACCCACAGAGACACTTACACTATTAAAACTTAGTTAGCATCTATAGCTGTTGCCTTATGAAATCTACCCAGCCCATATCTATACTATATCTATCTGTATGTGAAATCCCGCATAACTTTAATACATTTTTCCGAAATCAACTCGATAAACAAAACCAAACCCATCGACGCCAACCACCGATGACCGCCGACCCGATAACAACGATAACGATCGATCAATAACCATCAGTGCGAGGACATGAACGGCACGAAGCTCAGCCACGAGATCATACCAAATCGCAATGCCTGCGAGAGCGAAAACTACACGTGGGTGAATTCAGCAATGAATTTCGATCATGTAGGTAACGCGTATCTGTGCCTTTTCCAAGTGGCCACCTTCAAAGGCTGGATACAAATCATGAACGATGCTATCGATTCACGAGAGGTAATGTACAACCCTTACAATCCATATCTCATCACTCTACACACACACATCAGACTGCATTTATGTTTGCCAATGCGCTTTGCCATCCACAAAAACCAGTATTAAAGCAATAATTAAACACGCAAAACAGAGCAGAAAGCCGCTATGACAAAGCTATCTTGCAAACAACTAGTTAATTAATCCATACATTCTGTAAATGTTAAGAAATGTCAATATCTGTACCTAAGTCCAGTCTATGATACTTTTTATTAATCAACCAATTTTATCTATAACTTTTTCTCTTTTTTATATATGATCAACAAATCTACAACTACAACAACACTCGACACTCAACAATTAAAAACAACAACAAATATGGTCACACCACTCTAAAACAAACTATGGCCACACCCACTCCACAACAACAACAACAACACGAGCAACACTAAAAATGATCCATTCACAAAAAAAAAATTAACGAAATGAAATGAAACCCGAAACCGAAACTGAAACCGATGATGCCAAACTACTAAATTTCCCGCAAAACACAAAATTCTACATCGATTCCTGCTGCTATCGATCGATATCGAACTGGCCAACCAATCGATAACAGGTGGACAAGCAACCAATTCGTGAAACGAACATCTACATGTATTTATATTTCGTATTCTTCATCATATTTGGATCATTTTTCACACTCAATCTGTTCATTGGTGTTATCATTGATAATTTTAATGAGCAAAAGAAAAAAGCAGGTGGATCATTAGAAATGTTCATGACAGAAGATCAGAAAAAGTACTATAATGCTATGAAAAAGATGGGCTCTAAAAAACCATTAAAAGCCATTCCAAGACCAAGGGTAAGACAACAACAAAATACAAAAATAAAAACAAATAACATTATTTAAACAACCGAAAAATTATAACAAATAAATAATTAATAATATGAATCAAAGTACAAAAGACATAAATCAATATAATACAATAAGAAAGAGAAAAGCTTACCTATAACAAATATCTTAAGAGGAGACATCAAAACTTATAGTACGCACTTTAAGAAGTGCAAATTAATCCGAGAAAAATACTTGCTAAGTTCTTAAACTTTTCCGTTTCCGGAGAATTTCAATGCATTTGATGCCTCATAAACGAAATATAACTAAAACCTTCTATAACATATCGATAAATCACTAACAAAACATTACTGAAAACTTGAAATTCTAACAAATGAAAATCAGGACAATAAGAGAAGCAAGCTTTTGATCGCGTAATCTGTGCCAATCGTATCTGTATTGTATATATAACATTTTGTATATATGATAAACTTTTTTCTATGTTAACTTGTATTAAAGAAACACCGAACTGTGCTTATGAATCAGACTGTTATACGAGACTGCCGGACTATAATTAACTGTAAAATTGACCTTTGGCCTAATAAGAGCTCCTATACAAATAACGTTGACTTTCATGCATTCGCTTAATGCATAATCCAAACAATTATGCACCAATTAACGAGTCGCTTGAAAAGTGTTATACGGACTCGAACGACGACAAAAACCCTTGCAATCCGTTGAGTTAATTTATCTACCAAATACATATCTACGTACTCGCGTATGTATGTATGTGAAAGGCCCTGTTCTCTAGCAATATTTTGTCAAGTTAATTGATGGATCTTTGAAACAAGAAAAACAACAATAGAAACATAACGAAAACGAGAAGAACAAGAAGATGATGGGCAGCGCAGCAAGTCGAGTCTCTGGAATGGCTGCCGTGGTGCGAGAGAGAGACAACGACAACGCACGCCACTGTTGCCATTGAGCGACTCCTGCGAGCGACTGCGAGTGCGAGTGCGACGACGATGTGGTCGCAACATACCGTTTTCTTACTCTCTACTCTCTAATACTTAATTTCCACTAGCTGTATTTAAGTATTGTGTCCGTTTGGTTCGTCTGTACTTAAACATTTTTATGTCTGCCATTTATCAGCTGGACGTTCGTTCTATAAAATTTAAAATTCCAAAAGCAAAGCAAAACTACAATCTATCTATATGTATATACTTATACCTATCTATGATACCCCACTCGCAACACTCCTAACTTAGATATGGCAACCAATGCATGTTTCTTTACTACTCGTACAACTACTACTCCTAATCTGGATGTGTACATAGCATACATCTTGGCACGTCTCTCTTTAATCTCTATTCTACTCTGGGCATGTTTAGTGTTAGTCACAGAACGATAACCGATAACTAAAACCACTACCATATTTGAATAGAAAACGAAAACGAAAGTGAAATCGCAATCGAAATCAAATTCCAAATTCGAATCCGAATCAATATCCAGCAACAAGAAATTAAAAGTGCTGACGGAGAAAAGAGACAGACCGATCGATCGACCGACTGCACGTTTCCAACCGAATGATCTCTCTGCCATCTCTCCTTATCCATAGCTCTGTAAATGTATCCGTCTCTGTCTCGTGGTATGCCGCCAATGAAACTAGTAGTGTGCTTAGCCCTCAACTTAAACGTTAACCATTAACCGATACTTAAAAACCCTTAACCGATGCAATGAATGAATGTTACTTATAGCACACTGAGTCACTGTTCAACTATGTTACCCAACTGTTTTACCGTTATACGCCTACTCTGTACGTCTGCAGGTGCGCGGATCCGACGCTCCACAGAACAACATCACGTCATGGAAAAAAGTTTGCAATTGGCACAGATCTACAAACGTTATGTAATACAGACAAGAACCGAATCGCCTCAAATCGAGAACAAAGCAAAGATAAATAATCCCCTATAAACTAAACTGAAACTGTAACTCTATAACATACGCAAAAAGCGATCAACTGAGCTGAAAACTCTTATCCTATTATATATACATAAATAATAAGCAATAAGCAAATGCGACGTATTTAACCAAATGTACTTATACGAAACTCTTCTATTCCTTTTCTCTCTTCTCTCCAATGTGTTTTGTCGGTGTCCAACGATTACGATTACGATTACGTTACGTTTTATGTTCTTACCTTTCCGTGTTTCATTTCCTTTTAATTTCTGTGTTGATCTTTGGTTGTCTTCTTTTACCATTCCAGTGGCGACCACAAGCAATAGTCTTTGAAATAGTAACCGATAAGAAATTCGATATAATCATTATGTTATTCATTGGTCTGAACATGTTCACCATGACCCTCGATCGTTACGATGCGTCGGACACGTACAACGCGGTCCTAGACTATCTCAATGCGATATTCGTAGTTATTTTCAGTTCCGAATGTCTATTAAAAATATTCGCTTTACGATATCACTATTTTATTGAGCCATGGAATTTATTTGATGTAGTAGTTGTCATTTTATCCATCTTAGGTAAGTAAAACCGAAAATCAATTTCCAAATTAACCCAAACCAACCACCACCAACCCAACCGCCAACTAAATAGCCAAAGTATGCAAATCGACCCCCGAGCTCTAAAAAAAAAGAAACACTCATTGAATTCAGGAACAGTTAAATGATCCAAGAGTCGTAAACTCTCCTCTCTCTTCCCCACTCTCTCTCTCTCTATCTATATGCATATATTTGATGTAAAAATCTTTCTGTCTTTGCAACAGTACGCTCCTCTCTCTTTAAGTATTATACCTTCTAATAATTGTTGCCAATTTGCTGTCGTATAGGTAATGCGTAATTCCATTGTTCGATGTTGATTCGTAATCAAATCCCCCAATTCCCAGCAAAACATACAGCAATGTAATAATCCCCTCCCAATCGATTTGTTGTGTCCAAAAATTGTTGTACCGCGATTGCTCATATTGCGATTAAATCCCAGATGTTATACTTGTGTTTATAACGGGATCAAGATCACTTTATGAACAAATCAATGTTGTTGTGCTTAACGTATTCCAAGTTATGTTATTTATTTCGCTTTTATTATCGCTTGCCATTTGCATAGTTAGCTGAGGATGCTATAATGCTATAAAAAATATGTGTTATACATCGTTTATATAGCTATTATTTGTTTAAATCTATCTTAACATATTCGTAAATTTGTTTTAAAGATGCAAAACTATTCTTATCAAGCTATAAAACTTTTATACACTCTAAAAAGATTCTCAACTCCTTTTTCAATTAGGCTTAAACTTGTTATAAGTCATGTAATTCTAATTTTAATTCAATTAATCAAGAATCTTAAAAGTCAAATAAGTTTCAGAAATTGTTAATTAATCATTTTATCAAAAAAGCTTTAAAACTGTTATAGCAATTTATAGGTATTTTACAATTATTCTCTAGCCTTACTGCTATAAAGTTATACAGAATGCCCAGCTAAAATTGCAAATGCGCAATCGACCATTAAATGGTGTATATTTTTAATTGTTGTTGTTGTAATTGCCAAAATTGTATGTAAAATAAGTAAATCGATGTTGAATTTTTAATTTAGCCTATGTTGAAAAGTAAACGTAATACGTTGCAATATTGGTGTTGATTTGATTGTATTTTAAAAGTAATTGTTGTCGTTCGTAGCTGGCGTTAAATTCTAAATATTTATACTTGACCATAAACATGATATTTTTTCGTTATCAATCAATTATTGATACCAATAATTGGCAAATTTCAGTTGAAGTTTGTCGAAAAATCATTTTTATTTTATTCAAGATGAAATGGGCCAAGTCCTTCTCCAATTTTACGTTATTGTTCTATTTTATTTGATCTTCAACTACAAGAAATAGCCCGAAAAAAATTGCGCATACGTAAGCACAAAAAAGAACGAACAAATGGAAGAGCTAAATCGACCCAGTTTCAATTATACTCGCAATCTCAATTAGGAATTGGCTATTGAAGAAAACGAGAAACGAGCAGGATAAACTATACAAAAGATGGCTTAAAATATGCTTTACTACATTGACCAATGCAACAGAGAGCTTCCTTTTTGGTGCCCAGTGCGTTGAAAAGGATGCTTTCAACCGTTCTGTTGCTGTCGAAGGTGTTACCCCGATTCGAAATGCGCCCAAAAAAATATTTTGTCTAGCGAACGACCCTGAAACCCAACCTCCAACACCAACCTCAACCTCTACCTCAACCTTTGTCCAACTCCAAGCCAGAACTAAAACCAAAACCACAACCAAAACCAGAAAACGGAACCCAAACAAACCGATCGTATTGTGTTTTTTTTTTCCCTACATGTAAAAGTTTTTCGTTTCACTTTTGAGATAACTATAGTTTGTGCGAGAGAAGCTTCAAGTAAACCTTTACTATTTAAGAGCTGCGAAACCTTAATGTTGCTTACGCTTTCTTTATCTCATATGTATATGTTTACTACTCGCCAGAGATTCACACGCGCTCCAACTTGTTCTGAAACGCACTTTCCAAGAACCAAAAAAACAAAACTAAAATGCTTTCAATTTTTTTCGACCGCCCTTTAAGTATGCTTCCTTATTTGGCTTCGATGTTGCGACAGAGGCAAAGTGATATCCTCATAGACGAATATATTAATACACGCTTAAGGCAAACGAAAACAATCCTAAAAAAAAAAAAAAAAAAAAAAAAAAAGAAGAGAACGATGACTGAGCTTTTGTAAATGCAAATTCTTTAAATAACAAAATAACATAAATAACAATAAAAAAAAAAAAAACAATAAAGAAAAACAATTGCCAATACACTCTTACACAAACACCCAATCACACACACACACACACACTCTACATACGTTAAATGGCTTGCACAAAAACGCATAAAAAATATTAATCGAATCAATAATCGAAATGAAAGTGAAAATCAAGTTAAACTCAATTACACAAGATTCACTCAGAGTTAGGTGTCAATGGGCATTCCACAAGCATTCCACTCTGTGCGATTGTCGGTTGCATAACTCTGTCAGCTACTGCATACAGGTATCCAGACCGAAACGAAATCCAACTGGGTATCCCGACCCCCAAAGGGGATCCCCCAACGATGAGATCAGAGCCAGGAGCTCTGAGGGCGGGGCCCCAGCCAGGACAATGGCCATGCGGACTGTCTTAGCGCGCAGATCCTGCAAGGCCGTTGAACTGGATCGGACCGGACCCAACGGCAATTCAATCCAACCCAGTTCAAACCCGAACCCCAACCCGAACCTGAACCCAAAACAAAGCACCGGTTCGTTTCGAGCCCCGTTAAATAGTGTGTAGCCCATGCCGGAGGGTTCCCGCCCACAATCAGGCCCACAATCTCTGCAATTTTCAAGAAATTAATTTCCAAAAAAAAAAAAAAAAAACATGGATGGATATACCGTAGCAATAGCCTGAATCTTCTTAATGGTTTTGGTCCAATCTACGATGGAGATTATGTACTTTACTATGAACGTAGTAAAAAGCATACAACTTTGTATATTCTATAGACGAGTACTCTTAACCAACCCCCCCTACCCTCCAATGGTTCCCATGCCATTCCCTGGTGCGGGACTTGACCCCCATCAATAACCCCTTCTTACTTTCTTTCTAGAACTCCTTCTAGCCCTAGTCTTAAGAAGCTTTCACATTTTTTCTACTTTCATTTTTTTCAACTTGTTAAACCTTTTTCGAGATCGCTGTAAATTCGCTCTCAGCTCAAAATTCCAAAAGTCCTGCAAATAGTTCGTTCGACCACGCCCCCTTCCAACGCCCTTATGTCATTGCTAGAGCCATCAAACAAACGATGAAAAAAGAATAAAAACAAAAAACCGAACCAATGAACATTTTGATCGCCGGGCAGCGAACGAACATTGCAGTGTTTAGTATTTGGCACTTTTAAAATATGCTGCGGATTATCGCTAAAGAAAAAAATCGTAACCACGCATCCAAAACAGAAACGAATTAAAATGTATTTTTATATATATTAGTATATCGGTATACGAAATCCGGGCTCCAAGATTTTGTTTTGATGCTACATTTGCTGTCGCTGCTTAAACCAACGCCAACGCCAAAGATCGCCTGCTCCTGCGCCAGCTGCTCGCAAACAGCCAAAGGATATCGACTGCTGCTTAACCTGTTAACTGTTAACCGTTTACTGTTAACCGTTCAGCATTTTTTTAACCGTTTACTCTTTAACCTTAATGTCTTAAGTTTTGATTACTTTTTCGTTTTTTGATCGTTTCATGATCGTTTTACGATCGTTTTTTCGCCATCTTTCTCCGTTTTGGTTTTTGCGCAGCAATCCCCTGATTTGATCTAGGCCAGCTGTAAAATCTTGAAAACCTTTGTGTTAACTGTACCTGTACTGCAAATCTGTATACGTAACCAGTAACTGTACTTTGACTGTATATGTTGTATATGTAATTTAACTGTAATTTAATTGTAATACCTTTGCCCCACTACGATTGTTTGATTGTTCGATTGCCGTATCCCTTTTCGTTTTTGTATTTTCGTTCAGCCTGTTTATGTTTCGTGTCTAAATACCTTAATGTAACTTTTGTCCAAACTGTATATATTATTATTATTATTATTGTTATGTATCCCTATCCCAACTGTGTGTGTGTGTGTACGTGTGTGCGTCTGTAAATGTTGTCTGACGTTTGAGAAGATTAAGGAGCGGAGCGTGCCGACAACCTAATGCTTTCCATATTTCAGCTATGTGAAGTGTTTATGTCTCGAGCTCCCGGAGCTTTAGTCGCCAGCTAAAACCCGTCCAGTCCCACAATATCCCTAGTCCCGTCCACGAATCCCCCTCTAATACTGTACAACTCAACTGATTTCTATTCACAAACTCAATCCCCAATCCGCTGCCAAATGTTCACCGCAGGTCTTGTACTTAGCGATATTATCGAGAAGTACTTCGTGTCGCCGACCCTGCTCCGAGTGGTGCGTGTGGCGAAAGTGGGTCGAGTCCTGCGACTGGTCAAGGGAGCCAAGGGCATCAGGACACTGCTATTCGCATTGGCCATGTCGCTGCCGGCCCTGTTCAACATCTGCCTGCTGCTGTTCCTGGTTATGTTCATCTTCGCCATCTTCGGCATGTCCTTCTTCATGCACGTGAAGGAGAAGAGCGGCATCAACGACGTCTACAATTTCAAGACCTTTGGACAGAGCATGATCCTGCTCTTTCAGGTAAGAGGCCCAGCCACAATTCCGTTGACGGTTTATGTTGTCTATTGTTGTTGTCGTTGGGTGATGTTGCCACGACCCCGTGCCAAAAATGTCGATATACTAGATAAACCAACTACCTCTCTGACCATCGATCGGCGACGCTCTATCGCTGGAGTTTGGGCGTCGATCGATGGCCGGGAAAAAAAAAGCGCAAGTGGTACCGTCAATTTTGTCGGCCATTTGTTTAGTCTAGTGGCAACATCACAATGTTGATTGAAGCTGCGGTAGTTGTTGGTAAAAGCTAAATTAGTGCGATTTTTTGATTACCTTCGATTTAATTTATCGATTTGTTTAAGTCTATCTGTCTATCTGTCCGCCTATCGGTTTTCCATTTAATCTTTTACGTTCCCTGCACAAAGTGCGCCAACGATCGATAAACAACTCGACTCACTCTTACCTTTTACTTTGCACCATGGCATCAAGTGAAGGACCAAATTGAATTGGTCACAAACTGGTGCCATGTGTAACAGCTTTCAAAAATGGTTTTGCGCTTGATTTTTCTTTCAAATGATTTGTATCTAACGTATACGCTTCTCTGTATATGCATAATTTTAGTAAATTGTACAAAAAACTAAACTAATTCAGCTCTTTCAACAAACACCAAATGAAATGTTGAGTTTCCTCAAGACACCTCCTCCTGCCCAGAAAACAATAAACCCATCCACCGAAGTCTTACCAACTATAACTTTATGTAAAAAAAGAAAAGGCAAATTGAGAGAATAGATTCGATCTAACGATCAAGGGATCAGAAGCCCAATCCCTCTCTACATTTCTTCTCTCTCTCCCTCACTCCCTATATCTATCCTCTTTTCTTCTATCGCAACTGCTTTAAACATCCTACTCTTTCTATCTTCCCTACATTTGGAGTCTAAAGACTCCTCGAGCTTTACAAGTATTGAGAATGCTTGCCACGCTTACCGCTTTGAATCCCCTAGTTTTGGGGCTAGAGGTCCCCGCATCTGCCATCCTCTAAGCCACGCCCCTTAATCGCCCTTCAGACCGGGCAAAGGCGATTTGAATGGCTTACCAGCTTGCTCCATTTTCGGGGCCGGATCAAAGCAAAAAGCAGCCCATTATCCGCAATGTAACCGCATACCGAATACACACTCAATGTATAACTACTAACTATAGCCGTAACTGTACTAACCATCTACCGTATGCCATAACTAGTTTGCTTAGCCCAGCGATCCCAGTGCCGAACGTTTGACTAATGATGACTCTTCTTGTTATTGTATCTTCTGTCTTAAACTTCTCTCTCTCTCTCCCACCGCCCACACACGAACACACCGAATAACACACCTGTACCACCACGAACGAACGACCTGACATGCATCGATAAATATCGATATATAAATATCGATGCATCGAACCATGCCCAACCGATCGCACAACTGCCAATCCAATCCTTTGAATTTGTATTCGATTGCAAATCGATAATGCTCGCGTTGCTACTCCAAAATAATTCCTAAATCCTAATCCAAAATTGCAACTCACAAATCCCAATCTACAATTAATGATCCGTAATCGTACCACCACAAATTCTAATCCTAATTTGATTAATCGATTGTCCCGAATTCCTTCTACGAACATCCCGATCTGATCCCCAAATCCTTATCCTATTGAAACTGGCAGATGTCGACGTCAGCCGGTTGGGATGGTGTACTGGACGCCATTATCAATGAGGAAGCATGCGATCCACCCGACAACGACAAAGGCTATCCGGGCAATTGTGGTTCAGCGACCGTTGGAATAACGTTTCTCCTCTCATACCTAGTTATAAGCTTTTTGATAGTTATTAATATGTACATTGCTGTCATTCTCGAGAACTATAGTCAGGCCACCGAGGACGTGCAAGAGGGTCTGACAGACGATGACTACGACATGTACTACGAGATCTGGCAGCAGTTCGATCCGGAGGGCACACAGTACATACGCTACGACCAGCTGTCCGAGTTCCTGGACGTGCTGGAGCCCCCGCTGCAGATCCATAAGCCTAACAAGTACAAGATCATATCGATGGACATACCCATCTGTCGCGGCGACCTCATGTACTGCGTCGACATCCTCGACGCCCTCACCAAAGACTTCTTCGCGCGCAAGGGCAATCCGATAGAAGAGACGGGCGAGATCGGCGAGATAGCGGCCCGCCCGGACACGGAGGGCTACGAGCCCGTCTCATCGACGCTGTGGCGCCAACGGGAGGAGTATTGTGCCCGATTGATCCAGCATGCCTGGCGCAAGCACAAAGCGCGCGGCGAGGGAGGTGGGTCCTTCGAGCCGGATCCGGATCAGGGTGGTGGTGGCGATGGCGGCGATCCCGATGCCGCCGAACCGCAGCTTGATGAACCGACGGATGCCGAGGGCCCCGAAGGAGATGGAAGTGGTGTTAATGGTACAGGAACTGGAGATGGAGCTGCCGATGCCGACGAGAACAATGTAAATAGTCCGGGTGAGGATGCAGCGGCAGCAGCAGCGGCGGCGGCGGGTACGACGACGGGAACGGCGGCGGGAAGTCCGGGAGCGGGCAGCGCCGGACGACAGACCGCCGTTCTCGTGGAGAGCGACGGGTTCGTGACGAAGAACGGCCACAAGGTGGTCATCCACTCGCGATCGCCGAGCATCACGTCGCGCACGGCGGATGTCTGAGCCAGGCCTCGCCCCCCCCTCCAAGATGCACGCGAGTATTAGCATGAGTACGTGTTGGATGTTGCATGTTGCATCAGCGACGTGCAACAACAGTAAGCTAACAACAACAGCGAACATGGCGAACAACAAGCATAATTTTCTGCTATATAATGAAAGTACGACATACAAACAAATACAACAACAATAAATACAACAACAACAACATCATCATCAAAAGAACAACAACAACAACCGATGAAATAACGAAGAAGAACAACACCAGTGTAATGTCTTTGAGTTACATATATGTAAACCCGCATTATTCAGTTAACGAGTCAGCAACCAACAACAATCATACTTAAGCTAAACCGAAATGTCTAAATAATTTGTAAGCAACTCGTAGTCCAATCAATTTAGGCGTTTTTCCAAACAACTATTGGCCCAAGCAGGTGAAAGAAGATGATCAACATCCATACACACAAACACCAACACACACATTAACATGACCATAAACAAGTATAATCCCAAAAAAAAATAATCGAAACAGATAACAAAGTGAAAGAACGATGAACAAGCTCTAAAAATTGTATTTGCCAGTAGTAAGACAACAAACAACACGCTTGATTTAACTAACTACTTACCAAACGAAAAAAGCAAATAGCAAGAAAAAGAACAGAAAGAGGAAGACGTGCGTACAACGGTAAAGGTAAGGGAGCAGAAGCAAAACCTCAAAAACAAGTCCCCCAAAAGCTACATTCTAAAATAAACAAGATTAACTTTTTTAACTTATTCTAAACGTGATGAGAACACCAATTTGCATAGTTTGTATTGTACATTTATCCAGCTAAATAATGAAAAACCAAAGGGAGTAAATCAAAAGCGGACCTGAAACAAGTAACTAAAGCAACACCAATAAAAATTACCGCCTGAACTGCCATTGAAAGCAATACGAACCAAAAAAAGTAAAACAAAAGAGAGAAAAACAAAAGCGAAAGCTAAATGTCAAAGTTTATTCACACAATATTCATACACCCACTCACACTCACACAGAAGGAAGGGAAAAGGTCACCCTGGAGAGTAATAGGCAGACAGAGTAATTTCAGATTCAGAAACGATCTTAACTATCGATCGGAAATATTCCCTTTGCAGTTTCGATTCCCATTATCCCATTGGGCCAGCAAGAGTTAAAAGTTCAAAGCAAACATTTCACTCATGGAGATCGGATTGTAGAGGTAATGCCCCCCTTTTGAGGTTATATCCTCACCATGAGGTTATGTTCTCACTTTGAGGTTATGTCCTCGCACACACACATTATATACACGAACAAACACCGAAACACCAACACAAAGCGACAACAGTACCATACAAAATCTTTGGAGTTGGGGCGCATGGAGCTAAAGAAAGTGAGACAAAGACGAGTGAAACCTTAAAAGAAAACCTTATCAATTCAAATTTGAATTCGATCAGTCAAAAAATCGATAAACAAAAACAATTTACGATAAGAACGCGCAGAAAGTGTTTAAATGAATTGAACAATACCAGAATGTGAAGTGAAAGAGAAAGAGAACCAGTACCCAAACAAGTTCAAAGCGAGGCGAAGCAAGTGCTATAAGACGAATAAAATAAAAGAGAAAATAGGAGAAAAAGCGTTTGTGCCTAGCACAAGACAAGACTAAAGCATACAAAGAAACGAAAACGAGTGAACAATTTAAACAAGTTTTTGTTTTCAAAGTGCTCTATTTTCACATACTTCTTTTTTATCTTAACCTACAAGTAGAATCGAACAAAGGTCGCGATTATTGCTAAATTACACAATGAGCAAGGAGAGTAAATACGAAAAGAATATATATTACACGTAATTATAACATAACTAATTTAACTAAAATACGATATTGATACTGAATTGAATTCAAACAAAGTTTTAGCCCGACCGCTTAAAGGCGTAGCATACTTTTCAGAGGCTGCTGCCTTAGCATTCGCTTTCCTTTTCGTATCCGCCGCAGCCGCGCTATGACGAAGGACAAGGTGATATGAGAGATTCGATAACCGATAACCAAACCAAAAAACAATTAGAATATTCCCTTCAGTTGCGCTCAATTTTGCCAAGCTAAGCTTTGTTTGAATCAGCTTTACAACATTTGATTTCTTTGGTTTCTCTGTCGTTTCATTTACTAGCAATGCCTTTTCGCCGCTGTTCAGTTCTGTATCGACAAGCAAACGATTACCGATTACCAATTACCGATTACGATAACGATCAATAATACTCCATCGAATGGCTCCACTACTCTGACAGTTGGGGATCATTTCGGCTCGAGAGCCGCCGCAAACGAAATTAAATGTGAGGTTCCATTGCGCACACACACTGAACTCACTCGCCACATTCACCCACTCACCCACTCACCCAAGAAACATCAAGAAACTCAGAGACACGTAAATGCTTTGCTTTTGCTTCAAAATTGCTGCAATCGTAGGAGGTGAATGAAAAAAGAATACTTTGGGATAAAGCGCTTTTTGGTTTTGAGAATAAAACTATTTCCAATTCACCCACTGACACTCACGTCCATGAAAAAACACACACAGAGACAGACATGGACATTGAAAGGACCTTCTTTCAGTGGCAATCCTCTTTTCGCTGACTTGCTCTCACTCGATCTCCGACACGAATTAGTACAATTCTACAAAACATGCTTTCACACACTGCCTGACTTTTACCTATCTGTTGAATCAAATACAAATGCGGAACTTGTTCTGAGCACATCCACATCTAACCACTAAAGACTAAACAGCATCGTACAAAATTACTCAATAACAATTGAGAAATCACCTTCGACCAACCAATTATGTGTTTTTTGACTGCAAACAATTTGGATTTGCCAAACCCTTTTCGACATAATTCCGTTTCATTTAGTTCCCAATACTTTATTACTAGTAGTTTAGAATTACCTTGATGCAGTTGTTTGATTGCAAATGGCCAGAGTGTAGAACTAGTTTGTTTTCTTGGTATAACAATGTCAGCACTTTTATGACACATTTGTATGACAGTTGTAGGCCACAGTCTTCAAACTATTGTATAACAGTTGAATTAAAATGTCAAACTAAATTTCATGTACAGTTGAACACTCTTGAAATGGTTTTTACAAAGGAAAGAAACACATTTGAACCCAGCATTGGCCACTTTGCATCGATCAACTCTCTCAATCCGGTTGTACGACATAAAATTGAAAAAAAAAAAATTAGATCAAGCCGCAACAGTTCAGATTTCACCGTCTCAAGGCGTTTAAACACAATTTATCCTAACCAACACCAAAAAGTAACGCAAACAACAAAAACTGTAGAGTAATTAACTTGTGTACATTATGGGGACCAGTTTAAGCGTTGCCTTAAAGTCCAAAAAATTAAGTGTTTATTTGTTGCGCACGCTTTTACAAGAAGCTTTGTCGATGATCAGTAACCCGTTAGGATTGTGCTACAAATAGGCACCCACACACCCCATCATCTTGACCCTGTGACCCCCTGTTAACCCCTTGACCCCTGAAAACCCCTGAAAACCCCTGAAAACCCCTGAAAACCCCTCACCAAACCCCCAGACGCAACGCAACCCGACTCGAACAGACTCCGCTTTGGTTCGCCTTAACCTCATCGTATTACGTATTTCCCCCACATTGATTTTTACGCTTGCCAATTGTCAATTTTGTAACGACTTGAATGTAGCTTCATTATTATACATTTTGTTGGCTGTTTGACAAATAATACGAGTACCCACTTTGATAAATAATAGGACACATGAAAAAATAACGCAAAACGATTAATCGCTTAGTCGAGAATAATAAACGAAACATGCTATAAACTAATAACAGAAAATTAAGTTTGAAAATTCCGTACAAAATGCATAAGTTTAACGAAAAAAAGCATATAATATTGAGAAAACTAAACGAATAATATATCTACTTATACTGAGTGCACTGTTATAAACGAGGGGCGGGGCGAGATTAAATAAACAACAACAAAAACGAATCAAACGAAAATGAAAATGAAAAACAAAACAAAACAAAAAAGAAAAGAAAAACAAAACATATTAATAATGGTATATACTTCAAGATATTGTATTATCTATGTGTGAATAACATCATCTGCGAAACAACAGCCACACACATGAAGCTTATGCGACAAGCAAACAAATAAAAAAAAAAAACAAAAAAAGAAACAGACAAACTAAAGATAGGTTGAGGAAGAGATACTCTATAATAGTTGTGTAAATTTACAATAATAAAAGCCGAAAGATTGAAATGAATTTTAGCAAGCGGGAAGTTCAAGCGAAACCGGAACGCAAATCGAAATCGAAAAGTTAAAAAATATATATGTATGAGGACTTGAAGACGACATGAAGACGAAGAGGACGACGTCGTCGTGGACGGATGATAATGATATTGATAAGAAAATCTATTTCATATTTTTAGCATACGTGTAAACATATTTTTTGTGCCGAGGTTACGTTCGAAGCAACACGCGCATCATTGCCATTAGACAAAATAATATTAATTATATATACAATATGCCTAACAATAATAATACGGGAAAACCAAAAAACTACCACTAATAATTATAAAACAACCAAAAACAAAAACAAAAAAAAAAAACCAACAACTGCATATTTTGTGCTGCTGAAGAAAGTCACAACGCAACAAAAAACATGATAACAATAAAACGATATAAATTTCTAACAATTTTAGAGCAATAAAACCACATACACAATCACACCGAAAAACAAAAAACAAACAAACAAACAAACCAAAAACACACACACACACACTCTCATCACAGAAGTTTGCCGAATATTTGCACCGCCACTGTGGCCTAATCGGCGTGCGAAAGAGAGCGAGATGGGGCGAAAAGCGCTTTGCACTGCTCTCTCACGGGCCGCACAGTGGCGTCGCAAGGTTTGCAACCATCAACAGCCAGCAGCATTCTCAATTACCAAATACAAATGAAAACGTAAATGCAAGGAGATGTTGCATTGCAATTACAGAAACGATAAACAATTTTTTTAGATACACTTCAAAAATCAAAGCGTGGAAATTTCAATATTAGTTAATAATAAAATCCTTTTTTGTTAACTCACTATATTAAAATGAAAACAAAGATGGACAAAAACTTTAGCTTTATACTCGTACATTTGTAATATATTACATAAGTCTAGTTAATTACATAAAAACAAAGGAAAATAGAAAATATATTATAAATTATAATTATACAAAAGAAAAACCAAAAAATTTTACAAATAAAAAAAACGCAAAAAAAAACAAAACCAAATCAAACGAAGCATAGCAAATGAAATTCAAAGTAAATTCATAAATAGCGAACAAAAAACTAAAAAAAAAGGAGAAAACCAAAAACGAACTGTAAAAAAAAAGAAAAAAAACATTTAATTGTAAAACAGCCAGTTATTATGCATAGCTAATAAAATTCAAATACAGAGAAGAGCAGGAGATGAAATCAAGAAATAAGAACAATTATTGCAATTAGATATTCTACATAAAAAATTCTAAATCTTTAGTAAAGCATAAGTTGCATATACAACCACACAAACATAAACACAAAGGCCCGCACATACGCATTCCCGTATATTCGAGTTAAAAGCGAGTATGATTTTATTTTCACGGACTTGAATGGATAGTTATCTTTATATCGAGTGTTATCAGTTGCCAGCCCACTCACTCACCCACCCACACACACACACAGACACACAGACAGACGCCAGCCAGGACCTACAAGAGACACATTGACAGACCCCGGAAAAACCAAAACCACGCCAAGCAGCAGAGATTAAGTTACCAAAATCCAAGCCTATACGATACCAAAATCCAAAAACGAATCCAAATCAAACCGAACCGAACACAAGAACACACAATTACGAAATTTGCCATCCAGCGAAGTATTTGCAATTTATATTGAGAGCAAGAGTTAATAGCAGTTTATATAAAGCCCGTTGAACACGAAAACAAAACGAAAAAAAATAAGATAAAAGAAAAGAAAAACCAAAAACAGACTGAAGAAAATGAGAATTATTTAACAAGAAAATTTATATATATAATGATAGCCAATTATGACAATTGCATCCAAGAAATATGAACAGAGTCACAAAATGCCAAGCTGCTTTTACATGCATCCAGAGCTGAGCCCCTTCCACTCACACTGACACACAAATACGGAGATAGGCCGGAAATCCTGCCACGCCCACAAACAACCACCCACCCACAAACACAGACACGGCCACACAAACTGGAGGTAATGTAGCTCGTAAAAAGATTGAGATATGAGGGAAATATGTATTTATATTTATACACCAAGCAAGCTAGCAAAAATGGATACATGATACTAAAGAAGCATAATTTAAATATACATATTAAAGGAAGTCTTAACTAAAGCAACAGTAAAAACTGAAATAACAAATTAGCGAGATTACGAAAAGACGTTTGCGAAGAGACACAGGCACCGTTAGCATATTTTTTTTATACAAATACAATTTAAGCAAACGAATACGAAAATCAACAAATTGAAGTAAATTATTAGTGAGAAACCGAAGCAACTGATGATGTCTATGTAAAGACTTTATATATGCCTGCCATATGCCTACATCTGCCTAGCTGTCTGACTCTAACACAAACTCACACACGAACACAACACTTTCTCCCTTCCCCTCCCCTAACACTCTCTCTCTCTCGCTTGTGCAGACACGAACAGACCGACAGAACTAGACCTCTTCTTGAGTAATATCCATTTATCATTCCGCACCAGGGCTCAGGTGTCCTCGATGAGAAGCGCGGAGAGAGGCGCACTGGAGCCAAGGCTGGTTGTAAACGGTGCAGCGGTTGCATGTACCAGCCTATAAGTGTTCAGGCTTCTTATTGTTTTTGTACGATTTTGTTTACTCACCCTGATTTCTTAGCCTTAATCCCGATCCAGAGCCGTTGTCGAGCAACTCTATTTGATAGCAACTTCCCCGGCTACAAATTCTTAGTGGTTCAGATGGCTGTAGGACAAATCCAAACACCTGACACACACACGCCCACACAGACACAGAGATTCTCCCCTAAAAGATGATAAAGATATATACATATGAATATGTATAGATTATTTATGTGCGATCAAGTAAAAGCAGCTAAAAAATACCGAAAAACAAAACGTAAAAAAAAAAAAAAAAAAAAAAATGCTAAAAAATTATGACACCCGCCACTTTTCTACTAAAAAGAAATCGACTGTATATATATATACAAATATATATATATATATAAATGATAATATGAGTATATTTATGTAGCAGTATAACAGTATGTGTAGTATAACACTTTGTCCATTTGCTTGACAAACAGACACAAAAATTCACAGAAACAACCACAATACACACACATAAAGACAGGCACACGATCTGCATTTTGTTTTCTAGTTTTTTTTAAGGACATTAACTTGTATTAGCGATACTCTTTATAAATAAATCTTGCAAAATAATACGAATACCGACTATCGCTGTCATACATTTGAATGTTTTCGCAGGCACTGCCTTCGATGTTCGATTGAAGCCAGCCTCTTGTTATACATTTTTTCGACAGAATACGAGTATTTACCAATCACAGATAATCCATTAAGTTTGAGCAACACACATATTAATACAAATATACCTACATACATATATATTTTTTTTATAACAACGTATGGGAAATCTATATGGGACAAATGAAACACAACAACAATTTTTGTATGTATTCATTTTTATTAAAAACAAAACGGGAAAAAGGGAAAATTCAAGCCGAAAACCAAAACAAAGAAATACTCGTAGAACACACTGACAGACAAAAATTGTTTTTATAAAGATATATTCGATTAATGTATTTAAAATAAAATATAAAAAAAAAACGAAAAGAAACAAACGCCTGAATTAGTTTATTACGCAAAAGAAATGAATTATAATTAGTTAATTCAAAACAAAATAAAAAGACAAGCATACCCCAAAAAAAAGGAAACCAAAACTGCACAATAACATCTTAATGTAAAAAATATGAACTAAAACATAAACAAAGCAAATGCAAAGGAAAAAGCCCAAAGAAAAAGAGATAAAAAGAAAACGATTTTTATTTCCATTATATATAAATAATTAACGCTTTTTTAGTTCTCAAACAAGTTGCGTATTTTATGTATAATTTATAAAGAAAAAAAACGACAAAAACAATTTATAATAAAGCAAACCAGAATAAATCAAATTAATAAATGGGCAACCTAAAAATATTGTAATGTAACAAATGAAAAAAAAAAACAATACAAAAACAAAAGGATATATATATATATATAAATTAAAAGCGAAATTTTTTCACACTTTAGCTTAATAAATTGTAAAAAAAAATACAAAAAAAACAAACAAAACTGAAATAAAATGAGATTTAATTGAATTTGTTATGCAAATGAAATCTATATGTGTTTTCTTTTGCGCCAATTTTCACATTAAAATTTTTTTGCGAAAACGTGCAAAAAATAAAAATTTCCAGGAACTGTTACTACATTCCATTATTGGACTATTAAGTAATAATTATGGTTAATCTTTTTGGGCAAAAAAGGTAACTTTATGGTGAAAAATTATGACTTTTTTAAGATCAATTTTTTACCCAAACGGCCTTTCCAAATGTAGTTCGAAATCTTCGAATCCCAAAATTTTTCTGAAACCTTTGAAAAAGCCAAGTTGCATAGATAAACTGCAAGCCAATGCGGGTTTAGCTTTTTTTGTTAAAAAAAAGCGGTTAGTTGTATTATAATTTCTTTTATTTATTTATTTAGTTATGTGTATATATATATGTATATATACGTATCGTACAAAATGTTCAAACAACAAAAAATATATATATTTTTATATATTTCGTTATAATGTTGTGTATGGATTGTGAATTTTGTTTATCGTTCGTTCCTCATTTACTTAATTAAACATCTTGTTGTCTGTTGATTTCACTTTGTTGATTTATTTATATCGATTTTTGTTATGTAAGTAACATGAAGATAGCATTTTGCGATTTTTGCTGGTGCTGTAATTGGTAAAAATGAATTCTTCATTCACGTCTACGATTGTTTCCTCTAACTGCTTGCTAATTTCGGTTAGTTCTTTGTGTTAATTTATTGCGTTTGCTAAGAGTAGAATTGCTATTTATTCTTGGCTTACTCGATCAGTTTCGTTATTAATCATAGCATATATTTATTTATATTTCTGTATATATAGATGTTTTATGATGTAAGTTAATGTCTAACTCTTGCTTTGTATAAATTCTCGTTTTAGTGTTGCTTCTGGTTTAATTGTAATTTAAACAATCCTTTGTTTGTCTTTATGGGCGTTTTAAAATGCATATCAAAGTTCTTAATTAGGTTTAGAGCAGCATTTAAGTAAGTTGTCAACTCGATCTTGTTTTTTATTCATTTATTTTTGAGGAGTTACAAATATTGTTTGTCCATTTTCGTTTAGTGTAAATCTTTGACTGCTTACGGTATTAGTGCTAAAAATTAATTGTTAAGTTTATCTTTAGCTTTAAAGGTATATTAAACGTAATCTTTACTTTAACTGTTACACATTACTCTCATTTGTATTTCTATTTGCTTCTTTGCTGCGCCTCCTGGTCGCGGTTAACTCTGGTTAAGCTTGTCGGTCAAGTCGGTTTTTCTGTTTCTGTTTTTGTTTTTCACTTTTTCAATTTTTTAGTTTTTTTTTTTTGTTTTTGAGTTTTTTGGGAAGAAATCGCAATAAAAGTGGGGCAAGGTATCGGAATTCGGAGCAGGACAACACAACAATTGTTACTCCAGGAGTGTGGGAGCGAGGGAAGTTTGATTATTTGTTTGTATGTACAAAATGCTGAGCCTGTTTTTGAGCCGCACTCCGAAAAACAATTCCGAATAGTCCGAAGGAAAACACCAAACCGAAACGGTAAATTCTTATGTAAATTTTTTTCGCTTTATTTTCAAATTAATTTACAACTTTCGCGTTTTTTCAGCTCTTGCAAGGTACAAAAAAAATTATTCAAAAAAATAAATTGTGAGGAAACAAAGAAGGTCATTAGGAAAGAAAAAACGCTCTTCGCTTACGTACATTGGTGGATGCAAAGAAAAATCGAAACACACAAAGAACAATTAATTTTTAACATTGTTTTTTCCATTATTTTTGCGTCTTTTACAGAGGTTATCTACAAAGAAATCAGATCTGTGTGCACGAGAATTCAATATAAGAAAAATAAACGTACAATATGGGGCGAAGAAGTTATCAAATCGGGGGCTCTTACAAATGAAACGTATAAAATGGAATAGTTAAAATGTGGATAACTAAAATAATAATCGTATATTTTGGTCTGCGACTTAGACATTTTTTCAACTACATACGACCTATGTAGTTGATTGCTTTTCTGTATGTATATAAAGTTGCTTGTTGCTGTTATTGTTTTTACTCCTGCCTATTTTTTTCTAGTTAATCTTCAACGAATACTTCGCCGTTTACTTTTTTCTTTACGTACGTAGTTGGTGTTCTGCTTCTCTGCGATTTGTTTGTTTTGTTAGATCTGCTGTTGGTGTTCTTCTTTTAAGGTATAAATGTTCAATAATTGTCGTTATTTGTTTTTTTTTTTTTTTTTTTTTTTTTTTTTGCTATATAAACTGTATAAATTGCCTGCCTGCTACGCTGAACGTTTTGTCAAAAAAGTTTTTGTTTTCGATTTTTGCTTTGTTTTTCGAGTTTTTTCTTTTTTTTGCATTGTTTTCATTTTTTTGTTTTGTTTTGCTTGTTTTTCGTTTCTATTTATGCCTTAACGGTAGAACTTTTTTGTTTTGTTTTGTTGGTTTATATGCATTACTTAACTAACAAATAGCAGCGTGCATACAGCTGCTGTACACGAACCGCACATAAGCGTATATATATACTATATATATATAGGCCATATGCACGAGACTAAAGTTTATCGCTGCTTAAGGACTAACATTTATAGACTTTCCATTCTTATTGCGGATGTTCTTGTTGCAAAGAGTTAGAATAGTTGCTTGGTTTCAATTGTTGTTTGTTGTTTTCTGTTTTTTGTTGATGTTGCTCCTGCTCATGTTGCTAATGTTGCTCCTACTGATGTTGCTGCTGCTGCTGCTGTTAAGTTGCTTGCTGACTGACACTGGACACTGACACAGAGACACAGAGACCAGCCTGTTGTTTCATCTTCGTTCTTGTAATGTAGTACATATCTTTCGTATATAATAGCTATGTAGCGTAGTGTTATTAATTAATGTATGTGTTTATATATGCATGCTGCTGATGCTCCTTCTGTTCCTCCCCTCCTCACACTCGTCATCCCTCTCGACTTCGACTTCGACTCGCACTCCAAAATATCATATCAGGCATATTATATTGCGGACCGACTCCTGCGCTTTCTAGTTATCGCCGTTGTGATTGACATTCTGCTGCAGCTCCTTCAGCTTCTCCTCGCGCGGCTTGGCGTTGCCAAAGATCGAGGCCGATTGCTTGGTCTCGGCCACCGCGTTTATGGGAGCGGCAATGGTCCGTGGCTTCAGCTGCAGGCGTGGCCGCTCATTGTCGTCTGGGGATGAAGGATGGATAAATGGATGGATGAGTAATCGAAAAATTTGGCCAATTTGGACAGCGATAAAGGAGGAAAATGTATAACGAATGGACCGTCTACCAAACTCTTTATATTATATTTTCAATTTAATAAACATTCATTTGAAGACAATACAAAAAAAAAATAACCCCCTTATAATCTTTTTGTTTTTTTCGCTTTTCTTACCTATTAATATTTTAAGTCACAAAATATATATGTAAATTTACAACTAACATAAACATAGATCTGTTATGTTAGCAATTACTAGAATATTTCTTTAATTTTAATAGAACAAAGGATATGCAATCTTAGAGAATGACAAAGTTATAGCCAAATAAGTAGACTTTAACTTTTTACATACAAAATGGCACTAGAATTCTGTGCTCTACAGCTAGTCCATGGTGCGATATATTTTTGATCCCACCTTATTATTATGCGCAACTCACCAATGGCGCCCATCGAGGAACCACCGCCGACGCCCAAGCCGCCAGATCCGCCGGAACCGCCGCCCAGGCCGCCCATTCCGCCGCTGGGACGTTCGCTCTGCTGGTTGGGATTGTAGTGGGTACGCTCGCGGTCACGGTGCCGGCTGAAGTTGTTGTATCGATCGCCGTCACGCGACTGATTGCCATAGCTGCCTTCCCGCTGTCCGCGATCGCGATCCTGGTTGCGATCGAATCGATCATCGTTGTTGAAGTTGCCGTACCGACCCCGATTTGCCGGCCGATCTGCAACGGAAACAATGGGATTAGCACCTGTTGGCCAGGAGTAGACCTGCCTTAGAGTTAGGCTCAGCATGCTGACTAAATGCAGTTCAAAGTAAAAAGCGTGCGGGTGTAAAGTCGTTTCAAATCTATCAATATGTGTGCTTAGGCTACTGATACAAGGGAGCTATACGGGGCAGAAGGGTGGGTTCGTTTGCAATGGACGCAAATTAGGCTCAAAATAAGGTGGAAAAATGTAAGCAATAGATCCCCAAAATCAACATAAAGAGCAAAGGGAAATCCTCACAGATTTCAGTAAATAAGATTTGATTGGCATAACTAGGAACTCCAACCAATCAAAACACCAACATTTTGTGGTTCTCAAAAGTAATGCTCTGAACAACTCGTTTAAGGATTTATTAAAAATTAAATAAATTATAATTTTTTTCCCAAAATATTTAAGCAGGAACCGGTGTAAATTTATAAAAATAAATTTGTTTATACATAAGTTATACTTTTCAAATGCTTGAATCGCAATTAAATTGATGAATTTCATATGTGTAAATCATTGTTTACAAAAGAACAAGATATAAAGCGCGAGTGCATTAAACTATAAACTGTTTAATAAAGTAAATTTAGCCATTAACTTTAAGGTCAATAAATGATCGCTAATTGCTTTGTAATTTCCAAGGACGAGAGTCTCCTTTGACGCCTTGTCGACCCAAAACAATACAAAACTGACCAAGAAAAGCAAAGCAAAACCAACTAAAGATCAGTGTGAAGAACCGCAGGAGGGTAACAAGTAAAGAAGGAATAGAAACGGTAATATAAATAGAAATAGAATGGGAAATTCTAGGATCACTTTCGAGGACTGCAGCATGGATGTCTTCCTGCCATGCGATCGAATCGAATTATTATTTGAATCAGGATCGGAGTCGGAATCGTAATCGTAATCAGTAATCAGTAATTAGAATCAACTACTTTTTTGGCGGCACTACGAGGGATGCAGCTACGTGTTGTTGGTTGGTTGTTTGGTTGATTTGATTGATTTGGTTGATTGGTTGGTTGGTAGGTTGGACGGCAGATAAAAATGCTTTACCATTGTATCCTCTATTCATGCCACCGCCGGAGCCCGCGCCGCTGCCGCCGCCGCCGCGACTTCTATCACTGTGACCACCATAACTATCATTGTACGAACCTCTACTATCGCCGCGATTACCCGATCCGCCGCCGCCTTCGCGACCGCCGCCAGTGCCAGGACCTCCCCGACTGTAGGACTGACTGCTGCCGCCCTGACGGGGTGGGCCGCGCTTCTGGAAACCGTCTCTGCCGTCGCCGCGGGTCATGCCGCCGTTGCCGCCGCCGCCAACACCGCCACCAGGGCTGTAAGAAAGTGCAAAATATTGTATTTCATCTTGTAAACCAGCATGACCACGGGAGTGTATCGACTTGGAGGCCCTTTAATCGTTTGAGACAATTCTAAGCAAGCAAGCAATAACTCGCGTTTCTCTTTATGTAAGAACGATAATTAATTTTCTTTTTTTTAAATGTATGCAATTACATAAGTATATCAAACAGCTCGTTTAAGATGTTGGCTTTATCAATACAATAGTTTTTTGAACTCGGCAAGTATTTAAAAGAAATTTATATGCTGATATTTATTTCATGACACCTATGATGGTGATTAAGGGCACATACTTTCTTTGAAAATATTGCTCATAGTTGCCTATTGAATATGTTATGTTTCGTCCTAACAAGTCGAACCACTCCAATGTGTAGTGAAAGGGCATTTTCCACATACCGATCATTTTTCCGGCGATCGGCAATATCGATGCGCAGTGGCGCCGACAGATCGTCCAGTTTGATCCGACCATCGCATTCTAGCGCCCGCTCCAGATTGTCCAGCGTCTCGAACTCCACGTAGCAGAAGCCTTTGAACTGATCCGTATCGCGATCCTTCACCAGCCGCACGTTCTTCACCTCAAAGTCCTGGAATATTTTGATCACGTCGCCCTGCACTAGGCCTTGCGGCAGATTGCCGACGAATGCGACAAAGGGCGGTTCTGTGGGCAACTGCTTCGATGCCCGGTCTCCACCGTATCCGCCTCTGAAATGGGGAAACAAAATTTGCATTAGAAGAGTTGGTTATATTGACATGAAGGTGTTAGTTCAAAAACACAAGCTTTTATAGTTTTTTACTTATTAAAAGCCAGTTTGAAACGATTTAACTAAGTAGGGACATAGTCTACATGAGTTACAAAATTAAAATTTTTTTAATTTTTTGTTTAATATAATAAAGAAGTAAGTATGTTTTTTACTGAAACGAAATGATTATAAGTTGGGGTATGTTAACTGAAATGAAATTGGTTATATTGAATAAAATATTATAACATATCTAGAGATTGTTAAGGATGAAAGGCTTTTAGTTAAGGTTAGGTTTGCAAATGTACTTATATCTTGTTTACTGATCTTCGTCATTATAAACTAATCACCCCGATTAAAGAAGGACTGAGATTAATATTGGATACTGTTATTGTTTGGGGTAAGTTATGTTGTTATTGTAGTTCCTAATCCTGGATAGATTTCGCTAGGATCTACAAATGGTTTAGTTAACTAAAAGTGTGGCCGAGTTCTGGATGTTGTGCCGCCTTCTGTGGCGTAGCATTTCCTTGGAACCTTGAAACCTTGAAACCGAATTCAATCAAAGGGGGTGTGTCTGCGTCTTCTTCTTAATTGTGGGGCCCGGTGGGCAAAACGCCACCCCGTGAGGCAAAACGCACATGGCTGGATTGGATTATATGGGTAAGCTGGCTCCGATTTCCCGGCGAAAAGTCAACAAAGATGCAGGCACTCATAACAACGGCAACAACAAATGCGGAGTGGGGGGGACAGGTGTCAAATGGTGGGGAAAATCGCGCGCGCTTTTTGGCAAAAACTGCATTCTTTATGGATTTTGCATCTATTTTTGGTTTTTTTTTTATTATTTTGTGGGGGAGGGGTATAATTGAAAAGTCGCCGGTGCGCTGCAGTCGACATCGACGCCGGCAGCGACGCCGACGCTGGCCGAAGCAGAATTTCCCGAAAAGAAAAACAACGCAGGCGGTGCAATTAATAAAAAAAAAAAAAGAATCACAAGAAAAAAAAAAGGAAAAAGAATGTTGGAAAAAAAAAACACGCACGCACACTGCCCCGCACACACACTCTCACGCGCACACACATACAAAGGCGGCGGCGACCAACGACCGACACGTACACTATACATGCACATAAGTTTCGTGAGCGCGCGCGAGTGTGAGTGAGCGGCGAGGCGAGAGCGTGCGCGTGTATTGGTGGGCTGGTGTTGCCTTTTTTTTGCCCAAACCCCAAAAAACCGCGTGCATTATTACACATTTTGGCCGAATTGTCGGCACTCGCGCAATTTACCCGCACGGGGGCCACTTTCACAAACACCGGCGCATCGTGGCCAACATACAGCGTTCGCGATTGCAATAATAATTAATAATATTTACCTAGCGTGTTCATAACCACCTCTTCCAGCCATGTTTTATTTTTTTCAAATGAGCGAATTCGCTGCAATCCGCAGTGTGAACACACGGGCGAAAAATACTATCGCAGCGAATTCGCCGTAAGAGTGTCACCACACCCCGTTTTTGGTTCCCCGATATCGGCTTCGGCATTTTTTGTAATATTTTTATCTCTGTTAAATCTTAATTTAAGTTTTTTATATACAAATTTACAAAAAATAATAATTTTTGGATAAATTAGTTAATATTAAAATGGTATGGAGATTCACGATAATCATTATAAATTTTTACCCCCATATATTTGATTTGTTTTCAAATGGGAAAGCGAATTAATGCGAATAATATGTTTAGAAAACCTTTAACGTTCTGGTATACGTGATAAACACGATATTTACAAATCCCTAATTTATTTTTAATTAATAAGATAAAATCGTTTGTGAAAAAATTAAAAAATATTTAACTTGTTAACATAGCTTTCACCGTCAAATAAAAAAATGTTCCTACATTTTACCCAACATTTTACATTTTACATCAAAATTTGACAAACATTCTTAAACTTTTATCGATACCTTGAATAACATACACAGCCCTAACTTTTAGTGCATCTAATCAGCTGCCAGAGTACAAACTCCTACGCAGTTTATAACTATAAATTATACCAATAGTCTTGCAACAAAACTATGGCGGAAGACAATTGCATTTTCTGCAACATTTCCAGCGGCCAAGAGCCCACCAGTGTTTTGGAAGTGGAAACTGATGAATTTGTCATTTTTAAGGACATCAAACCCGCCTCCCAGCACCATTATTTAGCGGTTACCAAAAAACATTACAACAGCCTCAAGGTTCTGGACAAGTCCCACGATCCCTTGGGTGAGAGTGATTTAAATAATTTGGCATCAGCTTTTAATAATAAAACTCCTTACAGTCACACGAATGGAGAGCGGTTTGAAGGAGTTCCTAACGAGCAAAGGGATTTCTGTCCAGGATGCGTTGTTCGGCTTCCATTTGCCACCGTTTATCACGGTCAACCACCTCCATATGCATGCCATTGCCCCACGATCCGAAATGGGCTTCCTATCCAGATTAATCTTTAGACCCTCTGCTTGGTTCAAAACCGTACGTAGTGCCTAACCCTCATAATTAGCCATAACGCTGATACCATCTAATCTTTTCAATTATAGGCCGACGACGCGCGACTATACCTTTCCCAAAAGGAAAGCTTGCAGTGAAATCGGATTAAATTAGATAATAAATAGACAAATTTTGAAGAGTGGTCAAAACAAATAAATGCAGCCAAAAAACACCAGTATTTATTTTTAAAATAGTTTGCAAAATTTAAAAGGTTTTGAAAATTTCAAAATAGTGGGAAAACATTGCAAAGCTTTCAAAAGATAAAATTTGATAATAGGGGTATACAAACATACGTTTATTTTTAATTTTTTTGTGCTAAGGATTTTTTAAATTATTTAAAAGTACATGTAACATATTTTAGCTTTAAATGTGCAATAAATAAATGTAAAAATTATTTAATTAACAGTCCTTAAAAACTATTTAACTATCGATTAAGACGGTCACACTAAAAACGTAAGGTCGATAGTATATCGATAGACAACATATGTTTTTTGTTAGAAGTCTCAAAAAATTGTCATTTGATTTCAGGACAATGAAGTCCTTAAAAGAGGATTTGGAGGAGGAGGACTTACTTGTGGAAGAAGTGAACGATTTATCGAACGACGAGACTAATAAATTGAACGGTGATGAAATATCCCATCGGTTCGATGCTCAAGTTAAGCAGGAGAAGGATACACATTCTTTCGAGGAAGAGTTGATAAAATGCCACTTGGGTTTCGAAGTCAAACAAGAGCCAATCGAGGATGTGGAGTGGCAGTTCCGTGGCCAAATAAAGAACGAACCCATTGACGATGAAGAAGTGGACGATGCATCAGTCAGTTGCATGGATCATTCGCAAATTGAGATAAAAAACGAATCAATCGATGAGGTTCCGATTGGGAAAGAAGGAGATGTAACTCAGGAAACCAAATGTAACTATTGCCCGGCAACCTTTGCCGATCCCAACGATCTAAGTCGGCACATCCAGTCGCAGCATGCATCCTTAGATTGTTCCCACTGCCTGAGGACTTTTTCCACCCATGCCGGCTTTCAGCTGCACTTGCGATCCCACAAGACACCCTTCCAGTGCGATCAGTGCCCAGAGATATTTGCTTTGCGCGGTGCTCTGGCTCGGCACAAGCAGCAGCACAAGGATGAAGTTGGCTACCCGTGTGAGCTCTGTGGAGAGATTTTCCGGAGGCCTGGTTACCTGGCACAACACTTGCGAACCCACGCCACCGGACGATATCAGCCGGCGTGCCCCTTCAAGTGTGACCACTGCCCGGAGGCTTTCGCCAAGCACACGGATCTGAAGCGGCACACCCGAGGTCATGGTCATGCCCCCAGCGAGGTATCGCTGAAAAGAAGATTGCAACTGGAACCTGATACTGGTACCCACAATTGTGCCAATTGCATGAGCACCTTTAGCGATCTGACGGAACTGAGGCGGCACTTGGTGACGCATTTGACGATGGAAAAAAACTTTGAGTGTCCGGAATGCTCAAAAATCTTCTCCCTGCGGGCAACTCTCAGGGCCCACCAGCGATCGCATTCAGCGAAAAGAGCCAAAGTTTATATTTGCACCCACTGCCCAAAGGCCTTGGCCAATCACTCGGCTCTCAAGCGGCACACCCTAAGTCATGCGAAAAGAGCCAAGGACTACGATTGCACCCACTGCCCGAAGGCCTTCGCACACAGAGCACATCTCAAGGCACACCTGCTAGTCCACACGGGTGAACGACCCCACGAGTGTGCCATCTGTGGGAAAGCATTTGCACAGAAAGCCAATCTTGTCCGGCACATGGGCACGCATTCAAAGGAGCACAAAAGACTTACACGACAAAGCTCCGGAGAATTGTCCTTTGGCTGCCCTCACTGCTCGAAGGCTTATGCAATCAATTCTTCGCTCCAGCGCCACCTGAAGACGCATTCGGCAGAAGAGCAGGTCTTTGGGTGCCCACGTTGTCCCAAGATCTACAGATATAAGTCCATTCTCCAGAATCATCTGGCCACAGCGCACCTATGCGAAAGTCCATGAAACTTCAAATCGGATGCATTTCTGCAGGAACATCTTCGTATGCACGCCGAAGAACAACCAGAGGCATAGTTACCATAGGGCTTCTAAATATATTTAAATCAAACTCACATGGTTACTGGTTATTATATTCATAGTAGGCATGACAGCTTTGTATTGGCTTCCTAACTTTATACAAATTGCTAGTGATATTAAGGCCTCTTTAAAAATGTTAACTATATGGGATTAAATAATAGGAGTTCTGTGATTTAAAATAAAAAAAAAATGATGCGGGTAGAGAAAAAGCATAATAAATATGTATTAAATCAGGGATCCTTAATAAGAGTTATTTGCAATCTTTACTTTTCCTTTTAAACATCAAATATAACACTATTCTGGCTCTCGTCCACAAAATAAAGTGGGCAAAAGAAGTGTAATTACACTTTGCACTGAAATTTCCTATAAAATGTTCGTAAACCTTTTTTGTCCACCGTAAATTAAATATTATTTTTAAAAAATATAATTTTAAATTTGATAATTGTCCCATTGTTAAATTTTAAAAAAAATATCGAATACTGTAAGCTATGAAGGATCTGCCTCTCCGTAAAAAAAAACATAACTTTATGCACTCGGAAAAATTTCATAAAAACGGAAATTTTTGGGGAAACACCGATTTGCCGCTCATGGAGTGTGACCAGTTGGCGGCAGAGAATTATCGTCGCTGCCCCACCTGCATCTAGTGTGACCATTTCCGATTGTGTCTCGATACCGTACCGGCTAAAACTATCGATATTATCGCTGCTGCCCTGCCTTCACTGTCTGCTTCTTCTTCTTGCGCCCGCTCGGCAAAAATTGTACACGTTTTTCGTTTCGAAAAGTGCATTTTCCCTTTTTTTTCGGCTCGGCAAACGATTACGCATTCGAAAATGGCCCTCACGTCGCGCTTCTACAACGAGCGATATCCAGAGATCGAGGATGTGGTCATGGTCAACGTGCTGTCCATCGCAGAGATGGGCGCCTACGTCCATCTGCTGGAGTACAACAACATCGAGGGCATGATCCTGCTGTCGGAGCTGTCCCGCCGGCGCATCCGTTCCATCAACAAGCTGATACGCGTGGGCAAGACCGAGCCGGTGGTGGTCATCCGTGTGGACAAGGAGAAGGGCTACATCGATCTGTCCAAGCGTCGCGTCTCGCCCGAGGACGTGGAGAAGTGCACGGAGCGGTTCGCAAAGGCCAAGGCCATCAACTCGCTCCTGCGCCATGTCGCCGACATCCTTGGCTACGAGGGCAACGAGAAGCTGGAGGAGCTCTACCAGAAGACCGCCTGGTATTTCGAGAAGAAGTACAACAGCAAGACGGTCGCCTACGACATCTTCAAGCAGTCGGTCACCGATCCGTCCGTCTTCGATGAGTGCAACCTGGACGCGGAGACCAAGGAGGTGCTGCTCAGCAACATCAAGCGCAAGCTGGTCTCGCCCACCGTCAAGATCCGGGCGGACATCGAGTGCTCCTGCTACGGCTACGAGGGCATCGACGCCGTCAAGGCATCGCTCACCAAGGGCCTGGAGCTGAGCACCGAGGAGCTGCCCATCCGCATCAACCTGATAGCGCCGCCTCTGTGAGTTCAAATGATAGGATTGTGTTTTATTGATTGCACTGATGAAATTAATTCCAAGAAGATATGTAGTTAGTTCTCTGAACTCTGAACCTCCATTTGTGGTTATTTATTCTGCCTTCTCTAAAAAGTTAATAGGACTATGTATAGTTAATAACAGGTTTTGGATAAGGAATGACGAAGTTGATCGCGTTCGGGGATGCTCTAAAGAGTTACTTAAGCAATGTAGTGTGAAGCATTACTAAATCTAAGTCCTTTGTTTCCAAACTTTAAAAGTAACGCGGTTTTTGATAAGGGTTCTTTGAAATTAATCCCGTTTGGCACGCACTAAAGCGTTACTATATGTTTATCAAAGACAGTTTTTGATTTATTAATGAATTAAGAAAATTAAACAAGCAACTTTTTATTAAATCATCTTTCTGATTTAATATACAGTTGCTCTGATTATAAAGCTTAAAGTTTTTTACACAAAAGTGGGTTTACTAAGGATTATTTGGGTTGTGATGCGTAAGATGCTTAAAATGTAATATTTTGGTAGACTTCCATAGCGTGTTTTTCCATTGAGGTCCCTTGAAATTGTTAAATCACAAAGAAACGTTATTAATCTTTTGAGGAAGCATTTATATGTAGTCACACAAGCAATGATCAGAACAAATTTAATTACATTAAATTCAATTTATTTATGCAAAAATCATTCTCATAAATTTACTTATATTTTACCAAAGAGCGAAAGTTATTAAACCTTTAATAAGGTATAGATTAAATATAAACAAAGCTCACCTCGTATGTTTAGTAAAAGTGGACTTTACTTGAATTTAGACAATTCGGCAGCATATCTAATGACAGCTTCAGAAACTTGTATAAAAGTATACTTAAATCAGGTTATTTTCCTCTTTTGGAAAACCTAGGGAACGTAATAATAGCCTGTTAGTCGATAGGTAATTAACAGACAAAACTAATCAATTTCCCTGTCAAACCTTGCAGCTACGTGATGACCACGTCCACCACAAAGAAGACAGACGGTCTGAAGGCCCTGGAGGTGGCCATCGAGAACATACGCGCCAAGATCATCGAGTACGAGGGCGAGTTCAAGGTGATCATGGCGCCCAAACTGGTCACCGCCATCGACGAGGCGGATCTGGCCCGACGCCTGGAGCGGGCCGAGGCCGAGAACGCCCAGGTGGCTGGCGACGATGACGAGGAGGATGGCGCCGACCAGGAGGGCATGCAGTTCGACCCGGAGAAGGAGTTCAACCACAAGGGCTCGGCGGCGGGTCGCACGAACGAGGAGGATGAGGAGGAGGACGAGGATTAGCGTAGCCACGGCATCGGACACAACTATAGCAACTGTAACAAATGATTTAACGAGTTTTGCATTAATAAATTCAGACATATGCGCCATGTGTATGCTTGTGAACGGTATGGCCGTGTGTGTGTGTGTGTGGAACCTTTGAAGCCTTCAGCAGACCAGAAGTTGTAATTTTATAATTTATATACATAACTTAACTAACGCTATTAAAGATTTACAAATGGGGAAACAGCAAAGTGTGCCGCCCGACAAAAGAGAATCCAAAATGCGCTTGTTGTTTATTTATTTATTTTTTTTTTTCAAATCCAAAACAATACTTTCGACCTTTTATTGAACCCAATTCAGTTTTGCTTGATAGAGCCTTAATACTAGTTCAAATTGTATATAATGTTTACATGTGTATAATTGTAATATATTTTAAATAGTCAGGCATACTTTTTCTTTCGTAATTTGTTTGTATGTTCGCTTAATACAGTTTATGTTTTCGTTGATGTGGTGTGGCTTGGTTTTGTTCCATCACCGTCCAGATCCATCCATTAAATACGTTACTTTTGTCTTAATTTTAGATTAAATCGCCTACTGTATTCCTCCTCTCAATATTCTCTAGAAAAAAACCATCCCTAGTTCTGTTTTTAAAAATGATCCGCTGCTGGAAAAATGCACCCTAATTAGCTATTGTACATCGTAACAAACGATTCGTATAAAAAAGTGGCTTCAGTTTATAAAAATTTCACTAAATTAGAAGGGTTTTGCTTTCGTTTCTGTTTTCATTGCTTTTTTGTTTGTTGCACGTGTTGTTGTGTTGTTGTCCTCTTACTGTTCGTATGCTTGACTTTATATATGTGGCGTGGCTCCTTTTTTATTTGGTATTGCATGGAGTATTTCGTTGGAACGGCATCCTGTATGTGTGTGTCTGTCTGTGTGTGTGTGTGTTTATCATCCTATTGCAATCCAATTTCTTTCTGTGGCTGTGGCGATTTCGGCTTGAGGTGGTGTGTGTGCTGAGGATCTAGCCGCGTTCAGCTGAGTTCGGCCCCGGAGGCGGCGGCGTTGCGATTGAGCAGCACGGAGCTGGCCGCCTGCTTGTTGCCGCCGCACAGCCGCAGCACGGTGAGCACATCGCTGCGTGGATAGCCCAGGGCCATGAGATCGGTGACGTCCTGTTCGGTGAATTGATCCAGCGGTTGAATTGTATTGGGTCCGCCGCCAGCGCCACCGCCACCACCCTCCCGCTTGCTTTGCTCAATGGCATTGGCAATCGCCTCCTGCTCCATCGCTTCCTCTGAGTTTCCGGTGAGCCGGGCACTGACCGGCAGCTCGCTCTCCGGCAGAAACGGCGTCGCCGTTCCGGTGGTGCCGATTATCAACAGATTCCGCTGCAAGTCAATCAGGCACTGCAAACGGATAGTTCATTAGGCATTTGTACTGTCTGCAATTGAATACTCGAAATCCCAACCTGATGTCGCTTCAGCATATCGAGGCCCAGCAACATGTCCATGGGCTGCTGGCCGAGCACAGTGAAGCTGGACGTTAAATGATCGTTCTCAATCTGCAGCTGGACCATGTGCACCCTGCCCAGAATGGGCTGTGTGCCCACGCCCTTGGCAATGCCATTCCAACGCGTGTCGATCAGCCGGTTGACATGGCAGCGTTCCGCACAGTCCTTGCTCATGATTGTCGTCTGGGCGCCCGAGTCCACAAAGGCCTTCACCGGAAACCCATTCACCTTGCAGTTGATATAACTACAAAAGTACATTTGTTACTATTATTATTATTACATTATGAATAACTGATCTGATCTGATCGTAACTGTTTAGGTAAGGATCAACTATTTTGTTTCCTTTTTCTAATATTTCATGACTAGCTCACTTTTATACGACAGCAATCTAAAAAAATATCTATAAAATGATTATTGGATGAGTCCCATCTTGATATATATAAATATACTGTGCAACTCCGACTTCGTTTAATATACATATATAAATCTTTGGCAAGCAGTAAGGTGCGACGGATGTCCTCGTTTTGATTTAAGGATTATGGATTTAGTGTGATACTCACAGCATGGTGACCGTGCCAAAGATCTCCGGATTGTATTCAATGGCTGCCGCCATGTTATCCTGGATGTTCTTCTGTTTGATCTCCTCGGCAATCAGACGTTGCGTCTCCTCGTCGAAGGGATCGGCGTTCAGCATGCGCATGCGCTGCTCGTTGCGTCGCTTTCGCTCCGTAATGTGCTCGCGGAGCAGCCGGGCGAAGGTCTCCTGGTCGCCGGAGTCGATGGCCTCCGCCAGACGCGGGTTGTTCTGCCGGAGCAGCGACAGGGTCTCGGGTCTGGACAGGAACATCTGGCGCACCGTCGCCGGATCGTCGTCGAAGTTCACGTTAAACTCATTGGTCGTGGGGAAGTCTGTGAGGTTGTTGAACTGCGACGGCAGCATTCCATGCTGGTGGCCACTCCGCGAAGGCGGACTGCCGCCGGAACTCGTGCCCGGCACTGCGATGCTGCTGAAGTCCAGCGTGCTGATCGCTGGATTCCCGCCACCTGAAAGAAAGGGGGTGCAGTTTAATCATCTATACATACATATATCTATTATTTTTTTGTTTACTTTAAAAGCGACTTGGTCTTTGGATGCATGTTGAAGCCAAGCTTGATTTAATATGTTTATAAACATCCTTACATTAGCTTACGCCATAAAACACAAAAGTAAGCCAGACGTTGGAAAATATTAAATTATATATGTATGTATGTATGGTCGAAAAAAAAAGGTTGTACCAAAGCAAGCTCAATTTTCTATCCACTCGAGCAATAAATCAATATCTAATAAACTAATTAACTTATTAACTAACTATTGGAAAAGAGTAGCAAGCTATAATCACTCAAGATTTTTAAACTTGGGAGTATTAACCTTAAAAATAAGCGAATAAATTGGGTAAAGGCAGAAATACAAGGTCATATGTTATATACTTATACATATGTATGTACATACATACGTTTTTAAATAATTGCATACAACATTTTTAGATCTACGGGAATTTGTGTGACTATATCTTTAATGCGTATCAACCATACTTAATAAAAATAACTTCGTAGTTTCTAATTTAATAAATGTAGTTTGTATATCCTATTTGTATACAACTTTAATCAGAGCTGCTAGGATATTCACAATCCCACAGGTTCCTTTCTCGTTTTACATGCCCACACTTGCAATAAAATATATGCATGTATGTATGTCTCTACATATGTATGTATGTACATACATATATCCATTTTTATTTTAAAATGTGTCTTGCAGCATGGAGTCCGAAGTGATATCATTGTGCTGTGCAATTGGTTAAATGAAATCGAAAAATGTTCACCGCCCACACCTGCAGTCCGAAATATGTATGTATGTATGTACATATATGCATATACACATGTACATATGACAACATTAGTATATCATGATCCCATTCCAATGGACAAACAGACAAGGCCAAACACGCACGCAGAGGTCAACAAAACAGTCGGAGATGGGCGGATCCACACCTGCTGCTGCTCCTCCAATTCCAATGCCATTCCATTCCCGTTCCCTGCCGCTCGCTCACCCTCTCTCGCTCTCTCACTCTATTTCACTGCAGTGGCAACAGATAAGCCACTTCCAGTGTTCCCGTTCTTGTGTCTGTTATTTTGGAATTTGCAAAAAGAAAGGCAAGCGAAACCAAGCGTTTATTTTTAACACCAACTGCGCCACAAAAAGATTTGCTGTGCGCTTTTCCAAAAAATTACAAAGCAAAAAAAGACCATTGGAGCTTGATTCACAGTTCAAATTTCACCACACGGCGAAAAGTTTCTGAACGATCCCCTTTTAATTTATGTTCTGCTTGTAATATGTTTACAACATAATTTATGGAGTTTAACAAAGGCTTAATTACCCTCTTGAAAATTATTACATTAATTAAACCTAAAATCATGAATTGAATTTCATTTAGTAATGATAATGGGTTAACTGCCAAACCCTCAAAATTTTTACTCAAGATCCACTCCTGTCCCCACCAGACGTGACCCACTTAAGGGTTAATGGCTCTCCACTCTCCTCTCTCTTTCCATTGCTCTTACCTGAGCGATTGGCGCTCCTGCGTCGTTCCAGCATAATGAAGTCCCCGTCGCCGACGCCGCACTGTTGCAGCGACTGTTTGTCGTTGGAAAGTTCGCGCCCGTTGAATATGACCACTATTTGGGCCACCTCCGCACCGATCTCCATCGCGCAGAGGGCCTTGAGATTTTCCAGCTCCAGATCCTGGGACACGTCCAAGCAGAAGACCTTGTCATCGCTGGTGGTCACTGTGATTTTCATTGCCGCTCCCTGCTTTGCTCTTCGGGGATCACTGATTGGGATCTGGGTTCCGGTGCTGCTTCTTAAGGGGAAAGTCCTAATCTCTGCTCTTTGCCGTTATCTTCGGTGGCCAAGTGGGGGTGCTGTGCTGATATTTTGCTTATTGTTTTGACACAACAACGAAAACGCCGCCTCCACACTTTACGGTTGCATGCGTTGCGGTATCGTACTCCGGAGCCGTCTGCCTATCGATGGTTGTGGGTGGATTCGAGACTTCTTTGTCTTTTTAATGCATATTTTCTGGGGTATCCAAAGCGGAAGTTAACTGGGTATTTGGAGGGCCTAAAAAAATGTTTTCAATAATTTCGACACATCACGCGAAGTATACTATAGGAATAGAATAAATTGTATGTTCAGTTGCAATTTTTTGTATGACTTGAAAATCGTTAACAATATTAGTCATGTGTTTCATTACAAAATTTGTTATAAAGTATACGCTATTATGCTTACAAATTATGTTTTTGATATAAAGATGAGCTCTTTTGCTTTTAATTGAGCTTTTGAACTTTTACTTTTTTTGTACTTTAAAAGCAAACACCAACAAACTTTGTATCTTCAAAATATATTTTTTTCAAGATCAACTTTAGATTTAATATACTTAATATTATATACTAAATATTTGTAGCTTGTATTATGTCAACTATAAAAACTTTGATGAAATCCTTTTTGGAGTCTTTTATGTAATTTTTGTTACTAGTTTGCCAACAATAACCTTTGGTTTTTGAAGTTATCATCTGAGTACAGTTACAAATCATTTGTTTTTGTTCCAAAAACGCTATTGGAAAAACTATAGACTCAATCTTGTTTTCTAACATTTCGGAATCATAAAACTATAATTATTAGTACTATGGCTTTGTATAAATTGAAGTTAATTTTTTCTTTATCTTTTCTAACGATAGTTGCCAGCTAGTGATGGCATCGATGTATATCGATTACTCATGTGGTGCCGTCGCTAAGCCCGAAAATTTATTGTTGTAAATTTATTTACTTTATTCAATTGGACAAACTTGGAGCGTGTGGACGAGCTTAGGAGCATTGTAGTGCCAGCCGATCCTAGAGAAAAATCAAATAAACCGCCATGTCCACGCAGCCAGCGGAGATTGAGGAGAGTGCGGCGGCAAAGTCCAAGCGACCTTCAGGTGAAAACCCAGTTTGATTCGAGTACCAGTACCTCACACTCCCATTCCCACTCCCACTTCCTCACACACACACACACACTCACACACGCACACACACGCGTAACAAGTGATAAGGAGAATGACTAATGTCCAATGGCAAATCGATTTTCGGGGCCAATCCTGGCGCCCTGCATAAACCATGAGGTCACGCTTGGTCGCTAACTTTTTCCGCCCACTTACATTTCCAACCGGATCCCCTCCCCAGATTCGGCCTTCAAGCAGCAGCGCCTGCCCGCCTGGCAGCCCGTCCTCACCGCCCGCACCGTCCTGCCCACATTCTTCGTGATCGGGGTGCTCTTCATACCCATCGGCGTGGTCCTGCTGCACCTGAGCAACACCGCCAACGAGCTGATCATCGACTACACCAATTGCAGGCCGGCCCCTGGCGAAGCCACCTGCGCGGAGTTCCTGGAGGCCAACCCCGGTGGCAAGTGCCGCTGCCAAGTGCCCTTCGTTCTGCCCAAGGACTTCAATGTGAGTTGAGGGGATCCTGAGCCCAGTTTAAGTAGCCCATCCAGAGTTCAAGCCCCTACAGTTGCGGTCAAAGTAACAGTTTAATGTGCTAAGTCTTTGAGGCACAGGACAACTTTTCCTTTCTTTTATCGTACTGCTGTCTTAGCAATCAACAAAATGAGACCCAAGAACCGCTTATGCTGTTTTAGTTTTTCAATGAATATGAAAAATTCCATAAATAATAACTATAAATACTCGTCCATCTGCACTTTGTTTTGCAATAGAAGGCTTTTTTATGTCTAATATACATATTTATAAAACTAAAAATTTAAAATAATTATATTTTAAACCTATGTTAAATGCGGATTTTTATATTTGCCCCAATTAGTTTATAGTATGAGCTGGACAATAATATAAAAAAGTTATTTTTAAAGTAGCTTATAAACTCTTTCGATAAGCCAAAAAACTTTTATTTAGATCGCAGCTGTATATGTTCACTTAAAAGCTGTACTCCTTGCTTAATCTAAAAAGATTTTATTAACATAGATTCAGCGGATTGGAAAGAAAAAATTTATGTTTAGTGAGTGAGCGGTAGATGCTTTACGATTATCCAAATTTTCCTTCAGATATAAGCTTCTGGTTATAACTTTATTAAAGCATGAGTTTTGTATCAAAAAACTTATAACCTATCATTGACTTTAAAATTAAGTTTTAACAAGCACCTAGGTAACTTCTGTTAAATAACTTTTTTATTTATTTCTTTTTAAAGGGTGTGGTCTATATGTACTACGGACTGACAAACTTCTACCAGAACCACCGGCGCTATGTGAAGTCACGGGACGACGAGCAACTGCTGGGTCACCTGTCGCAAACGCCCAGCACGGACTGCGCCCCATTCGCTTATGATCCGGAATCCGGGAAGCCCATAGCGCCCTGCGGTGCCATCGCCAACTCGCTGTTCAATGGTGCGCTATGACCTCCTGCCCCCCTTGATTATATCCCAACTAAACTTGATCCCTTCCAGACACGCTGACCCTGATGCAGGGTGGAGCCGAGATCAAGCTGTTGAAGACGGGCATTGCCTGGCCGTCGGACAAGCGGGTCAAGTTCCGCAACCCGGAGGGCAACCTCAACGTCTCCCTCGAGGGCTTCGAGAAGCCGTTGTTCTGGCAGAAGAGCCTGGCCGACCTGGACCCAGAGAATCCGGAGAACAACGGCTTCCAAAACGAGGATCTTATCGTGTGGATGCGCACTGCCGCCCTGCCCAGCTTCCGGAAGTTATATCGTCGGCTCGACCAGACGAACAGCAACTATGCTAAGGGCCTCAAGGCCGGCAATTATACGCTAAACATCACGTATAGTAAGTATTTATGGGTGACCCTATACATATATTATTAATCTAGATAAAATAGTTAACAAAACTAAACTAACTGCCATGATATAGCACTGGCTGCAGGGCCTTTGACTAAGTAATATATATATATATATATATATATATATATATATATCAAAAGTAAGGTTGATGCTTAAGCCCCAGATGTTCAATGAACTATTTTCTGAATGACATTCAAGCGTAAACAAGCTTTTAATAGGATATTTCTGAAATTTCTTATGATGAAGTGTACCTTATACGAGCATATTTATAAATCCTTTTGCACGATATAACACAAAAATAGTAATTTAAAATTAATTAAGGTTTTAAAGATCCCGGAACTTCTTGTTTTTCTTAACTAAGCATATTTGAGCAGAGCATTTTATATTATTTTGTTCTACTTTCCAGCATATCCAGTGGTCTCGTTCGACGGCACCAAGCGCATGATCTTGTCCACCACTTCTGTGCTGGGTGGCAAGAATCCTTTCCTGGGCATTGCGTACATTGTGGTCGGCGCCATTTGCATCACATTGGGCCTGGCCCTGCTTTTCATCCATATGCGCTGCAGTCGCAGGTGAGTTGCATCCGGACATTGATTCATTGATTCATCCTCATGTAACCCTCATGATCATCGACATCCTTCCTGTCCGTATCCCTGCTCCCACAGAATTGTAGTGCATTAAGTACGCTGGGAATCGAGAATATCATATCATCATAACCCATTGAAGTCCCCATAATTAAGCATGGCCAAAATACCTTTGCTCGGTGCGCGATAAGTATTGACATTTAAGTAGCGTTTGATAGTAGAAGCTTGAATCCTTATCGGGCACTGGCCAAATTGATTGACAACTAGCTGAATTTTAGGGGCTCTTGAACTAATCAACGTTTTATCTCTGTTTCCCCAGCAGCAACATGGAGATGATCAACGTGAATCCGCACACGCAGTACTCCTAGACCGAGCACCGACAGTATTCCGGGCTGATTCACTTAGCTTTAGTAGATCCATCTGTTTAAGTCCTATCAGCATAAAGTAGTTTCTATTGACCAACTGTGTGGCACTGTGTTCTCAACTACTCTGTTCCATTTGCTTTCTGACTGTCTGCATTTGGCCATCCGGTGATCTGGCCATGCCTTTTGTTAATTCTATTTCGGTTTTTGTCCTCCCCTCCCCCCCACCACATGTGCACCCAAAATAATTGTGATTCTCTTTGTATAATAACTTATTCTGCACATCACAACATCAAGTGGCCGCCCTTCGAAAATCCACACGAATTTCCACCACTGCTTTACAAACTGCAAAGTATTACTTTGCGTCTGACCTAATCTGTATTGCCTTTTACTACGTTTATAAGCGCAAATAAATATTGTTAATGGCATTGCTCTTGCTATCTTCTTTTATTGGCAATTAACTGGGGAAAGGGATTTTTAATTACTCGGCTTCTCTGACTTTACTCTTGTTTTGTTTATTTAGTGCTCAAGTAAATTATTATCCTTTGATGTTTAATAATTAAGAAATTAAGCTTACCCCATTATCATGGAAAAGACAATTCATTTAGCAATAAAAACAAAAAACTAAAACGTTTAGATTAAAAACATTTTGATATCGGCACAATTTCAGTATTTCCCAGTTGGATTTCAGATGAGGTAACTTAATCCATGTTATCGTAAACGGCAAGACCCATTACCAAAATAAACTGCAGTCTTCTTTTCTATATATATTTTTAGGTTTATATTTCTCGTATTACTTTTACTTTCTTTTCGATTCATCAACGCGTGAGGGACAAAAGTTTGCTTATATGATTCTGCATTTGTTTTAATTTATTTTGTACGTTTTAGACTACATTTCCAGTTACATTTTAGATGTCGCTTAAGCTAGTTTTACATATAATGCCGCCGTTATCAGTTGTGTCTATATATGTTGAAGTTGTGTGCGCATACGTGTGGGTGTAAGATACAAGTGTGAAATACAACTAATGTACAGATTATGTGTAAATCGTTATATTAGCTATATGAATGAATCTCAATCTATATAAATACGTGTCTAAGTATGGATCCTCTATTGACCTTGGTCTTCCTGGCCCATTAAGTTAAGTTCAGATGAGAAGTCAGGGCCGATTACAGATTCGTTGGTTATATATTTAGCACTTCACTCAATTTCAAAAATAACTATCCAAGGAACTGTCTGTTTATATAAAAAACGATGGGTCGAAACTAAATGTGAATAAATTCAAAATGAGTATTTTATTTGTTGTAACATTTGGCAACACACAATCCCTTTTTTTCTTTTATTCCTCTACAAAAAGGAATTCGTTAAGAATTTTTCAATGATATTTCTTACTCATGAATAGGAGTTGGAATTTGATGCTGCAGGTTTTGCTTTCAGTAGTATAAAATTGGATTCTTTATTTTGGAAACGTATTAGAGGGCAAACCAAAAGTCGAAAAATAACTAAAAAAGAAATAAATTGATTATTGGGACTGACATGTAAACCAAACATTATTTTCCTATTAAAATATTGTTTTCTTTTGGGAAAAGAATTTAATTTTATAATTTAATTGATTTTTATGTTGAGTCATGCAAACTTAAAGCTCGATCAAAAAGAGAAACATAGTTGGAACGCAAATTAATTTCATGTAAATTCATTATAAGGCCGAGATTTAAGCCAGGTTTAACCTTTTCGCGTTTTTTCGACACAAGGCCGACCGTCTCGAAAATAACCAGAAATGTAGTCTGCAGCTAAATGTTTATAATTATAATTCAACATAAAATCGGCTGTTGTTCTTTTTTAGGCAATTTTCAAAATATTTTGTTCGTGCAAGTGTACAGTTTGGATTTCTTTAACAGTTTTGCTTGTTTGACGCATTTGCGTTACCTCAAATTTACTTTAAGAATTCCAAACATATAAGAAAAAATGAAGCTTTCGGTTTCAAGATTTCTAATCTTCAAGTTTTGGGGATTGGTGTTCTATCAAAATGAAGTTTGATACTGTGTTTAGAATTTTGTGAAGACCAAGGCTTAATACAACAAAAATAAAGTCTAAACATCTATCGCTTTGTGTGTGTGTGTGTGTATTTGAGAGTGTCATGCACGTTTTGTGAAATACTTTGAAAATCCTGATGGTTATTTCTAACTCTAACTGAGCGGTTTCCCTTGCGTTTTCTGTCGCTTGCTTTGGTGCGTCGTAAACTTTTGCTTGAAAATTGTCGTGTAATATATTAAGACGTACTTTCCTATTTGCTTAAGCCTACCATATCAATGTATGTTTATATATAGTTTTTTTCTAAGCGAAACTTAGCCGTAAAAGGGTGCTTATAAACCCCTGTTTTTGCTTTGTGTGTGGGTGTGTGCGCGGTACAAACTAGGTTAACATTTAAAAAAAAAGTCTTAGTTAATATATGTATATATATATATATTCTATATATGATGTACATATATGTTAGTTAAGTTCTTAAGACTAGAAGCAAGAAAAAAAAAATGATTATATAACACACACGCACACACACGCATCTCGTTCTATACATAAACTTGGCTGATTTGTTGATGGAATGCGTTGCTGATGTTCATGTGTTCATGCTGATGTTGTTTTCATTGTTTGAACGATTCTGATGGTATGATGATGATAATGATGATGGTGATGATGGCGGTGTTTGAGTGGATTGGCTTTGTACATTTCAAGTGAGTTTGGATTGAGATGATGGAGGTGGTGGTGGTGGTGGTGTGTCGATGGCGATGTCGATGTCAATGTCAATGTCGATTGGATGATTACTCAATTTGTTGCAGCTGTTGCAGTTTTTGCAGTTGTTGCACTTTTCACCGCCGTGGCAGCAACAGTCTTACTCTTGTTGTTGTTATTGATGGCCAGCACCGCTGACTTGGAGTCAGGCTTCGTCTTTGCTGCCGTTGCTAATGTTGCTGTTGCCACCGATGTTGCTGCCACGCCGCTTGGTGTTGCTGTTGCTGCTGCTGCTGTTGGCTTTGTTGCTACTGCCGCAGCCGCTGTCGAGAGCTTTGGCCCATTGAGGAAATGGCTTTTGATGTGGCTCTGGAGAAGCTCCTGAGAATCGAAACAAAGTTGACATAGATCACAGGTAAAGCCGGGATCATTCAACTGATCGTCGGCCTTCTTACGCCGCTCACCCGTTGAATGAGAATGCGAATTGGACGTGGTCGTTGTGGTGGACTCGCTCTCCGACGAGGAGGCCGTCGACACCACATTCGGCTCGTCCTCCACATCCCCCTCATCTAAATCATCGTCGTCCACCTCCTCGATGGCATCCTCCTCCGCATCAGGATCCGGATCCGGATCGGCATCCTCATCGAACTCCTCCTCAATGATGTCCTCTATGGGCAACACACCGTCGTCATCCTCATCGTCCGAACTGGCCACGATCAGTGGCGGCATCTTGGACTTGCCGTTCATTAGCGGCCTCACCGGCAATGCCACTGGCTCCGGCTCCTCCACATCGTCGTCGTCCTCCTCCTCCTCATCGTCGTCGTCATCCTCCTCATCATCGTCGTCGTCGCTTTCCACCTCGCCATCATCCTCGCCTTCGTCGTCATCCGAACTGATGACCTCCTCGACGAGATCATCGTCGTCCTGGTTAAGATTGGCCGTCTTGTGTTGCTTCTGTGGCAACAGTTGACCCGGTGGCTGTACACCCTCCTCGTCCTCGCCCTCACCCCCATCGCCTTCGTCATCCTCATCTTCTCCCTCGCCATCCTCATCGTCGGTGTCGTCGTCCTCATCGTCACCTGTGCCCGAACTTTCCTCCTCTTCGCCCGAGCTGTCCTCCTCGTCCAGGTCATCGCTATCTTCTTCCTCGCGACCCTCCTCCAACTTCACTGATGATGTTGTTACCGCTGCCATTGCTGTTGCTGCTGCTGCTGCTGTTGCCACCTGACCATTGTCCAGAGATTGCTCTTCGGTATTCATCGCATCACCTGCTGATGTTAATGGTGGCGTTGCTGTTGCTGCTGTTGCTGCTGTTGCATTTGCTGCTGCCGCCGCCGTCGCTCCCTCGGCCGCCGCCGTCCTCTCGATGGCCGCCTTGGTGGCCACCGGCACTATGACCTCCTCCTTGAGATGGTTGTTGATGTGGTTCATCAGCTTCTCCTTGCGCGACAGATACTCGCCGCACAGGTCGCAGCCCCATTGGAAGGGGCAGAAGGGTCGCACCACCTTCGCATCGGCCAGCTTGTGCTCGATCCACAGCTCCTTGGTCTCGAACTTCAGTTGGCAGCGGCGGCAGGTGAGGTAATCGTCCACCACAATCACCGGCGGCTCCGGCAGATTGCTCACTTCGTGCTTGTGCAGCTCGTACATGTGGCGACGCAGATTGTTGTTGCTGATGAAGGTGGAGGCGCAGTATTCGCATTTAAGCTCACGTTTCCGCTTCATCGACTTGCTGCGGTTGTTGCTGCTGCTGCTGCTGTTGTTGTTGTTGTTGTGGTTGTTCATGCTGCTGCTGTTGCACGAGTTGTTGAGGCTCTGTTGCTGCTGCTGCTGTTGTTGGTTGGGCATCAGACCCACCGCATGCAATTCGCGGAGGTGCAACATCGAGTTGTTGTTGTTGTTGTTGGTGGTGTGATTGTTGTTGGTCAACTGTGTCGCTTCGCCGTCGATGGGGTTCTGCAAGGATGATTCAAATGCAAGGATTTGCCGAAGGATGGATGGATATTGGAGCAGGAGTGGTGGATATTGTGTGGATCGTGGAATTTTTGAGGGGAAAGAAAAAAGAGAAAACATATAGATTAGTACAAATTCAGTTGGCAATGACGAGATGTTGATAACTGTTTTTTGCGACTGGTGCGGAGGCATCATCATCATCATCAGCACATCAAAAGTTGTTGGTGGCGCGACAGACGACGCTCATGACGCTCGCCATCGTCCGTCGCTCGTCCTCCTCGCTGCACGAGCCCAAAAACGCTCACCTGCTTGCTATCACCTCTGAAATGCCACTTGCGATGCACCTTGAGTGCGATCACCTGCGGGAACGTCTTGGCGCACAAATCGCACGCATATTCCCCGTTCTCGTTCTGCCGCTCCACCTGGAACTGGCCGACATCCGCCGGCCCATCGTCGAACATCGCCGCCAGCGGATTGTCCACATACAGCTCCTGCTCGTGCTTCTGGATGTGCTTGCTGAAGTGCTCCTGGTCGGTGAAGCGCGCCCCGCAAATGGTGCAGGCCACCTCCGGAATGCGTATCTTAAGCGATGTGGCCACCACTGCTGCCGCCACCGTTGCGGCACTTCCCGAAGCCACCGTCGTCCCGTTACCATCGCTGTTCGCCCTGTCCTCCAGCTGCTGTTCATCCAGCTCCTCCTCCTCGTCCTCATCATCGCCAGTCTTGTGCCGGAAGATGGTTCGTCTGCCTGGCTGTAGCGATGCCTGATGCTGCTGCTGCTGCTGTTGCTGCTGCTGCAGCTGCGTCTCCTGCTGCTGGTGGGCGCCGGTCGAGGTGATTGGCTTGCGGTTGCAGGTGGGCGTGTGGTTGTCATGCATCTGGCGGTCGAAGAAGACCTTACGGCACAGCGAGCATTCTGCTGGATCGGGTACTTGCGGGTGCTTCTTGTAGCGATGCACCTGTGGGGGGGAAAGGGGAAACATGCGAGTCAGTATATGCAGACAACAATCAAATCGCGCTTAAAATAAGTTCGAAACATTATTTAGCTTTGCTAAATCGCCTTGGACTGTTTTCTCAGTCATTATATTTATCAAATACAAATTGCATTAACATATTTTAAGTATTATAGAGCTTGTTGCTTAAACCCCATGTCAGTGTCTTCAAATCTAATAGTATTTTACAAGTTTGAACCTCTCAGTTTATAAACAGCTAGAGTATTGTCGTTTAAGGGACTTTAAGATACGATTATACAACATAAACATACATATATCTCATCCCTTATTTATTTTTATCTATTATAAACCATATTTCGAGTACTGATCTCTTATTTAAATAGGTATAAATAAGGTTTGGTTACTCGAAATATTATTTGTATTTATATTGTATATATATTATAACTCTTTAAAGATAAAAATAAAAAACAGTTTGGATAATAATTATAATGTGGTTTCCCTCTTAACCCGCTAGCTATTTTAAACGCAACAAACTGATTAATCCCCGACAGACTCACCCATAGACTCTTGCGTCCGCTGTAGACATTGCCGCAATCTTTGCAGGAGTAATCGTTCGAGTCGAACTCGTCGTGCGAGTTGATGTGGATGGCCAGCTTCTTGTTGGTGTTGAAGTTGGAGGGACAGTACTTGCACTGGTACCAGTACAGCGGAGTACCCAGGAGTCCCTGACCTGCAGCAGATGCATTGGCGGATGCACCAGCCGCCAGGGCGGAAAGATTAGCCAACTCCGCTGCCGTTGGCTTGGCCTCCTCCATCAGCGAGTCATCGTCAATCTTCGAGGACGCCGACACCGAAGTGGATGCCGAGGCCGATACGGAAGTCAGCTTGTGGACACTGCGCTTGTGCTGCTGCAGCTCCAGCTCCGAACTGTAGACAATGGAGCAGACCTCGCACTCAAATTGCTTGATAATCATCTCGTCCTTGATCGCCCGGCCGTGCACCTTGAACAGATGCACCTTCAGACCCTTCTCGTAGGCAAACTCGGCGTTGCACAGCTTGCACTTGATGAACTGCACATTCTGCACCTGATGGTCGGTGAGCATGTGGTAGCGATAGGACTTCTTCGAGCTGAAGCGCCGCTGGCAGATGCGGCAACGCATTCGCCGGAAGCGACGATCGGCCGCCTGGTCGAGACTACGCCGGAAAACGGCCTGCTCCTGGGGCGTTTGGTTGGCCATTGCCGGCGGCACATTGGCCGGTGTGGCTGGGGCCACCGATACCGATGATGCTGCTGCCGCCGCAGCCAAAATTTCCATCTCCGTGTCGGCCGCCGGTGTGGCGGTTATCGTCAGTGATTTCGGCGTCATCCGATTGGCGGCCGCTAGAGCCGCATTCACCGCATTCGAGGCCGTGTAGTGGGAGCGCATGTGATTGGACAGGCCAATGTTGTTGCTGAACACCGCATTGCAGATGGGGCACTCCTTTTGCTGGCTGGCCACGCCCACCAGGCTGCTGTTGTTGCTGCTGTCGTCCAGGCGCATCTTCTTGGCCACGCTGCCCGGCTCCTCCTCCTCGTCATCTGGAATCGGAAGTAAATGCACAGGTTAGTCTGCCACTGGCAGGAGCCTTTGTCGCAAAAAAGTACAGAAAATAAAAAAAAAAAAAAAAACTAAAACTAAAACCAACGGAGACAATCCAGCAAAGCGAAGCCTTCGATTTAAATGTCAATTGGCATAAATTACAGTGAAGAGCATACAATTAAAGAGCTATGGATGGTGATGCGTTTAGTAATTTAGTGCCTCTATACCCAAGTTGATACTTCACAAGAGATTGGTATTTTAAAGGAGCTGCTTACTGGGGTTACATTACTGTTTTCAAAACCTTTAAAGTAGCAAAAAATCAAATAAGAACTCAGCTCGTGCATAAATGGGTTTAGTTTTACAAATACATTACGGGGAATTGTTAATAAACATTGAATACAAACTTAAGTAAACCAATTCGGGACAGTTAAGCAGGCAAAGTTACACTTTACAGCTTAACAATGAAATTAGAAAATGATTAGATTATAAATAATTATTGAATAATCTTCAATAAAAAAAAAATGGAAACAAAATTGCACAGTCGTTGGAAATGTATATATGTACATATTTTAACCATAAGATTATCCTAATTTAACTTGTTTATAAAAATAAACCATTAATGTGAGGGCATCACAAAATTGCTTGTCCTAATTTATAAACGGACATAATGATATTTATGGAAGTGGTATATACTTTGTAGTATTTTAACATTTTCTTACAAAATCTTTTAGATAATGTTTTAGTTATTTTGATGTTTTAAAATATCTAAAACTTGTTTGTTTTTTTTTTTCTTGTTAATAAAGACAATCTTAATGAAGATGAATCGATGAGACTGCGACTGAGACTGAGACTAAGGTAATGAGAAACAGGCAGAGCGGGGGGACGTCTACAATCTAAGCCTAATTACCGAGTGTCCCACCATTTGTTATCGACATCAGGTCCTTCATCACGTAGTCGTAGCGACCGGTGTACACGTTCGGCGTGCTTCCGTCCGCCAACTTGACGGCATCCGCATTCACGATGTACTCAAAGCCGCCGGAATGCCGGTTCTTGTCCACGCCATGCACATTGATCATGTGCTCCCGCAGGTAGGAGATCCGTGGATAGCCCAGGCCGCATCGCACACACTTGTATGTCTCGGGCAGCTTGTTCGGATGCTTCGATTCCATGTGGCGCAGCACATTGTTGTAGTTGTTGTACTGCTGGCCGCAAATGGGACACACCTGCGGCATTCTGGAGAAGTACTGTGACTTGGGTGCGCTCCCATCTCGATTTGCCGAGCTCTGAGCGGAGGCGGATGCAGACGCGGAGGCAGAGGCTGAGGCACCCACTTGGGCAGCCAGCTTTGGTGTGGATGTGAGCGGTGGTGCCGCACTGCTGCTACGCGACTCATCCGCCGAGGAGCCGACCCCAATGCCCAAGGCGCCCAGCAGACTCCGCTTGCCCGGCGAGTGCTCCATGCTGTTGCTCCGTGCCATGCCGCTGCCCGTGGTGGAGGCGTTGTCACTGCTCGCCCCACCGCCGCCGCCGCCGCCACCCACGCCGCCGAGATGATCCTGGTAGACGTGGTCGAGGAACCGCTGGTGCGTCTCCAGCTTGGCGTCGCACGTCATGCAGCGCAGCCGGACAATGCAGTCCATGTTGTTGTAGTGCCGCCGCCTGTCCACCGGATCGGCAAAGTCCAGGCCGCAGAAGCTGCACTGTATCGAGTTGTTGTCCTTGCGCTGCACATCGGCATGCTTGTCGTAGACGTGCGTTCGGAACTCGTGCTTGGTGCGGAAACCCTTGGGACAGAGCTTGCACTCGTACAGTTTGTTCACCAGCAGCTCCTTGGCGCGCAGCTTCTCTGGCCGTTCGGAACTGCCGATGGGTGTGCCGCCTACCTCTGCTGCGCCGGCGATCGTCACTGTGGGACTGCACATGGTCACCACTTCTGTCCCGGCATCAGCATCGGCATCGACATCGGCAATCACCGCTCCTACTCCTACTCCTACTCCTCCCTCCGCATCATCGCTGGTCGGCACATCCAGCAGTCCAGTGGCAATCATTGCCGTTGTTGTTGTTGCCGTTGTTGTTGTTGTTGTTGACTTGCCACGCAGAGCATTCAAAACCCTAAAGAGATTAATGCAATTCCGTTTCTTCAGATGCGAGATGAACAGCGCCTTGGAGTCGTTCATCTTGAGGCAGTTGAAGCACAGGTTGCGCGGCAGCATCGGATACTTCTTGCGCACGTGCGCCATGAAGTTCTTGTACGTGCTAAAGTACTTGCTGCAGCAGCGGCAGGTCATCGTCTGGTACTGCTCGAGGAACTCGTCGTTCTGCTCGATGAACTCCACCTTGTCGCGGGTGAGCAGCGGTCGGTATTGCTCGGGATTGTCGTAGTCGTAGCCGCCGCCCTCGCACTTGATGAAGGCGTTCATCACCACCTGGCGGTACTTTTGCGTAGAGATATTCCCGCCAGCGGCACCAGCGGCTCGATTTGCCTCCGCTGTGGCCGCCGCAGCAGCCGCCCGTTGGATTTCCAAGGCGGCAGCCAATGCGGGCGTTGGCTTCGTAATGGGCGTGTTGTGGGGCGAGTCCGTGGACAATTGGAACAGGTTCGGGTGTAGGTTCCGTTCGTGGCGACGGGCATTGGCCCGTGTGGAGAACTGCAGGCTGCAGGCGCGGCAACTGGCCACCTTGGAGTCCCCGGCGGCTGCCACATTGGCCACCGCATTCGGCGGCAGCGAGGCGGCCACGGACGAGGCATTCACGCCATGTTGCGCCGTATAGTCGTAGTCCGAGGTCTGCGGGGGTAATAAACAAATTATGAAAATTAAAATCAAGAAATCGCGTCTAAGCTGCATTTTCCAAGCCTTTTAAAGTGCACAGGAAAATGTTTAGTTTTTATTCCTGAATAGTTTTTAAAACAATTTGTTTCCAAGTCAAACAAAGATTACTATTTTTGTGTATTGCGTTACGGAATAAATTTCAGGGCAAAAATAAAGAAATCTTTCACTGTTGAGCATTTATTAAACAACATACACATTTCTGGCTAAAAAACAGTAAAAACTAAAGAATTCGCGTATTAATACTTGGTAAAGTATTAGCGATAAAAATGAACTTGAATTAAGGTAGTGATATTGTTATAAGTACCAATTTATTCAATTAAATTGTTATTAAATTTGTCTGCCAAAAGCTAATTAAATCTTTTAAAAACTTATACCACTAACTATTCTGGACTTACCGTCAACGGCACATCGCCCTCGTGTTCGGAGCGCTCTAGGAACATTGTGGGATCGACCATGTCATCGGACTCGTCTATTGACTTCATCTGGTAGTCGTCATCCGTGTCAATGGGCTCATCTTTGATGGGAATCGCAGGCAGTGGCTGCAGGGGATCCAACATTCAACCGAAAATGAAAGAACAAACAGTGCCAAACGAGACGGAAATTAGTTGAAATCGAACAAAAGGAGCACACATCAATCGTAAATAGTACAATGGTAAATCAATAACAACAATCATGGACGCTGCAGTGCGTCCATTGGTACCCGTTAGCCAGAGAGCTATGTTCGAGTCTTATCTTTATATATATATATATATATTTGTACATTCCAAAACCGGCAAGCAAGAGCATTACTATATTCCACAGACGGACATTTGAAGATTTCGCATAATTTCGCATTCGGGATAACAGGTAGAAGAGAGCGCTGTACGGGATTAGGAGGTGATGGGGGTTCGGTCACGCTTCGAATGCACGATACAATTACATTATAGGAGTAGCGTCTGAAAAAGCGCAGCTGCTGGGCGGCGCTCTGCAGCGTCACCGGCATAAGCAGCGGTGCGGTGGACACGGATACGGATGCGGATGCGGATGCAGATGCAGACGCTGATGCCGAGCCAGAGGTCGTGGCGGAAACAACGTTGCCCGGCGCATTAGACGTGGTCGTCGTCGAGGCCAGACCACCTGCCTGCTGTTGTGGCTGGACGTGACCGCTGCTGCTGCAGCTTTGGCTGAAATCAAGTGGCAGCGACAGCGACAAGCTCTCCATTCCACCCACACCAGACATCCCGGGCAGCGGCTCAACGGCAGCAGCAGGCGGAGCAATGGATCCAGCTGGACCTGCCACTGGCGGCATCGGTGGCATCGGTGGCAACGATGGCAACGGTGGCAACGGAGGCACTGCAATGTCCAATGGCAGATACAGCTTCGGTTTGAATTTGCGCATTGGTGGAGCCGGATTGGCCATCTGAACTGGACGCTGTGGACGAAATTGCCGCTGGCGTCTACTATGTAGCTGCTGCTGCTGCTGGTGGTGATGATGTTGCAACACCTGTTTGCCCCGCTGCTGATGTTGCTGCTGGTGCTGCTGTTGTTTCTGGTGGTGATGGTGGTATCTGCGGTACTGGTGAGACTGCTGGCGCTGCTGTTCCCGCTGTTGGGATGCCGATGTGGTGGATGTGGATGTGGAGGAGCAGCTGGCCGCCGCCGATGCTGGCACCTGCAAGAGAAGGGTCTGCAGCGATTGCTGCGCGTTGCTGGTCGTCGCCGTCATTCTGGCCGGTGGTTGCAGCTGCAACTGCTGCAATTGATGCTGTGGCAGCTGCTGCGGTTTAGGACTCACATAGACTGTTAGGGATTTGCGTTTCTTCAGCGAGTGTATGCCATCCAAAATGTTGGCTGCCGTCGCTGCGGCCGTTGGTGTCGCCTTCTCCGCCTCAAGTTCACTCTCCGATTGCTGTTGTTGCTGCTGCTGCTGATGCTGCTGCTGCTGCTGCTGGTGATCAAAGGAGGCCCCTCCATTCTCCGCACTGTTCAGGTCCAGGTAGTTGAAGAGCTTGCTCTTGTTGGCCTCCAGCCACTGGCGCTGCTTCGTCTGCGAGCTGTAGCAGCGGTTCTTGAAGCTCTGCCATGAGTTCAGGTAGCTGATGCAGGCGTGGCAGATTTGCAGCGACAGTCGATCCTGAGGTGTAATCTGAAAATAAAAACACAAAATCGGGAATGAATAGAGAATTCTAAATGGCATTTTGCTTTTTTTTAACAAAGCGTTCAACAAACACTGAATGAATAAATAACAAACTGGGATATCGAAAAGGTTTAAGATTATTATCCGTTAAATCAGAATACTAAAGCTGTACATAGTTGGTAAAAGTAAGTTATATAATTAGATTCATAATTCGCGTCATACTTCTATAGTACGTTTTTTTTATGAAGGAGTTTAACATATTCGCTTAAAAGTTAACCTATAAAGTGTTATTAGGGAAAGACCATGATGTGTTTATCAAATTAATCAACTGTGATTTAAATAAAAATTTAAATTTTTTGCCTTTCAACGCGGTGTTTTGGGGGGACAACAGTGGATTTTGTGTGACCAGCGATGCGGAGAATGCAGGTAGTGGTCCCCAGCTCCCAACTACCCTATTGATGTCAATGACCTGCTTATAATTATATGCAAAACTGCTGCAGCATCCCACACCACCCCCTGTTCACCTCATCACCCCCCGCTCCACACCGCTCACAACTACAAACAGGACACTGCGCAAATCATATGAAATGTCCTGCTGGCTGATAACAGTGTGTGCGCATGTTTGTTTGTGTACGACTGTGTGTATCGTTCGAATTGCCAGTCTATGTAAGCCCGACCGTCCGTACGCCCTCCCGCCCGCCCGCTCTTATATACTTAAACTCAATACTCGCACGTCCTGCCCCAAAACACCCGCACACGGTTCGATTTCGCCGGGAGCCGGGCTCAAAACATCTTGACCGCCACAAAATCTATTAAATCTCAATTATCAAAGGCCGCGCGACTAGGCATATTTTATTGTAATCGCTTATCAAAGCAGTTGCAGTTTCAGTGATGACAAGCGGGTATTTGACAACATAGCCAATATTGGAAAATAGCCAATATTATTGAAATTAGTAAGTCAATGTATGCAAATCTTACAGAAAATATTAACATGTGCTTATATACAGACACATGTGTGATATTTGACTATTTAACTCTCAAAACATTATACTAACTAAATCACTAAAAATGGAAATGGAAGTAAAGCTTTTTAGCTTTTTATTCATTTTAATTAATAGTACAGAAAAAAGTTACATTGCACTTTACCAAATTTAGACTTTCACTATTTTTTAATTTAGCGGTTTCTTGAGTGTTATATTTAATATACAGTAGCCAAAAAACTGATCACTGGCTTAAACAACTTGGCTTGAAAATTGCCATTTGGCCAGCACTGCGCTCCCCTTTTCGTTTCCTTTTTAGCTGAATATCGATAGCAGACGCAAGAATTAGCAATCGAAGAGGCGAATGAAAATGATCAAAACAAACGATGGAAATGTTTTGTTTTGCATTTGCCTTTTCGACTTGAGCTATGCATACACGCTTGATTGTGGGTGTGTGCTGGTGTGTTTAATTTAATAATCGAATGCTTGTTGTTGTTTGGCTGTTTTGCTGTGCAATTGTAATCGAAACTCCAGGATATTAAAGCCCGGCGGGTCCTTTGAGCACATATAAACACACACACACACACACACACACGAGCACATACACCCGCCTCCGATTTTGGGCCTACATATGTACATTTATCCTTATGTACAATCCCAATCCCACACTCCCAGTGGAGGATTTCGAGGGCTCCACTCCATACCATTCCGTTTCGATAATATGTTGTTCATTCACCTCACCCAAACCAGCGTTTCCTTTATGGCCGCCATGTTTCCCTGTGTTCCTGTGGATACAGGACAGAAGGATTTCCCATTCTCGCGGACTGCACTTTAATGTGGCAACATTGAAACACCATTGGGGTTTGGGTTTATCGTCATTATAGATACTACGCAATAAGGTGAGATTTTAGAAAGTCGCAAAAGGGCAAGATACAAGGTACATATACAAGTACATGTTGGGCTTCAACACGGTACATAATGCAGAAAGACTTGTGGCAGCTGCAGATTCCACCAGCTGCCGCCTTCGTTTTCTGCTGGCCACCAGGTGCAATAATCACCAGCCATGGACCATTCCCATTCCCATTCCCGTTCCCATACCGCCTCCCCTGCTCCTTCGTGGAACAAGTTCTTCTCCTTTTTGTGTCCTTATTCGTTCCAAACCCATGCTGTTTGGGTATATATATCTGTGTGTCTGCGAGTGTGAGTGTGGGCAAGAGAGAGAGCATCCTGTCCTGTCCGTTCCACGCACAAAGTGAAGACGTAGAAATAACCAAAAAGTAACCCTCATATTCAGCAGACCGGAGATCTTGAGAGCAGCAACAAGAAAACAACAGGAACAGGACGAAGAGCAGGACGAAAAAAGAGTCGGGGGTTCATTTGAAATATTGAATTTCGTCTCAGGCAACAACGCAAAACAAAATAAAAACGCAAGTGCAACAGGGTTCACCCTAGGGCTTCCAAACAGCTGTTATCGTAATTGTGGCGATCAATACGAGTTATCGATAAAGATGCCGAGCTTATGAAGTGGTGCGAACATGAAAGAATAAAACTTACATTTACAATGACCATGTACAAAGCTGCAGATTTTTTATGATTAATTGTCTTAAAATCGAAAAAATTAAATCTATTTAAAATTGTAAATCATAAGTTTCGTTTCGGGCAGTCCCGGCTAAAAGTTTTGAGCTAATTTGAATCTAAGAACCTGTTAGATTTTTAACGAACTCTATGGAATTTTCTTTCGGGCTTAAAGAATTGTATTCTTTTTTAATTGTTAACTGACCAGTTGAATAAATAACTTTTATTTTTTATAATTATTTTTTTTTAATTTGTTACGTTCCAGAAACTTTAATATTATAATATATGTATTTTGAATAAACATAGGATTCCCGCTGGCACATACAATGTGGACCTGAAGTGTGTATCCTTATCCTCTACCTATTCCATGTTGAGTCCAAAATCATTTTCATACATATGTATATACTCCTCAATTTCACCACTTCATAATTCTTTAATTTTAAGAATCTTAACATTGAACTATATCTCTATTCATCATTTTGGGTCACCTCATTGGCGAACACCCATTCCCTTTTGGATAGACCGAGGCACATCCTTGGTTATTTATGTGTATCCCTAAAGTGTGTACCCTAGTGTTCACAAAATCCTGGCTACCTATTCCGTCTATCCGCCATCTTGGATGAGCCAGAGTGGAATTGTGGATGCTTCGACTGCTTCTCTCTGCTCCGCTGTTGCTGTTGCCCTCGCCCCCTTCCAATCCATCTTTTATCGGCTTGTCATCTCGTCACGTCGCCTCGCCGTCGTCGTCGTCGCATTTTTTGGCCAAGGGGAGAAAGTTAGTCGTCCACCTGGGGACCCAAGAAGAGCCACAAAATGGAGACGACGCTGCTTGCTGCTGCTGTTGGAAATTCGATGCGGGCCGCAGGAGGAGCCAAGCCAGCAACGACGGCAACGGCAACGGCAACGAACGGAAAGGCAAAACAGAAATATATCGACAACATCCCACCAGGTAATCTGGTGTGCCCAAGGTGAAACCACTCGAATTTTGTGCCCGGTTTTGGGTCTCCGCCGCTGTCCGTTTTCCAAGCCCGCTGCCTGCTTCCCGCTGCTTCTTCCCGCCTGTCCGTTCCCGCTAACCCTCTTCTACCCATAACCATGCCAATGCCCATTCCCGTGTCCATTCCCATTCCCGTTTCCCGGTCTCTTTTGCCTGTGCCTTTGTCTTCCGCCTGTATGTGTGCCTGCCTGCCTGCCTGTGCCAGTGCCAGTGCCTGTGTATGCGAGCATGTGGTCCGCCTCCAGATAACGAGAACGGAGGAAGAGGAAGAGCAAGAGAAGCAGTCGAGCTAGCGATGACGCCAACCAGCGTGTTGTTGTTGTTGTTGCTGCTGCTGGGTTGTACATATATACACACACATACAACTCTGGTCGGAGGCAACTTGGCATGTCTGTGTGTGTCCGTTTGTGTGAAGAGCAATTGCCATGAAATCGAATCGAAGCCCAGGGAAAGAACAGAGAACCGAGAATCGAGGAGAACCGAGCACCATTAGACCCAGACGACCATTGGGGGGCACAAAAGCACAGAGCACACGCAGCAGAAGCGTGGCGGATATGGGATATTGGGATACATGTACCAGATGCCGGGGGAACTTAACACTACAACAAAAAAAAGAAACAAAATCCAGAACCCAGAAAGAATCAATAAACGAAGCTAGCGAAGCCACACGGGAAAGCAGTCCAAGTCCTCCTCCTTTCCACCTCCTTCTCCTTCTCCTGTTCCTCGTCCTCTTCCTCGAAAGGATGCGCGCGCGCAAAGAGAGCGGAGAGCAACTGCTGCCCTCCAAGCGAAGTTCCTTGAAAAAGGTACAAGCAACGTAGCGAAATTATATGTAATTGGCCTGGGTTTTTGGGTTTTCGGTTTTCTGGCCTGGAATCTGAATCTGAATCTCTGTTGCCCGCCGCAAACACACACACACACATACACATTCAGAGGCCAGACGACGGCGCGCTCATCGTGCTTTATTCTTTGTGCTGGTCATTCGCAGCTGCTCTCGCCCGCTGGGAAGAGGCGAAAGAGAATAGGAGGAGGAGGAGTAAGAGGAGCAGGCAGCAGATTTTTGGAAAGGAAGCAGGATCAGTTCTAACCTCAAAGCGGGAAGGTAATGGAAGCAATGGAACGGAATGGAAGGTATAAAAGGAGGAGGAGTAGCAAAAGTGGAGAGTTCAAGTTTGATTATGAGCTAAAGATTGTGGTCGTGATTGGATTACAGCTCCTCTTCTACCATTCCTCCTCCTCCTCTTCCCACTCACTCGCCCCTTCCTGCTCTCTTCCATTCCCCACTGCATCGTGACTTGGCAGTGGAAACATTGGAAACCCAAAAAGCGGACCATGCGGCTAGCCACACACCCATACTCGCGCGAGAGGAGGCGGGGTTTGGCTGGTTTTTCGTTCGTTTCTGTTTTTTTTTTTTTTTGTTTTCTGTTATTTAGGTGGCCATCATCTTTAGTGCTTGCACAATCCAATCTGCCCCTGGGGCCAATGGCTACTCTTCATCCGTAACCTCACTTTCTGGGCGTCCACAAAGCCATCGGGTGTGGCCACTGCCTCATCCTTCCACCGGCCACTGGATGTGTGTATAACTGTTAATGGTGTCCAACCACCAGAACCCCAGAGAGCATTCAAAAAGAGAGCGCCGCCGGACACCCGGGATGACGATGACGACAGCCGGATTATGTACTCACCTTGATGCTGACGCAGTTGTGGATCTTGGTGGACAGCGGTTCCTTATCCGCCGCATAGCTATTAATGATCGAGATGCATTCGGTTTGCGGGGCGACGCATAGGCGACAGCAGTTTTGTCGCGCCGACCGCTCGCCTTTTGTTGTTGGTATAGCGGCAGTAGCTTCTGGGGAAGTGGTTCCCATTCCCGTCCCCGTTGTGGTTCCCATTCCCGCTGGCGTTCCCGTGACCAGTCCCGTTCCAGGCGTCGCTGTGGCCTCCACTGATGTTGTAGTAGTTGTAGCCGCCGCAGCGTCGCACATTTTGTCGCTTTTGTATATCGCTATTCGCTTTTTTTTTTGTTTTGCACGTTTTCACTTTTGTTTCGGTCTGCGTCCGTTCGCAATCGTTCCACCATCCACTAACCGCTCTCCGTCGTCGACGTCGACGCCGCTCGCGTCACCCACTTCACGCACATTGTCCGCACTCTGATGCTTCCCGTGATCCTGAGCTGATTTTGTTGTGGTTCGCCTCGGTTTCAGTTTCGGTTTCGTTTTGTTTGGCTGCCAGGACAGAACAGAACCAGAACGAGAAGCGCACAGGAAAAAAAATGACGACGCGGTCCGAGCGAGGTGTTCAATTTGGAACCGATTTTCAGCGATTGAACCGATTTGAATAGCGGTGAAGGGACATCTATGTCATCGATGTTTTTAAAACATCTGTCCTATCGATGTTTGGCGGAGATTATCGATATTTACCCGTCATCTCTGTTAATTCGACGTTTGGCTAACATTTCGCTGTTAGTTCGACGTTTGGCTAACATTTCACTGCAAAACGCAAACCCACCACAAGCACGCAAATTCACTCTAGAGGTGGAAAACAGCGATGTCATCGGTGTTTTCAAAATTCGGTTCTATCGATGTTTGGCGGAGATTATCGATGCTTATCCGTCTCTAACTATATTTTCTTGCCACTGTTAACTTTTCACTCCAGTTCTTGCGCACTTAGCCTGGTTCCACTCCAGTTTTTGCGCACTGGTTCCTGGTTTCACTTCATTTCTGCACACCTTCTGTTAAAAATCTTAACATCTGCGGAAATGCACTCATTTTTCAACACCACTCATTTGAGAAATGTAAAAATTGTTTTTAAATTTTAGGAAGGGAATTGAACATTATTAATTTTTAAGACCCTTTGTTGCCGTCAGCCCTGAGCTAATGACTAGTTTTTCCATTGTAATAAACAATGTAATGAATTAAAACAAAACAAATCAATCAACTCCATTGTTTGGAAAATAAGGAATGTTAGTACCAAAATAAATTTAGTTCAGTAAATATTGTGTAATTAGAACCAATGTTTGGAAAGTAAAGTAAAATAACATATTAGTTAATTGTATTGTTCAATTCCTTATAAACTACTATCAACTTAGGCTGATTAAAGGAACCTTAACTATTGGGAAATCAGGGGTGGACACATTATACAATTTAACAAAATATTCAATAAATCTTTAAATTTTCAGAGTCCATGTAATTTGTGACCCTGAGAACAAATAATTAGCGCAAAGCTGGCGACGAGAAAGATTCCTTGAAAAAACAGATAAATATCATAATTTTTTCCTTTTTGGCATTATTACCTAAATTAACCCCCTTATCAAAAAACATTAGCCTTACTTTACTTGTAGATTTAGTTAAAATCCACATTTTATGCTTTAAGACTTTTAGACTTCTGCCTTCTCACTATCATTTTAAAATTAGCGCACAATGAACGTGGCCTAGTTGGCTCAACAGGACTCTTACAGATATTTCAGAAAATTATCAAATGCAAACAAATTTTTGACAAAAGTCGCCCACCTCTAATCGGAACCGAAATCGATAGAATGTATCGAACTTTGTGCCGAAGTTGCCAGAAACTTCGAAAGCATCATGGTCTTCCCTGCATCCATCGATTATTTGAAAGAACCGCCAAGATGAAGAACGCCCCTGTCTTAGGAAGCAACTAACAGAGGAGCTAACATAATGTTTAGTAGGTGGCAGTGCTGTTAGGCGCCAGCTGAGCACACGTTTTTGTTGAAATTTTTATCTTTTCGTCTTCGTTTTGTTTATTGATTATTTTGCTTAATTGAACTGCAGTTAATTGCCCCCGTAAATTATCTCAAGTAAGTAACCACAAGATGGGAGGTGAAGCGAAGCCGCTGCAACTCTGGCTAATTTGCACAAATATCATGGCCTTGACATAGAACAGGGGCAATAACACAATTGATGAACGCCGCACAAAAAGAAAACAAAAACCGGTCCAGCAACAACAAATAGCAATCAGTTTAGGCTTTCTCTTTGCATCATTATTCTATGTTTAAAGATAACGGAATTTAGGCTTTATTTATTTTCTTTATGCATTTTAATTTACTTCAAACATTAAAAAACTAATTTTTAATAATTTAGTATTGTTTAGTACTAAATTCTGGGGAAAAAAAACTATTAATAAAATAACTTAAAAATTTAGGAAAATAATTACGACAAGACTGTCTGACTATATATGTTCTGTTTTATAAACCTTAAGTTTCTACTGTTAAATCTTATTTTCATTTATTTGTTTTCATGTCTCCTGGAATTCGTTAATAAATTTCCAATCTATTGACATTCAGAGCTAAAAAATGTAGGGAAAAAAAGTTTGTTTAATGCCAGAGAAAATTAAAAATAATGTTGCACTTTTTGTTTTTAAATTTAGGTATTTTTAATAAATCAAAATTATAAAACAAAGGGTACAATTTTTGTGTTAACGTTTTACCCCCTCTGTATTTGATTTATTGAAAAAACCATAATTTGCGTCGACCCTAGCGAATTTGGATTGTAAATAGTTGTACTTATGTACCTTATCATTGGACAGGCAGGCGAACAAATATGCCCATAAATCTTGAAGCAATTAATTAAAGAGCAATTTAAATTTAAAGTCACGATCGAAATAGAATAGCCCAGTCAGGAGTCAACTGGGGTGACACCGCCCGCCGATAAGAGGTCTACACACTTAGGCCTCAAGATTTGGATTCGGACTCAGCTATGGTCCAATTCCCCCGCCACCTCCACCTCTAGTTCCACCTCCAGTTCCACCTCCACATCCTCCCATTCCACGGTTCTAGCAGTGCAAAGAGCAGTGAAAGATGGGCCATAAATAACCAGTGGAGATCATGTGGGGAGCTGATACCACCAGCCATCCTTTTGTATCCCAGGCACAGTGGCTTGCATGCGATTTATCGCCACCCGCTGCAACTTATCACTCTCCCAGCGGAAGCATAGAAATTCGCTAAAAACAAAATAAACAAAATTAATAACTATAAAACAATGCAAATCAAATTTTTCAAAATTTCTTTTATCGCCTTTCGCCCACACGGAATTTAACCACGCCCACTCCTGTGCAGTTTGCACTACCAAAGTCAGCTTTCTTGGTTAACCCCATAATACCCTTTAACAATCTGGGCGCTATATGTTCTCATTCCTATATATCTCTGTGCTTTTTTTTTTTGTTTTACAACAAATATGTAAATTTATCTAACAGATTTCAAAAGATTATCTAAATTCATTTCATTTTTATTTTAATAGAAAAAAAAATTAACACGTATAATAAAAAGCTTCCTAAAATATTTGGCAATATCAAATAACAAAACATATTTTTTAGAATATTTTAATAAATGTCCCAATAATCCTATTCACAGTTTAACATTAAATTGTTTGACCTTTGGCTTACTGAAAATGGCTAGTCATTATCGAAACTATTTCGCCCTAAGCTGTGTTGTTTGTTGAACATTATTTGAGTTTCAAGAAGCTGCGACCGTTGTCAGCGGGTTAATTTGCCAGTTGCCGGCTTGTGTTATCAGGCCGGGTTATCCAGCCCTCCAATTGCCCGCTTATCAGCCCACAAAGGGGCGGCGGGGCATTAGGTCTGGGCAAGATTGTTTGTCACGCCCGTGCCGGCTGGGGTATATAAGATTTCGGGCGGATCGGGTGAAATTCAGTTTGAACGCGTCACTCGACGGAGCCGTGTCCAAGGATTCTCTTTCTCTTTTGCCATCCCAAGCAAATACTTCGTTGAAGGTAGGTCCTCTTGGGAATCCTTTCTATTTTTGTGCCTATTTTTTTCGTGTGCTAAAGTGATTTTAAATGAGAATGTTTGTGGTCCTTGAAATAATTTTCAAATCCTACTTTACATGTGTTAATAAAAGGAATTTAAACTCAATTGTAAGGGATGTTAAAATAAAATAAATATTCAACAAAATTAAAATCCTTAAAGTGAATAAAGAAAAGTCCTGTAATATTGATGAATTAAAAAATCAAACATTAAAGTCTCTGTCTAGCATTTAAAACAAAAGAATAAAAAAAAATTGAGAGTAAAAAAGGATGTGTTAAAGGTTTACAATGAAAGACTAATTCATTTAATAATAAAAGACAAAATCTTAAAAGTCTAAGGTAAAGTCGTAATTTTTTTTATTTAAAGAGAAATACGAATTAAAGGCGTCCTATTTCTTCTGAAAAGAATGTAGTTTTGGATCGAATTTAAGGCACTGCACCCACTGTGCCATTTACATGTGTCCGATAACAGAAGTCCCTGCCCCTAAACATCTCTTTAAAGTTTAAACTTGACCAATTCAATAACACCGGCAGCCGCCGCTTCGACAACAAAAGTCAATTAAAAAAGCCACAACAAACAATGCTAAATGGCAAGCGTAATCAGAGTTAAAAATTAATCGCGACATCAGGTTGTTTTTTTAGTTGTTGCTTCTGCTGAGTAAGTGAAGGGCATGACGTCACAAGAGCAGCTGCATCGCACAGTGGAAATCCTGACAAATCTTAAAATGTTCAAAGGCAACACTTTGTATTTCATTCAATACTGTTTAGAAATTATTATTGTTTAATATACCTATACATTTATTTATTTTGTTGGAGCAGAGTAATTTTTTTTTATTTACTTAAAGCCATTGTAACGAATTCTTTTAAGTAAAAGTCACAATTTTATTAGCATCTAAAATACAAAATATTTGACAAAAAGTTGACTCCTGAAACAAACGTTTGGAAGTAAAAGAAATATAAAAAAAAATTTCTTTCAAATCGTACATTGATCTACTCTTCCACTGTGCATCGGCGGCCTGTGGAAAAAAAAAATTGAACTTAAAAACATGGAAATGGAAATAAACTTGCGGTTGTGTTCCGCTTACAATGATGCCGGTTCTCAGCTAATGTCAAGCCCCTGGCTTCGAGGTAATAAAAGCCTTACCCGTCAACGGCTTAAGCTTCAGTTTTGCATCGGTAGCCCAGAAAGCCAGACCCACGAGCACAATGTTTCGACCGACGCTACTGATTCCAGTGGCTATAGCGTACCTCTTTGGACTAACGGTAGTGAATCTCTATAAGTAGTGCAAGTGCCCCTTAGTAAAACCCTATAAGGTTTTATAACAATCCTTTCAAAGAAAGCTATAAAATATGGTGCTTCGAGTTCGATCTACGTTTTTAAACCATCTTCGGATTTTTTGTTTATTCTTATGTACAACATAAAAATCTGTTTTGTGAACGCAGTGAAAAATAGTCAAAATGACTTAAAAATAAAATGTCAAATTTAAGTACTTTAGGTTGAGTGTTATAGTCTAGCTCTCACGAAAACGGATAATTTTTTAATCCCATTTAACACGCCAAATACATTAAAAGAATTTTTTTTAAATACTTTTCTATTTTAAATAATTAAATCATTAGTTCCACAATAATGATGTGTGAATATATCTACAATATATAGAAATTGCACTTGTCCTATTTTTGCACAGATGTCGTACAAGGTTGAACCGCTGCCCGATTCGTACGCCGGTCTGGGCGAGGGTCCCCACTGGGATGTGGCCAGGCAGAGCCTGTACTACGTGGACTTGGAGGCCGGCAGCCTGCTGCGCTACGATTACGGGCAGAACAAGGTCTACAAGGCGAAGATCGAGGGCGAGACTTTGGCCGGATTTGTGCTGCCGGTGGAGGGACGTCCACAGGAGTTCGCCGTGGGCTGTGGCCGCCGTGTGGTGATCGTCAACTGGGATGGCGTTTCCACCAGCGCCAAGGTGGTACGCACCCTGTTCGAGGTGCAGCCGCTGATGGACAAGAACCGGCTGAACGATGCCAAGGCTGATCCGCGGGGTCGCTTCTTTGGCGGCACCATGCGCTACATTGGCGATGAGTTCGAGTTCCGTCACGGCGAGCTGTACCGCTGGGAGGCCGGCGGCCAGACTTCGGTGATCAAGGGCGATGTGGGCATCTCCAATGGACTGGCCTGGGACGAGAAGGCCAAGAAGTTCTACTACATCGACACCACCGACTACGAGGTGAAGTCGTACGACTACGACTTCGACACCGGCGTGGCCACCAATCCCAAGGTGATCTTCAACCTGCGCAAGAACAGTCCCAAGGACCATTTGCTGCCCGATGGACTGACCATCGATACCGAGGGCAATCTCTATGTGGCCACCTTCAATGGCGCCACCATCTTCAAGATTAATCCCAAGTGAGTTCGAATTTTGGGATCCTAAAACCTTGTGTCCTCACATCCTTAAACATTTTTTTTTATGTTAACTAAGTTATATCCTTGATTAAATCTTTAGGTTTAACCTTATTTTTAAAGATATTTTCCTAGGTTCTGACAATCTTAAACTAGCTTATCTTGTAAAGTTTCCTACTAAATCATGGGATAAAGATTTTTTCCTTTTATAATAGATTTTGCAAAAAAAAAAAAATTATTTTAATCCGACACTCTTGCTCATTAATTTTATTTAATCAATCTATTTTATTAACTAATTTATTTGTAAATTCTCCATTGCAGCACTGGCAAGATCCTTTTGGAGATCAAATTCCCCACCAAACAAATCACCTCCGCCGCCTTTGGTGGTCCCAACTTGGACATCCTGTACGTGACCACCGCCGCCAAGTTCGATCAGCCTGCTCCCGCTGGCACCACCTACAAGGTGACTGGCCTGAACGCCACCGGATTCCCAGGCGTCAACTTGAAGGTCTAGGAGCTGCAATCTCTATACTTAGCCCACAGTATAATGTACCAATCGAATCCAAGTGCAATTATATGTTATACATTTTAAACTTTTAACTTTCGAATTTGGTTATTTCTTTCTGGAAGAAAAGGGTGTTCAAATTTAAAAAAAAAAACTTGGAGGGTAATTAACACGTTCATATCATAAATTAATATATAGGTAGTTTAACAATAACTCCGATTAGTAGTGACTAATTCGAAATGAAAATAGGGCACGTATTTGCCCTTACGAGACATGATTTATGAGTGAATTTTGACGATATGCCATATGGATAAATTAGATTCGAAAATATAGGCAGATAGTTTTAAGAGGACCAATCAAAACTAATTTTATAAAATTGACAAACTACTGAAGATCAGATAAATAACGGTTAGGTAACATAGTATCCAGAATAAATGTTTAATGGATCGCTTATATATTCCCAGATTTAAAGTTAATTCTTACAATTTATATAGCAATTATACAGATAATCGGTTGATTTTGCTTAGTTTGGCTAAAATTTGTTTATATTGCCATCATTTGCGATTGCAATCTTTGCTAGGTTTAATTCTTGATCACTATTAACTTTTAATCATTTTAAATAAATATATTTATTATGATAGACTTCAATAATGGTTTATCAAACGCAGACACTCCGCAATCATTCGGTCATTTGGAGGACATAATGCTCATATTCTTTATTAATCAGGAGTTATAAATTTACAATCATTTACTTATCGGCTAGCCTAAACTAAGCATTAAAATCAGTCAGTGGACGACGGGTCAGGCAACTCGATGGCCATGTCCATGTCAAGTCCATTTAGTCATCCGACTCCGATCCGGATTCGGAATCGTCATCGTCGCTGCCGGCGGAGCGGTTTAATCGTAACATCTCCTGAAACTCGTGCACCCGGATCTTCTCCGGCACGATCTGCAGCAGGAACTCGAGGTTCTTGCTCTTGTTGACCAGTTGGGAAAGATGCTCGTACTTGAGCGTCTCGCCCGGTTGCTGGCGGAAAGCATCCGCATACGCCTCGCCCGCCAAATGCCGGACGAACAGTTCCGTGCACTTGGTCATCAGGAAGAGCACCTCGTTGGTTATCAATCCCGTGTCCATGGAGCTCTTCATGATGGTCCGCACCCGGCTGAGGGGCAGGAATGTATCGGCATTGGGCTGCCTTTCCACGGGATTTGCTTTGGGTTCCACCATTATTATTATTATTGTTCCGTTTACTTCGTTTGCTTCGCTTGGGTCTTATCAGGGCTGGGGTGTAAGCAAATTTTGAAAACAGTTTGTCAGCCCTTATACTATCGATAACAGCTGACTATCGCATAGACAACTAATTGCTGGCATTTTTGGATTTTTCCAAAAATTCTCGACTTTGAGATACCCTTTGCTCAACAAAAAAGAACGTATGCTTACATATATATGTTTAATTAAAACTTCTTCAACTAATTTTAAAAGGCTGCATTCACCAGAACAGCAATCACTGATCAAATTGTTCTGATGAATCCATCTTAAAAGTAAACTCTTTCCAAACTGTCAGTGCTATGGTATTTCAAATGTCTATTGTTACCCTTAAATATACATGTTGCCAATAGTTTAGTTTAATTTTCGTTATTTTCATCTTCTTTTGTTTATTTTTAATAATGTTTTAAATTTGAATTTAAAATCCGATAAGCAAAATCCTTTTCATTTGTGGCGCAGCATTCGATATTCAACAAACCCATCGGAGCAGCAGGCGTTGCCAGACTGCGAGAAGACGATGAATATCGAAACTATCGCTGCGCGGCATGTGCAACACTGCGTTTTCTGCTGCCCCCTTTTGGCTGTTGTTTCGTGTGTTGACCAATAAATTTTTCGCATATTTTTTCCACTTTTCAATTACCAAACTTCAAGAGGCGCCAACGCAGTCTGTCGAACGCCAGCTAACCAAATAGTGAGCGCGTTTTTGGCCTATTCAAGTGAACAAGTGACAGGAGCAGGAGCAGGATCTCGACCAGATCGCCAGGAAGCGACATTTGCAGAGCGCAGCGGTTCAAGTGAAAGCAAGAGAGAGAGAGAGAGAGAGACAGAGCGGTAGAGTGAGCGAGAGAGCAAGCGTAATCCTGTCCAGAAATCGGGAATCCTTGGCCAAGCAGCTACTCCTTGATTTGCGTCGTCTTTGTTTGTGCAACGTTGTGTAAACAAGCGGAACATCCCGGTTAACGGAAGGCATCAAGTCCACAGCCACATTCGCATCCAGATCACCATATCCACACAGATTGTGGGTGCAGTTTTCCAGTTGGCCCATCTTACCAACAATTAAAAATGGCCGCTGCCGCTGGGAGCGCAGTGAATGCAGTGAACGACTGCTTCAGCATCGGATCCACAGTCGTCTGCACGACCTGTTTCAATGAGGAAGTGGAGGGCGAGGTGCTGGCCTTCGATCACAACACAAAGATGCTTATCCTGAGTATCCTTTTGCAAAGAACAAACAAACGCGCGCAGCAATCACACACAAGTTGCTGGAATAACACCTGCTTTCCAGGTGAAAGTGGCAGCTTTCCTTTCGTTTATATAACGTATAGGGATCATTTTCTTCTATATCTGTCCTGAGTTAAAGTTAAATGCGCATTAATCGTTTATCACTCTTAATTGATTAAAGCTTATCACTCATTCAGAACAAATGGCTTCTCCTGAATTAAAACTGAATCATACTTGTGAATCATTTTCGATCACAGCAGATCCTAAAGTATACTTTAGCAGACATTTTGAAGCTACACTATTATTTATTTCCTATTATTTATGTAACAGTTTTCACAAATCCTCCAAAACTTGGTTGATCATGCCTTTAGTTTAATACTTTAAAACCCAGTACTTTAGTTTATAGCTTTACCGACCTGAAATCACATAAACAATAATTGTATGATCAATTGACAATGAAACATTCATAAACTTTATCACCTATTAGAAATGTACGAACTTATTTCTTTCATAGATCATTTTCGATCTTTATGTTCGGTCACTCGGTGTTTAATCATTGAAAACTTCTCTCTTCTTTTAATAAGTTACTTGTTGCTAACACTTGGCTTCTAATTTATCTCATAAATGCACTTAACTTTGCACAAAGTTTCCCACAGGAAATAACTTATGCCTTATCAGCCCAACCTCAATTACTTTTGCCTGACTATTTGGTTTTCCGTACATCGTATATCTCTGCCCTCTCCCTTTTCCCCTTTTCCTCTTTCCTTTTTTTTTGAACCATAAAGAATGCCGATCCAAGTCCACGGAGGAGCTGAGTGATATCTACGTGATGAACCTCTCGCTTTGCAGCAACGTACAAGTGGTCAAGGAGTGCAACGGCAACTTTGATGATCCGCAAAAGCTCAACCTGGAACAGGTACGCAATGAACACTTTTCTTTTGCCCACATGTCAGACTCAATCTTCACGTTTTACAGGTGAAAATGCGACTGCGGAAAACAGTAGAGCGAAGACAGGACTACCTGAAGTCCAAGAACGCGGATGTCAGTCCAGAGGCACAGGAGCTTTATAGAGCGATAGCCAAACAATACGGGGTAAATTAGCCTTTTAAACGCTCCCACTGATAACTCAATTTTACTCTTCATATGTCGTGTGTTTGGCAGTACAATGAAGTCTCCTGGCAGGGACTGAACATACAAATCCTGAACGAAGTCACCATCTCGCCGCCGTACCGAGTGGACAACGTGGTGTCCAGCTCGAACAACGAAACTTCATGCAACTACATCAAGCGCATCGTAAGCAATTCTCGAGTCGGACAAACTGTCATAGCTTAAAAGTCAAGCTTGCTAAAGTCTAGAAATGTTTGGTTTTTCATTCAAACTATTCTCAACTTATTAAGCTAAAAGCCATACAATTATTTATACACAGTCTAACTAACAGATCAATTTTTTAAAGCTACATTTGCTTCTTAAAAAAAAAGAAATTAAATCAATGTAACACATGCATTCTAATTAGAATTTAAATATATATCAAGTTGGTCTAATTGAAAGTCAGATTGAAAAGATACAGCTTTTGGTTTAGGGTTAGTAAATGGAACGCGAAGAAGTGATAAGCATAACGGTATATAAAACTAACGGCTTATTTGTTTCTTCTGCGGATATAAAACAAACAATTGCTGTCAAAAAAGTAGCAACTTAATGTAGACTTCGGCCAAATTAAAAAAAAGATCTAAATAAAAACGAAGTGACAAACTTGATTTTAAGAAAAAATGTTTAAGCTAACATCGCCTTTATTTGTTTATAATATACTATGTCACGTTAGAAGTTGTAAAAACTAGAAGTTTTTGGGTCACATTGTTGTTTTGTTAGATTACCAGATAATAAACTAATCGAATATCCTTTTTAATCTCTAGATCAAACAGTTCTTCAACACGAGGCCATCGCCGGTTCCAGAAAGCGGAGCTGCGGCCAGCACCTCATCACCATCGGTGTCTCCCACGTCCTCATCTCTTGCATCTGGATCACCGGTCCCCGCAAACTAATAATAAACTGAAAAGAAAAAAAAATAAACAAAACAAAAAACAGAAATGTGCTTCAAAAAGGACATCCCATTTGTTTTTCATCTTTTAGTGGGTTAGGGGAAAGTATTAAAAGTTTTTATTTGTATTCATCGAAGGGCTGTCATACGTATGTTATTTAGGTAACAATTAAAACAAATTTGTTTTCAATTGAACTCATTTGTATCTATAAAAAAAAAGTATTGATATTTCTTATCAACTTTTGCACTATTTACCAAAAACACATACGACTTAGAGCGCTGTTAAAAACAGACAGACTAGACTGGTAATAATACTGGTCTTAAGATTTATAAATAAGAGATTTAAAAGTACAACTTTAATTTAAACAACTTTTAAATTCAAACAAAAATTATATTTGTCTCAAAAACAGCTAGTTAAAAAAAAAACGGTCACAATTGGCTTGAAAATAGCTAGATGACAGCACTGTCGGCTTCTATCGATTGCCGATAACCGATAGTCCGGTAAATGGCTGTCGTGTTGCTGGGCCGCATTTTTTAATCATTTTTAGCTAATAAAATAAACAACAAACAACAGCCAATTGCCATGGAAGATGTGCAAAAACACAGCGTCCACACGCTAATATTCCGTTCCCTGAAGCGCACCCACGACCTGTTTGTCTCTAACCAGGGCAATCTGCCGGAGATCGACGACCGACTGTGAGTACTTGGGGCTGTGATGATTGTTCCGCTGGTTGGTAATCATTGCAATTCTTGGCACAGGGAAAAGCTGCGACGCTCCATCAAGGCCAAGGATAGCTATGGCCTGGTTCTCGACAAGGCGGTGAAGATCGGCGAGGCCAGGCGGGGATCAGGAGCCCAGATGCCGGGCGACAAGCCACTGGCCATCACCGACGGCACTACGGATGCCAGTGCCAGTGGTGCAGGAAGTCTGGTCAAATACAATCCCGGCGGAGGCAGAATAATGGAGAAGACAGCGCCCCTCGTCACCGGCAGTCACACATCCTTGGTGCGCGCCTCCCTGCCCAACAGCGCTGGGGAAAAGGGCGCCAATGGCACCACCAGTAACCTGCAACTGATACCCAAGAAGGCGCCCACCATACCCAAGCCCAAGTGGCACGCCCCCTGGAAACTGTCGCGCGTCATCTCCGGCCACTTGGGCTGGGTGCGCTGCATCGCCGTGGAGCCGGGCAACGAGTGGTTCGCCACCGGCGCCGGTGACCGGGTGATCAAGATCTGGGACCTGGCCAGTGGCAAACTGAAGCTATCGCTCACCGGCCATGTGAGCACGGTGCGCGGAGTGGCCGTCAGCTCGAAGCATCCGTATCTGTTTAGCTGCGGCGAGGATCGGCAGGTCAAGTGCTGGGATCTGGAGTACAACAAGGTCATTAGGCACTATCACGGTCACTTGTCCGCCGTCTATTCCCTGGCCCTGCATCCCACCATCGATGTGCTGGCCACCTCGGGCCGGGATTCGACTGCCCGCATTTGGGACATGAGAACGAAGGCGAATGTGCACACGCTGACGGGGCACACAAACACGGTGGCCAGTGTGGTGGCCCAGGCCACTAATCCCCAGATCATCACCGGCTCCCACGACTCCACGGTGCGGCTGTGGGATCTGGCCGCCGGCAAGAGCGTTTGCACGCTGACCAACCACAAGAAGTCCGTGCGCAGCATTGTCCTGCATCCGTCGCTGTATATGTTCGCCTCCGCCTCGCCGGACAACATCAAGCAGTGGCGCTGTCCGGAGGGCAACTTTGTGCAGAACATCTCCGGCCACACGGCCATCGTCAACTGCATGGCGGCCAACAACGATGGCGTGCTCGTGTCCGGCGGCGACAACGGCACCATGTTCTTCTGGGACTGGCGCACCGGCTACAATTTCCAGCGCTTTCAGGCACCCGTCCAGCCGGGCTCCATGGACAGCGAGGCGGGCATCTTTGCCATGTGCTTCGACCAGTCGGGCACCAGGCTAATCACCGCCGAGGCGGACAAGACCATCAAGGTGTACAAGGAGGACGACGAGGCCAGTGAGGAATCGCACCCGGTCAACTGGCGGCCCGAGCTGCTCAAGCGGCGCAAGTTCTAGAGAGTCCTAGTTTGTAAGCTCTAACCTAGACTATGTTTTTCCAAACGATTAACGATTAAATACTACGATTAATGACGCTCATTTCACTTTATTAATGCAGACGGATACATTTATGTAGATCATCATATAGGCCAACTAGGCCAACTTCTAACAGAAGGCTTAAACTTTGTATATTAGCTTAAAATATATAAAGCACTAATTCTCAGGTTCTAAATCCGTTTCAAAACATCCGATTTCAAATAAAGAAACATTTTATAGATTTGCGAAATAGACGTTTCTCTGTAAACCAACTTAAGATTCAACCGTATATTTTGGGTTTCATTTCAAGTGAATTGGGTAGTTTAAAAATGTTCTAAATAAGGGTTAAGGTTAAAGCTATATAGACAAGAATATGCCTGGAATATTTTTATTTAACAAGCGTATCCTTAGGTTTTAGTTAATTTCAAAAGGGAGTAATGTTTAGCTTAAGTTGAAACTCTGCAGATTCAGGTACATCCCAATAATCTTTGCTACTAAACAGTTGTTTCATTACAATGGTTAGATCTTTCCTTAAGTCGTTTTCCAAAAAAAAAAATTGGTTACATTACTCAAACTATTAAAAGGGAAGGCAAATAAAAGAAATACCCATGATCTTAATGTTTGAATAACAACTAAGAATATGCTGAAACCCTTCGACTGAAATATGCAACTAAACTGAAATTGTTGCAGCAAAAGATATTGACATATAGAAACATCCCATCTCGAATCCGATTTAACAATTTGTTGAAATCAAACAAAGTTTGTCACTTTCTAAGCCCAAGAAGAAACGACGAAATCCTCGCACTATTTGCACACATTTCAGTTGAATTCTTGGTATTTTATTCGTTTTTTGTTTGTTTTTTTTTTTTTGTACACATAAATAATTTGAATTATTTGCTGCATAAATAATAATAGCATAGTAAGTAATATATTATTAAAATATTGTTTTGTTGTGGGCTCTTCTCATTTAAATTGCTTTGCTTCTTCGTTTGTATCGGATCTCGGTTTCTTTTCTTTTACTATAGTTAACAAAGAAAAAGCACTAAACTGTGTATTATAGTAATTTATTAATTAATATTATGTTGTCTAGTCCTTTGCATATATATTTATCATTTCATGTTTAAAAATCACAAATAATTGTTTGAAACAAATCTTATATTTTTCATCTCCCTTTTCTGTCTGTCTCTTTCGATCTGCTGCTCGAATATATCAACTGTCCTGTCTCCATTTCCGTCTCTTTTCTTTTTGTTTTCTTTGTATCGTTTATCGCGACTTGATGACTTTTTGTTAATCGTTTGTTTCGTTTTAAGTTATACTTGTTACTTAGTTGCGTTTATTTGTTTACAGCTCTTTCTCTCGTATATTTATATATATATATATGTATCTTTTGTTGGTTTTTGCTTTATTATAAGTTTAGGTTCTTCCTTTATTTTCTTTTAGTTTTGGATTTTTGTTTCGCCTCCTCTTTTGTTACATACATATTGTGTTTGTTTTTTTTTTCGTTTTTTGTTTTTGAATGGGCGCAACTTGCAACGAACGCTTATTTACATTTAGACAAAAAGTAACCGATTCGTTCCGTTTCGAGTTCACTTCTGCCTGCGATTAAACAATTATGGATTAAGAATATTATAGCATAGAAAACACACACACACACGTAAAGGCCTAAGTCTAAATTGAAGTTCCAAGCAATAAGTCTGTTCACTTGTTGAGGACTCGATGCGAAAGCTGGATACTGTATACTCTATACTCTGGTCAGCACTTGGAAGCGGATTTGGATTCGGATTCAGATTCAGATTAGGAATCGAATGCGGAAACGGTACGGTATCGGTTCAAAAGTATTTAAGGAGGGAGCTGATGCTGGTGTGCGTGGCGTGCCAGTTCTTTAACGGCGGGGTGTTAATAAATAATATTTGATTTGACTTAGCATTTAGATTACAAAAAATAAACATTTTAAATTTAAATCATAGTTGGGGGGCGTGGGGTGGGTTTACGATTTTTGTGTGTGTGTTGGGGGGCGGTTCCGAAGAAGGGGCGTGGAAATGCGACTTCAAATTTTGTGTGTTTCACTTGGTTTAATTTTGAAGGACCACGTCCACGGCCACGGCCGTCAGCCGTCACGGCAAGCCTTCAATCCACTTCTTCATAATTCTTAACCACTTGGCCCACCCACCCTCCTTTCACTCCCAAAAACAGTTGCGCTCCTCTGCTCCTTAACCGGTTTACGGGCAGCCGTGTACCGCGTCCGAGTCGTCCGGCTCCGGAAAAAAACACCTCCTAGTTGTATATCTTGATGGCCTTCTCGGAAAAGTTGAGCGAGCTGCGCTTGCGCGATTTGTTGATGTGATCCAGACCGAAGAAGGGCAACTGGCCGCTGGTCCACGAGCGATACACCTCCAGGTCGATGGGCGTGTTGTCGTTCACATCCGAATTGTGGCCCATGGTGATCACGGAGAACTTGTAGTTCTCCCACTCCTTGTCCGGCACATTCAGTCGCTTCTGGATGCGTTGCTTCAGCGCCCCATACGGTTCGCCCTGGCGCGCCTTGGTGAGGAAGGGAACACCGAACGAGTTGTACAGCTCCTTGCTGAAGTGGGCCACTGGGATGAGGAACTCGTTCTCCGCCAGCTGCATCTCCTCCGCCGGCACCTCCTCGATGCGATAAGTCTTCTGGGCGCCCTGTGTGGTCGTGATCGACTCGCTGGTCTTCATCAGCGTGTCCAGCGGTATGTCATCCTTGCAGAGCGCCACTATCTTGTGATTGCTGACCTTCATCAGTCGCAACTTTCGGCGGCTGTTCTCCGCAAACGTAATCTTCTTGGCCGCCTCTTCCAACAGACCCTTAACCGTATCGTTCTTGTTCGGATAGAGCACCAGCTCCTTCTCGTCCTTGAGGTCGCTGCTCACCCAGACGCACTTGAATTGCTTCTTGTTGTCCAGCTCGTGGATGCTGAGCGACAGGCGCTGGTAGAAGATACGCTTGGGCGTGCTCTGCTTCGTGTACGATACCAGGTCCTTGATGGTGCCCTGTAGAAATGAGAAACGGGGAAAGCATCGTCAGTTGTTGAATACACAAAAACGTATTTCAAAGCCTGTGAGTGGAAGTTCAAATCTAATGAACTTGTGCATATCCATCCGCTCACCTTGAATGTGTAGGGCACAGCATTGCCTGCCGTCTCCTTGTAGTTGTTGATGCACATAAAGAACTGAAGCTTCTGCGGATCGGTGTTCAAGCGTTCGGCCACCGCATTGGTGAGCTGCTCGTAGTTGTAGCGGTTGGACAGCTCCAGCGTGAAGTCCGGCTCGTTGGGGTTGCACTTGTCGCTGAAGATGATCTCGATGCGGTAGACCAGATCGAGGAAGTAGTCCTCCACCGTGGGCAGGTCCAGTTTGGCATCAACGCACTCGCGCTCGAAGATGAGTATGTGGCCCTGGAGGTGATCTTGCGGTATGAACAGCACGCTCTCAATGGGCTCGCTCAGATTGGCCACCTTCTTGTCGGCGTACTCGTCGTAGATGGTCAGCTCGGTGTCCGGATCGAAGCCCAGTTTCCGGTTGACCTCCGGCACCAAATCGATCAGACGCCGGCTCTGCGGCTGCTGGGTGCAGCCAATGTAGTTTAGGCGCTTGTTTCGCGCATCGTAGTATTTGAGGAACAGCAGGACATCCGATTTGGGATTGAAAGGCGGCAGGGGAGCAGGACTTTCCGGCGAGGCCAGCTCAAGGAAGATGACCCAGGGCTTCTGTGACGTGGGTATCTGCTCGATGGTGCGCGATGCCTCCGCCTCGAAGTCAAAGTGCAAGAATTTCTGGGTCTGGGCCGTGCACATGTTCCAAATGCGCATGCGATCACGCGACACACCGAAGCCCTTAACAAACATATCCACCAGCTCGTCCACGGTCTGATTCTGTTTGAGCTTGAATGGCCGCTGATGGGTCTTCTCCAAGTCGAAGAGGCGACGCTTCTGCTGACCCTCGAAGTACTCCTCGAGAATGACGTGCACCGACACATAAAGATTGGCCTCGCTGCGCTCCTTTCGGCGCGCCATCTCGATGCGTTTCTCTAGGTCGAGTCGCTCTACCAGATCGCTGGATATCTCGCTCTCGGGAATATCTCCCAACACACGCTCCAGCTCCGACTGGCGGATGTAGACCAACATGTAGGCATTGCTGCACTTGGCATGGAACGAAATCTCATCGTCCATGCCGCCGTAGTTCTGTTCGATTGCCTCCTGCTTGCGGCAACTGGAGACGACGTCGTCGTCGAATTTAAACCAGCGCCCGTCCGCCTTTGGATTGATGAAGACCACATAGTGACCGCCATGGTTATCGCCAGAGTGAACCAGCACTGCGTGCAGAACGTAGTCCGCCGAGGTCTTTTCACCCTCTGCCAGGTAGCGATCCAGGTTGATCTGCTCGTAGAACTCGAAGCGATCGTTGTACTTGATCGAGCTGTCCGTGATGGGATCGTATTGGAAGCGCATCAAGTGCAGATGCAAGACGGGCGGGAATGACGTGAAGATGACGCCCTTGCTGGCCTCCTAAAAACAAAAGTTAATATTTGTATTATTTTGATTAGTCTGAAATAATCATTTTTGGCAGATGAAAATAATTAACTTGATTTCTGATCAATTGTTATGCATAAAAACAGAATAATATACAACAAGATAAAATAAAATTAAATAAATATTGAAAAATTAGTATTGAAATTTAACTAGATTGAAATTAAATAGATCTGAAATGTAGGCTTTATTTGCTTTGCAACAAAATAATACATTTTGAAAGTACAAACATGTTGAAGACCAAGATATGCATTCCTTTTTAAAGAACTACTCTTATTTGGGGTTGAGATCCCAAGTAGAATCGCGACTCACCTGCAGGCCGTGCACACCAGCATCGTATTTGTTGTCGCCCTCCAGCGTCTCGGAGGCCACGTAGTCCTGAAAGGATTCGTAGATGTTCTTCTTGTCCTTGATGTTCAGCTGAATGTCGTAGAAGGTCTCGTAGCGAGTGCTGTTGTAGTCGACATTCTTGCACTTGATGTAGGATGACATTTTGCCCTCGAACAGGCCCGGAATGGTGCCCTCCAGGCAGGTACCCTTCATCTTGGACTCCAGCTTGTCGAGCAGCACGCGCAGGAATTCCTGCACATCGTGCTGCATGAACGAGTCGAGTGTCTCCCAGCCAAAGGACTTGGTTAGCTTTTTGGTGCCCACGGGTCGGTCACCGAACTGCAGCTCATGGAACACCCGCTGCAGCGATAGTCCCACCGACTTGGTGCTATCATCAGCCTCCGTGGGAATACGATATACGGCCAATCTCAGGGAGTTGGTGAAATACAATGTCTGTAGCAGTGAGTTCATATAGCAGGTGGCGCCCTGATTCTTTAGGCCCACATAGCCAGTGTGCTTCTTTGAGTCCCACAGCACGCCATGTGGAGCATCCGCAATGACGTGAACCTCCAGTGTGATGCTGTTGTTGTGCACATAGCTCTTCTCCGCATCCTGCAGCTCCTGCCAGGTAATAAAGTTGGAGTAACCATAGTCATTCTCCTTTGAGTAGAACAAATGCTTAATGCGTGCCCGGGTGAAGGGCTGTGCGTCCGGCTTGTGGCACTTGAGACGCAGCTCGGCAATGGCATTGCACGACCAGGTGGGCGAATCGTTCTCCCCGTTGCACTGCAGAAAGAAGCCCAGAGCCCGATCATTGGGTATGACCATAATCTTCCAGGGCAGCATGCGTACATAGACCGGCGGCGATAGCCTCTGCGATTTCAGTTGACCCACATTCTCCACGGTGAAGGAAAACGTGGTCTCCGAACGGAACTGATCCTCCTTGGACTCATCGTCCATGCCCATGGCCTCGGCTTCCTGGCCAAAGGATGCGGAGCTACTGTCCGCCAGCAGTTGCTGTGGCGGCACATTACCGTTCTCGCTGGGCAATTGAGTGACTGCTCCCACGGCGTGCAATTGCGGCTGGATAAGATTCTTGAATTTGGGCAATTGGGGCGGCGAATTCTGCTGCTGCGGGGTCTGTTGTTGTTGCTGCTGCTGCTGCTGTTGTTGTTGTTGTTGTTGCTGCTGCTGCTGCTGCTGGAGGTCGCTGGTGAGGATCTCGACCTCTTGGGTGTCCTGGGTGTCCATTGCTTCAATAGACTGTTCTGTTTCTATTTCCATTTTACTCGGCACTTGAATGGTGCTGAAATCGGCGGCTCCTCCGCGGAGGATCGGAAACGCTATCGGAATCGTTATCGGGTATCGTCGTCTGGAGTATGGGGACTCACTGGAATTGGTTTACTGGACTACTGGATCACCGTTCCATCCGCTGGGCGGCGTTATCTCTCTCTCGCTCTCTTTCTGCTTCTTAGATTCCTTCTTTGGCTGGAAGTTGTTCTGCTGCTAGCAAAATAAAAAAAAAAACAATTTCTGTAACAAACATATTTCAAAACGCACAGACACACATTCACTCGCCCGCAAAGATAGATGTACATACATATATGCTTAAATAATGTAGGCCTGTTTTTTTTTTTTTTTGTGCAATGACTGGATGAAAAGTGTTTGCTTTTTTTTTGTGTTTTATGCAATTTGTTGCGGCCAGCGGCTAAAGAAGAAGTAGCAGCTTTAAATGCGTCGCCGCTTCTTCTTCCCACACGCACAAGCACAAGCACATGCACTTTTTTATGTATGTATATTTTGTATGTATGAAGCTTACCTTGCCTGTCAGTGCTGTCAAAAAAATATAAATAAATATATTTCTGTGCCGCTCGCTCTCCGCTCCCGATTGCGAATCGAATTGGGATGGTGCTGGGTGGACGTGGATGGTGGGCGGCAAGGGCGTCGAGCAGGTTGATGATCACAGGGTATCAAAATCGAACCGGACCGAACTTGCAAAAAATAAATTCTTTTCGTATTTCGCAGTGTGCGTGTGCTTTCTTTCCAACAATACACAAATACACTTCAATGGCATCCGTATATGTGTGTGTTTTTTGCCGTAGGCTGTCGGTGTGTGCGTTGCACGTCGCTTCTTTTTAAAATATCAATCAAGTTTTGCCGAAAACATAAATTTTGCCTTCGAGTTTGAATTGTCTGAATCTAAAAACAAACAGCTCTGACGTATTTTACACGGCACTGCATCGCCAGGTATCAATTAATATTTTCGCACACACATACACATGCAGCGCGCAGCTCGTGCAGCTGTCAAAAACGAAACGGCAGCACATGTTATCGGCGCCAGCAACGCTGCGCCTCACGCCCGTCACGCGGCAATCGATAACATTTTGGGCGGCGGGAATTGGCCAGAAGTAGCTAGATTTAGCCTTATAGTCTGTTTAGGCAGGCGGCGCATCTACATTAGCGGCAGGAAGTCGCATCAGTATATATTTATCTTCCATAATGAATAAAAGTGTTAAAAAGATACTGAATTGGTTGCTAATGTTTTAGATCAACATTTTAGATCTAATGAATACTGAAAATCGGGTTTAATAATTGTTGAAATGGGACAAATAAATACTTCCGACCAATATTTTCAATATTTTCCAAAGTATTTTTAAAGTACTTTAAGGAATTAAAAAAAAAAAAAAAACTTAGTGACTTGCTATAATTATATGATTTATTTTATTTATTTCTTTACTAAAAACATACATTTTGGTTTTAAAACATTTTAAACTAAATTCAAATCAATTAAATCACATTTTCACAGTTTTTTTTAAGTTACCAGTCGTTATTTCATTTCATTGCATACTAACTTAAAATTAAATACACTTCTTAACTGGTATAAAAATATTTTAGGGAAACAATTTAGATATTTTGTTAAATTTGAAATATGGTTTTTATCGTTTCAGAAATGACACATGTATGCCCCCTTGTGCTTTGAGCACCATTTGGGCCTGCAGCTTGAGGGGAGTCTGCTCCGGACTTAGTTCCAGATCGAATTCCATGACGAGGCGGGCGGTGAGAAGCTTCATCAGCAGCAGTGAGTACCGTCTTCCGATGCAGACATGCGGTCCTCCGGAGAAGGGGATATAGCTGAAGGCGGGTGGGGCGGAACCGCCATCCTCCAGCCACCGTTCCGGCTTGAAGGCATACGGATCCGGATAGTAGAGCTTATCGTGTGCCAGTCCATACATATTAATCCATAGTGTGACGCCCGCACAATAGGTTCGCCCTCCGATCTCTGTGGATTGCGTCGTCTGTCGTCCAGTGGTGGGCACAATGGTATATAGACGCAGCACCTCCTTGATCAGAGCCTCCAGATAGGGCAGCTCGTTGAGGGTGTCCGGGTCAGAGAATCCAGTCACCGGTAACTTCAGCAGCTCCTTCCGCAGACGTGATTGCGTTTCCGGATATTTGGCGAGTGCATAAAGAACAAACGACATGGACGCCGTTGTGGTGTCCACTCCCTGAAATCAGAAAAAATTAAATAAATAAATTAATTAATATTAATATATACTTAAAAAAAATATATGGTAGTTAATTAAAAAAATAATATAGAGTTTTAACTAGTAGTTTAAAATATTGATAATAATGTGATGTCTCTTATAATGATTTATTTTTTAAACCCACCGCAAACACAAAAGTGTTGACTTCGTCACGAATTTCCTTTCTGCTCAGTGGCTGACCCTCAAATCTGGCCAGAAGAAGCGAATCCAGGAGATTGTGGGCTTTTCCTGGAGCTTCCCCGTGATCCTCCAGCTCCTTGGCCCGCTTCTCGATCACCGACTCCATTAAGTTGTGGATCACCTGCAACTGCGCGTTGAGATCCCGCCAGAGTTTGGTGCGATGGAAGATCCAATCTGAAGCCAGGAGCGGATTGATCATCCGTTTGAATAGGAACTTACTGCTGAGATGGAATGCACTGATTATGGGTGAGTGATCCATTGACTGTGTGTCCAGTTGGGCACCCATTGAAGTGGCTGAAAGATTAAAAATATATTAAAAAAAAAAGGTTTTTCTTCTAGCAAATATTTGCGAAAATTGAATTCAAGTGGAAATGTCGTACTCACCCACTATGGCGTCCAGAAGGCAGGCAAAGAGCGAATCGGTGACCTCCAGAGGGGCACCATTGGTGGCCGCCAGTCGGGTGACCAGGCGCTCCACATGACCAGCAATATCCGGGGCAAAGCTGCGCAGCAGTTGCGGCTGAAAGGCGGGAGCCAGGAGGCGTCGCTGCCTGGTCCAATGTGTTCCGTGGCTGATGAGCAGTCCGTTGCCGATGAGTGGCTTCAGCTGGAGGAAAGTCTCCGCTTTGCGCAGCGTGGGATCATGGAGGGCCTGGCGTGTCTCCTCCGCCGAGTGAAGAAACACCCAGAGCTGCGGACCCAGCCAGAGGCGATAGGTGGCCCCGAAGCGATCCCGCAACTCCGTGAAAACCAGGAAGATGACTGCCAACCGGCGGAGGACGAGTAAGTAAATATAGATAAATAAATAAATAAATGAAATCACCGTGTGCTCTACTCACATTCTGGCTTCAGTTTGCCCACCATCTGGGCGTTTCCCAATAGTGGAAATGCCCAGGGACCGGGAAGACTTGTGCCCAGCCGCAGGAGTGGCCATTTACGGATCAGTAGCCATAATCCTAGGCTGATCAGCAGCAGTGGCCACAGCGCCATGTCGCTTGAAAACCAGCAGAAGTGTTCTCTCTTCGGCCGATTCGGTCCGACTAAATAAGTAGTAAATTAAACCTGATTGGCAGCTAATCTTTTGAGGGCTCGGTGCAGCCTAATAGACTTGTGGATCATTAACCCTCTTTAAACCAAATTCAAGATATTTACAAAAAATAATGCATTTTATACCTACTAATGTAAGCCCACTCTAATCAACTAATTTTATACGAAAACATAAAGAAAATACTTATTAAATTAATTATTATTTATAATCAAGATTTAATATTTATTGGGCTAAACATAATCTTAAAAATTAAAATATTAATTTAATTTAAAATTCATTTTAATTATTATTCCCAAAGTTAAGTCAATTGCTTCATATTTTAAAATAATACATTTAAATTATACTATACAAATATATGTATAATTCTATAATTTTAAACCAATTTTATAGTGATTGTTGATTGCCATGTTAATAAAAGTTGACGATTGGAATGAATCATAAAGGAAAGGCCTCAATAATATTGTAATTAGTTACTATCTGATTTTTAAAATACCCACTTGGGAATTATAGGGTTATTTAAATGTGATCCACTAACAGATCATCGAACTGTTAGCGTAACAGAGGCCTGGTTAGATAAGATTATCGGATTTCATTTATACACACATGTATGTACATATGCATTTGCTTTATTGTGTCGATTATTAATTATTGGTTTTTGTGGAATATTAAATGCTTAAAATCAGTCTGTTATTGTTTTTATCGACCAGTCCACTTGCAATGTCTTATCTGCTACTTAAAATATTAGCAAAAGTGCATTTCTGCATTCGTTCAGACGTTTATACTATGGAATAAAAAGTCTTGAACTTTGATTTTATCAATTAAGGAGCAATGTATGCAATTGATGACTGCTTATGTTGTGTGGTAGGAAGAAAAAAACATTAAATATAATTTTAACTAATAAAAATAGAACACATCACTAAAATTCCATTAGGTTTTAATGGAAATGAAAATCATACAATAGTAAAGTTTAATGTTTAACAAACAGTTAATTTTTAATTTTTTTAATAATATTTCAGTAAATCCATTAAGCTGTTTATTTTCAGGAGTTTTCTTTCTATGCATTAACTTATTTGGGGTGTTTTACACTGACAAAAAATGAAAAAAAATTTAGTTAATTAAAATAGATAAAACAATTATTAGAAATACTCGCAATTAAAAAGAAATTATTGACTCAATTATAAATTAACTCTAAACATTTTGGTGAAAGTGTCCTAAACTTAAATGTTTAAAATGTTAATATTTGTCTTTTTATGCTTAATTACAAGATATATTAAGGAATAGGTTGGATTCTTATTTAGACCTTGATGGACACGAAATCTAAGCTAAATCTAAAGCAAAAATAACCAAAATTATTAATAAATATATTTTTTTCTGTGCATCTGATTATCAGGGTTAAAAACAAATCGCTGATGAGGAGCGTGCTCTCTCTCTGGAAGCGGTAACAGCACCTGACCCCGTGCTCCCCACTGCCAGGGCAATTAATAAAGCCATTTTGGTCATAGACTGCGGCGGTGTTGCCAATAATTGTGTGCCGCATATTTCGGCAGTTGTCAACTGTTGGTTAAACCGATCGGTACGCTAGGTAGCCACCTCCACCGCCACTGCCACGCCCCCGAATCGACGTCCAAATCCACATCCATTTCCTGCCCTCAAACGAATCCAAAGAGAAATTGGCCAGCCAGCCAAAGCGAAGCGAGCGAGCTGCTTACAAAGTACCACATTAGTGATAGGTACTCGTAGATAGATATATAGATATATATACGGTGATATTGATGCACTTGAGCGTGGCGTTGTGGGCATGTGGAGCCCTCCTGGCGGTGCTCCTCACCTGGCAGCAGCGGAAATCCTGGCGGCTCATCTGGCAGCTCAATGGATGGCGCGGAGTGGTCCAGCAGCCACTGCTCTGGATTCTGCTGTGCCTCAACCTGCATCCCAACAGTTGAGTGAAAAACCGTCGTTTAACATAGTGTTCATCAGTAATAAATGTGCAAAAAAAGAAAATACAAAAAAAAATTAGGTACCCTCTACTAACTGCCTCAGATTACCCTTAGGCATTTTAACTAATTACGGAACATGTATTTTGTGTTTATTTATTTGTTGTTTAAATATTAAAAAAGGGAAAGATTCCAAAGTGTATATATCCTTGCTGTCATAACAAAGTGCATTTGGATACTGTTTATCAAATAATAATAAATAAAATAGTACAAATCAAGATATATAATCCTTATGGGATCGAATTTGTCTGCTTATTTGCGATACCTACAGCTTAGCAAAAATGTAATATCATCCGCAAAATTATAACAACTAACTAAAATATTCATACATACATTTATTATACATTGAATATATTTTTAAAAATTAATAGGTGTAAGAAATGGAGATAGAAAACTATAAGATTACACTTTAATTAAAAAACAAATTATCAAAAACAATTATTATAAATAAATATAATTACATCGATTTTTACTAATGTATCATTATGTGAAATACATTACTTTGCAGGCATTCTGGAGAAGGTGACACAGTATCGGGTGTACTTTCAGAGTCCAATGGCCGTCCTCGTGGGCACCCGTGTGCTCGTCTATATCGATGATCCTGCCGGAATGGAGTGTATCCTGAATGCCCCCGAGTGTCTGGATAAGACCTTTCTGCAGGATGGCTTCTTCGTTCGTCGCGGCCTGCTTCATGCAAGAGGTACATACTAAATGAACTTCGAAATTTCAGATTTTTAAACTAAAAAACAAACATTTACAGGACAGCGATGGAAATTGCGAAGGAAACAACTTAACCCAGCCTTTAGTCACAATATCGTTGCCAGTTTCTTTGATGTCTTTAACTCGGTGGGCAACCAAATAATCGAACAGTTTCTATCCCAGCCCAATCTCCATGGAAAGGGTGTTAAGTTCACAGATGCCGAGGATTTGCTCAGTCGCGCTGTTCTGGAGGTATCCTGTTGTGAGTAGTCCTCCTTATTTTATTTTATACATGGGTTTCTTGAAAGTTTTACAAATATAAAATGTGTTATAATTATTTTATACTAGCAGAATTGGGACAATATGCTTACAAGTAAATTAACTTCGAAAATTTTAATTTCTTAGTTTCGGTAATCCAAACTTTTCAAATATGATCTTGTGGAAAGCAATTGATTTTTGTCCAAAGTTTGTAACTTATTAAAAAAGCATACATTTACTTATAAATATGATTTTGTTTTAAATTTTAAAATTTAAAATTTAATAATTTAAAATTCCATTAAAGGATGGGAATAACAATAGTTCAAATTACAAATTAAATATTCTTGTAAGCCTCTTCAGTAACACATCAACTTAAAAAAAAATGTATTAATCGATTAAAAGTATATAACATACAATACGTATTAAATAATAATGTAATGCTTTTAACATACCGCTAGTTAAAATCTTCTATATTGATGATGGTAAACTAATTACACTTCTAAATTTGCTTTTAAGTGATCGGAATGTCATTTGATTGCAGCTGACCCCATCTGTAAAATCCATTGCGGCATAAATAAATAAATGATTGCATTCGCTTCCCTTCGTGGGGCGACACGTATCCCCCGTTTCCATGCGCCTCACGTATGCGGAACCCCGCCACCCACCATTTAATATCAAATAACCAATATTCCTATATATATATATATAATCACCTCGATCCCCTTGAAGTCGCTAACGGATTGAAATCAAAATATTGCATTAAATTATGAGTGTTTTGGATTTGATCGTTGTGAGATGGGAAATGATAGGCATAGGGAAATAAATTTGTTTATTTTAAAGCTAAATAATTAATGGCCGCTTATAAAAAAGATGTGAATTGTTAAAAGCAAGTTAGACTATATTTTTTTCATTTTGCTGTACTTTTATTGCTTATTCTGGTTTCATTTCTTTAAGGCCTTTGAATAATTAAAAAGAAAAATAGTTTAGTCGTTTACTTGTATCTGGCTAACTTATTTATTTTACCTATTCTCTTATGAAAACTATTAAATAAAAATATTATATAATGCTCTTATAATAATTTAGTTTTTTTTTTTTACAAATATTTATATTAATTTAATACGCACTTACAGTGACTATTATGGGCACACCAACCAATTTCACGCAAATAGATGACGCACATATTGCCCACAGTTACAAGCGGTGAGTAGTAAGGCGTTCTCCTTGTTTTTAAACGCACAACTAAATAAAACTCAATCCCCACCAGACTGCTGGAGATCTCAGCTGTGCGGGTGGTGAAGCCATGGCTCCAGATCCGCCTACTCCACCGCCTTTTGGCCCCGGAACTTTACGAGGAGTCCAGGAAGTGCTGCAAATTGCTGGCCGACTTTGTGGGCGAAATTGTGAGGACCAAGCATCGCAACTGGCGGCTGAGGGACGCCGTCGGTGGGGAGACTCCTGGCGAGGATTCGTCCGCCGGCTGGCAGCGGCGCATCTTCATCGAGCAGATCTTCCAATTGGCCGCCAATGGGGAGATGACCCTCGAGGAGATCATGCACGAGGCACAGTCCATGGTTCTGGTGGTAAGTGCTTAATAATAGTAACATTCTTATTATTGGTAAGGGCCGTATTTTTTTTATATATATATTTTATATATTTAAAACTATTTTTTCAAAAAGGAAAACAACCCCCATTGAATTTTCTTCAAGTGGATACCAAATGATACTATTTTACACTAATGATGTGCCCATTTCAGTCCTTCGAGACGGTGTCCAACAGCATTATGCTGGCCCTGCTCTGCCTGGCCACCAACAAGGGCGACTGCCAGCGGCGATTGCTGGCGGAGATCAGGGCCGTGGTGCCGGACAGTGGGCACGTGGGCTTGGAGCAACTGCAGCAGCTGCGCTACCTGGACGCCTTCGTCAGCGAATCGCTGCGTCTGTTGGCCACGGTGCCAATGAATTTGCGCCACGTCAGTCGCGATTTCCAGCTGACCGGACGGGATGCCATTGTGCCGCAGAACAGCATCATTGTCCTGGACACCTTCAATATGCAACGCGACGAACGCTGGTGGGGACCCACCGCCAAGCAGTTCGATCCGCAGCGGTTCCTCGACCACGAGGAGCAGTCCAAGGGTCACGATAATCCAGGATCGGGATCGGGTTCGGGATCGGGATCCGGAGAGCCACGGAGACAGCGGGATCGGCGCCACTCCTACAGCTTCCTGCCCTTCTCCAATGGACTGCGCTCGTGTATCGGTATGTGATTTTTTTTTAATTTTCTAAGAAAAAATATATCATAAATATATTTTATGAAATTTTTAAATAAATAGATTGGTACAATATCAATATAAATGTTCCTTAACAAATGTTGATTTCTCCAAGACATTGAACGCGAATATCAATTTAAATACAGGTTTTTTTTTAATTAAAAAAAAATGTTGTCTAAATAAATATGTATATTAATTTGTTTGACTGTCAATTTTCAACTGAATATTCATTAACAGCCTGATAATCAATTGTGGTTTACGGGTAGAAGAAATTATAAGCTTTAAATACTGTAGGACCAAAAAAGCTGTCTCCTGTTTAAATAAGATTACCAAAACAAAACTAAATAATGCAATCGATCCTTTTTCTTTAGGTCGCCGCTATGGACTCTTTATTATGAAGGTTTTCCTGGTCAAGCTGATCTCGAACTTTGACTTTCAGAGCGATTTCGAGTTGGAAAAACTGCAGTTCGTGGAGAACATATCGCTAAAGTTTAAGAACGCCGACGATATCTTGCTGGCAATCCAGCCACACAAGCAGTCGAAGGAGTCCCTATAATAAAATCATTTTTTTCTTGATAAATATATAATACATTTAAATACATTTTTTTTTAAACCTAATGTACATACAATTTTACAATGTAATATGTAAATGATTATTACACAACGGTTATTTTTCATGTATCTTACGTGGTCCCAATAAAATGTCCTTGTTTTAATGACAACAATGAAATATCCCCTCAATGATTTCCCAACTATTTGATTTTTGAGGGAAAGCTTTCAAAGAAACTTGAGTCGAAAGCTTAGCCATATTTTCAAACCACTGGACTATGAGTACCAGGTGGCGCAAGTAATAAATTTGTGAAATAAAATCTTAAATAAATTGTTTAGTTCAAAGTTCGTGTATTCGAGTAAACCTATAAAAACTTAGAAAATTGGAATTGAAGCTAAATCTTAATGTGTGTTTTAGATGTTGCGGTAGTTACAAAGGTAGGTACAAACTAAACAATGATATATGTTTCCATATATCTGGAAAGGGGCTTAATACTTTTTTTGTAATTTAAGAACTCATCTCAAAATACTTGAAAAACATCCTATTAATGCAGCTACGAATTTTTTTAAAGAAAATAATTGTAATAAGGTTTTAATTTATTTATTTACTTGTTTACATATAACACTCACAAATATTGTCCAATTCTATCAATCTGTATCTTAAATTTGTTGAAATATCAATTAATAATCACTTAACCTTTTATTTTTAAGCTCAAATTAATTCTTTATTTTTTTCGATTATTAAATGGACTCTTAGTTTTACCCCTTTTATACCGATTTTTCTCGCATTAATTTTTTTTACCCGTTCATCACTTTTTAACCACTTTGGATTTGGATATATGTATGCTCAATATGTAGACAAAGTGGGGAAAGTGGGTACAAAGTGGTATAGTTGGCTTAACACGTTGCCACCGCTGTCTGATAATGATGATGATGCATCATTAGGTTGACTAATTTTAATTACGCCGGCGCCCAAATTGCTGATATCATTTTTAATAATATGCCGTGTCTGTGTCGCTCTGTTTCTGTCTCTATCTCTGCCTCCTTTGCCGTCTCTTTCCGGCTATCAAGCTCTCTCTTTCTGCCCTAGCCTGTCTGTGTTCCCGTCTGTCCTTAGTTAGTGTTAACTTTTCCAAGCGGCAGCTGTTGCGAGCATCTTCCCTATTCATGTCCTTTTCTACGCTTTAATACCCTTTCTGGGGCTATTTTAATTATAATAAACATCTTGGTTATTAACATTATATTTGTCAGATATCGGGAGAAAATGCGAGCATTATCACTATCGTAGATGGCATCTTAAAGCAAAGATGTAAGAAATAATAAAATGTTTAAAAAAGAGAATATTTATATTTACTTAAAACCAACTGAATGGTTATAAATCGTTTGAGTTGATCATATAAACACAACAGGTATAATGGAAAATTACACTTTTTGTTTAAGAAGATGTTCCATAAGTATATAATAGCTCAAGACTATCACTACATTAATAATAATATTTAACTTGAACAACCAGATTCTGGAAAAGCCGAACAATAACATTTTGATTAATTATTTTGAAAGCGTATTTTAAATATCGGCTCTGAAGTAGTTGCTCCATGTCCTGGCCAACCAAACGACTTTTGGCCTGTCTTGATGCCCTTGGGCGAGGGTAAGGGGATGGAGAGGGGGTGCGATGGGGGTGCTCGGGGGTGTTGCACAAAGCCAACAAATTATGCACTTACACACACATACACAGACAACTGCGTCGCTATTTGAGTTATGTACGAGTATGTGCAAAGGAGCCGGCAGATGAAAGCCCCAACCCCTCTAGCCACCCCCCTCTTGCAACGCCCCTGCACCACTTGAGCTGTACGCTGTACTCTGTACTCGGCACTCTGTACTCCGTACTTTTTTTTTTTTTCGTCCTTTGAGGACTCGGCACTTGCAACTTGCGACTCTGTGCCAGGTCTGTGCTTTCGGCCCGGCTGACATCTTCTTACTCCATTTGGGCGCCCTGTCGTGTTAATTTAGCGCGAAATATTTGACAAGATGACGCGATGCCACAGCCCCTGTGCCCATTTGCACCCCTGACTGCTGCACAGGAAAAAAAATACAGGTGACTTTGTATAAATATGATAGTAAAACTTTCCCCTTTCTCTTTCAAAAATTTTAAGCATTATAATGGATTTATAATGTATTTCTAAGCTGACATTGGCATATACTAATGGAAAAAAAATGCTATTAATATGAATCTATATAAAATCAATTAAGCCCAATAAAATAACCTTAATTATAACAAAAAATTTATGCAATTTGTTTCGACACAGTTTTAGAAATTGTTGATATAAACATTATTTAAAATTTTAATAATTCTATAGTTTAAACATATTAATTTTAATAAGTTTTCAAAATAAGGTTGTATTTTGTAATGCTTTTTTTTAGGACTTTCGAGCTCAATAGATATTATTGCATACTTAAAGGCGCATATATCCGTAATATCAAAAACATTGTGACTTCTGTATCACCTCCCGAAAGCTCCCGTTAAATCAGGTGGGCTCTTATTATATTTTAGATCATTTAATCCAAGTGTTTATGATTTTTTTCAGGTGTATGCCAAGACAGGCACTGTTGTCGGCGGGAGTAACGATCGAACTTCAGTTTCCATCTCCATCTCCATATCCATCTGCCCTGCTGTGTCTCAGTCGCTGTCTGTGCAACAGACACTCATATCGATTTATAAGATGCCACACACTCCTGACATTCGATAGTGACTCCGCTGTCGTGTCCTGATGTTCTGACGTCCTCATGTCCCAGTGTCCCGATGTCCTGACGTCATCCGCCCCCAAAGTCCTGGAGTCCCGAAGTCCTGAAGTCCTGGAGCTGAAGCTGCTGTGATTGAGCAGCGCGGTCGCTTTAAGTGATTCGCTCTCCAGCTAATTCGCAGACAATCCAACCTAAAAGCCACAAGTGACTTCTGACAGGTCGAATTACAGGACACAAATGAGGTATCCTTGGCTGCTCAACTCCATTTCGAGTTCGGAGCTACAACTTTTGGTTTAAGCGAATGAAGATCAGTTTAAAGGGGAAGATCGACAGCTCAATAAAAAAACTAATTTATTCATGAACAAAAAATTATATAAAAAAAATTATAAAAAAAATAAAATTCTCAATTATATCTAACCAAGACTTTAAAAATTGGAACGTTTGAAAATATAATTTATTTAAATAGGAAATGCATATGTTTATTCGAATTAGACAGATTTGATTTATATTTAAATTGGATTGGATTGAACTTGTTGTTTTAATCAATGGCATTACAGACATGGTAACAATTATCTTACGATTTGAAAACACGTTTTGTTTTAAATTAAAATACTTTATTTAATTATTGAAATTTTTTTTATTAAAATATTTTATTTAATTATTTTAGCTGTTTAATGTTTTTAAATTAATTTCATTTATTCTGCATGCAACCAATAAGTATATGGAAAGTTTAGTAACCAATCCATTGACTATATTATATATTATAGTATACCAAGACCACAACAATCTGGTAATTTATCGAATGAACTGCAACAAGGCGAGAAAAGAGCGGAAAGCATTCGCACACTACTCACGGCCTTAATCAGCCGCATAATCAGGACTATCGTCATCATCAGCATCATCGGCATCATCGACACTATCACAATCATCATTGTTCCTTGTCGCGTCGCTGGGGATCAAAATCGAAGGTTGTCGGCTGCAGGAGGTCAAAGTGCAAGGTAGGGAACCCGAACCCAAACCCGAACTCGAACTCAAACTCAAACTCGCACCCACCGACCGACCGACAGACAGAGTCATTTATAAAATTTCCACCAGAACGTGTTAAATGGCGTCAATATTAAAAGTTCAAATATGACGCTTACGATGACGATGAGGATGACGATGACGACGCCTGGAAAATGGGCAAGAAAAAATGGTTTTTTGGGATGGGTTTGGGGGTGGTTGAAATCGGAGGATGGGCAGAAGAAGCAGGAGGAGCAGGAGGAGCAGACATAGACGGCAAACGAATCAACAAACGTTGGAGCTATTATCGTTGTCGCAACATCACACAGCTACAAGTACAACTTCGGCGGGGCACACATATGCACTCCTACTTACACATATACAGTGGCGTTGCGAGGACATCATTTAAAGGGGGGTTTCCTAAGTCAACGGATCGGAGCAGCGATACTTAGAATTCTGATCTATGCTTTCCTTTAAAAAACTATTTTGCTACATGGTATAAGAAAACATTTTACTGTTTTGCAATTTTTTAAGCTCTTAAAACTAAATAAGAATATAATACTAATACAACAGATTTATTGGCTCATTTTCTAGGGAATTAAAATTTAATTTATGTTTTATTTTTGAAATATGGGATGTAAAAACATACCAATATTTAATGTTCCATTTTTTTTAGCTGGGGATATGTAACGATTGAAGGAATATCGTTTCGAGTACTTATTTTGTGTACGGAATTTCTTAAGGTTTTGGATATTTCTATCAATTAAATAAGAAAATGTAAAGAAATAGTGAATGGTTTTACTGTTGTAACTATTTTCAATGTTCTATATTTTGTAAAGGGCTTTCATTTCTAAATTAAATCGATTTGCGGTTTGGGGAAACCTATAGCTAGTCCCCATTTGGGAATGCCACTGTGCACACATATGGTCCTTGTTGCTATTGCTTTTGCTGCTGCTGCTGCTGCTCATCATCATCTTTTGGCGTTAGCAAGTGCTTGGCGGCAACTTCTAATGGCGGCATTATGCGACCCCCCACCCCATCTAGCTTACCCATCCCCATCAGGCCCCCAACTACACACGCGTTGCCCCCCTTGGCCTCACTGCCCCTGGATGTGTGTGCGCCCTGCGCAAAATGAAAATGAAACTGTTGCAAAATCCCATAAAACGGCCAAAAAGCTTTTGTAAATGACGCCAACAGCTGTCGATGGCAAAGCAGACAACGTCGCCGTCCGCCCAATTTGCCAAAGCACCCACCCCCCGACAGCTCCCCAACTCCGCCCAGAAACACCCCCTTCCTTGTACCACCACTGACATCTATGTGTGACTACACCAAGAGAAATAGTCGGCAAAAAATAGGTACTGTTTGAAAAGAGTTTTTACCTATGAAGTCTTTTATTCTTTTTCCAATTTTAATATCTTTTTAATATTTATTGCCATAAAATTAAGTTTCGGAACCGTGGGAAACAATTATCTAAACCTGGAATGTCATATCATTAATCAAAAAAAAATGTTTTTTTTGTATATTTTTTTGCAAAAAATAACCTTTTATAAAATAACACAAACATATTTAAACATTCAATAACTTAAACAAAGTTTGTTTATAACTCTAATGTTATTATATATAACTAATATTTAAAGTATCTTAAAACTAAACAAAATTACATTCATAGCCTAAAATATTCTATTAAATACAACAAACAATGTTATTAATACAATAGTATTTCTTATACCCAAAGTTCTTATTTTCCCCCAAAAAATGTAATAATTACCAGCGCTCCCCCAATAACTTATTTCTTATTCTCTCAGTGTATGTGTATGTTAGAAGGGGAGAAATGGCGCTGCAAGTGGGGAACCGTGAAGGTTTTGGCGCGTTTTAATAAAGCGACAATGACATTTTATGAATTTTCCACTTTGTTCTCGGCCCACGCCCACAATCGCGTTCCGCTCCGCTCCGCCAACGCCACCGCCCCGCCCCCTCTCCGTTTCCCGCCCCTTTGTGCTGTTTTCATTATTTGTTTGTTTGCCGAGAACCACAGACTGGCGGCCGATAGGACTCCATGACTCCAGGACTTCAAGACCAGGACTTCCAAAACTCCAAATGAATTGACATCGTCTGTGTGCTGGGGGAGGGTGTTTGTGTGTGTGTGTGTTGTTTTGTGGGTGTGCGAGTACGAGCGGTGCACAAAGGCGTGTCTCCGTGTGCCTTTTGATATCGGATTTCATTTATAATTAGCTGCAAAGTTAACGGTTGCCAGCAATATACCTTGACTTGTGGTTGGTGTGGCCCCGGTCAAGTAATTTTCTTGTCAGAGGGTTGCCGGGCATCAGGAGCTCCAGCAGGGTGCGAATTGCAGGGGGTGTTGCCCCAATGTTTGCCCTCCGTTGGCTCACATAACACCTCATCCGCTGCCATTAAAGTCCTGAGATGGGAGCGCCTAAAGCCGAAGATTAGCTAACCAAATCCGCCTGCATTACCTATTAATTATTGGGAAGGGCCTAACTTTTTCCTATACCAAATTCTGTTTAGGTTTATCTATCCCATAACTAAAATAAGGTTTTTCAATTTATTAAATAATTTTATAAAGCAACCAAAGCAAAACCACGAACAATGCAAAATATAAACGGCTATAATCAATTGCAAATAAAAATGAATAAAATTAAATAACATATTTCGTGGTAATGTTATTATTTTTTACTGACTATAGAAATATGTTTGCTCTTTTGTAGCAAAGCCTAATTAAAAAAAAAAATATGAAAATCATTTTAGGAAAGCTAACAGTTAATCTTTCCACAGTCGTAATAAACTTGTCCATTTAAAAACAAAGATTTGATTTTAATATTTCAAATCATATTTATTATGAAATATACAGAGTGATCATCTCGATTTAACATAAGATGAAAATGAAATTAACAATTTCTATATGTTTTTTTAAGCTGTGTCCGGATTGATAATTTATAAATTTTCGGATATATGTAGGTTCCACTCTGTTAGCATTATTTCTTTTACAAAAGAATACAAGAGACCTTTTTACGAAAGTAATACAAGAATACAAGATAAACTTTTACAAAAGAATACAAAATATTCTTTTCGAAAGAATACAAGATAACCTTTTGGAAAGAATACAAAATGTGTTTACAAAACACAAATAATGCGTGAAATGGGCTTTTCTATGCGAACACACTTTAAGGACTCAGATCCTTGACCACGTCGTCCACAAACTGCTGGAAAATGGCGGTGCCCTCGTCGTCGGTGGCGTCCATGATCTGGTTCATCAACTCCCAGCTAAAGTGCTCATCCAGTAATCCACGCTTCAACACGTAGGCGGGCATTAAGATCTCGAAGTAACGCAGACGCCATCGGGATGCCAGGCGCGGAATGCAGATGCGATTCTTGACCATCACGTTGTCCTCCAACTCGAAGACGTTGCACTCCTTACCATCCTCTGCGGGCGGTGGTGTGACCATCCTCATCTGCCCCGGGGCGGATTGGGTGGATTTTGGGGCACGGCAGCGGCGTTTCTTCGGCGTGGGCGGGCGGCGATTCGATTCCGGCCGGCGGTTGAGGAGCTTCTGCATCCAGCACTTCTTTAGAGCGCCCAGCGACCTGCGCTCGCTGCCACTCAATCCTTCCAGGTCGTTATCCAGTCTGCGCATCGTGGCCGCCACCACGTGGCCCGGAAAGGAGCACGACTCCCCGATCCAGATGTCATTGCTGGGTTTTAGCTTGGGCGATCGAACCATTATCTCGTTAGTAAGACCTTATCGTAAATAGTTTCTTTTGAAAATTAAGCTCTTTTCGCAATGGAAGCTAAGGATGGCAATCAGATCGCTTCCAAAATCAAAACATCATTTATATCGATATCAATCTACAAAGCATCGATAAACGACAATCGTACTTGCCTATGTATATAGAGTGGGCAAAAGAAGTTAAAGCACATTTGCATGTAATTGCATATAAAGTCTTCGTAAACTTGTTTTGCCCACTGCTCCCATTTTTTTATGGGTTTATCAAGGCAAATATTTCAATAAATATATTTATATTTCTTATGAAAGTTATTGTGTACCTACTTTTTTTCTATTCGTGAATTAAAAATAATTTATTTCCCAACTTATCGATATATAACTGTACATTTTAAAGATAGCAATAAAAATGTTTTTTAAATCAAAACAAAACATTGACCAAAGTAGCATAAACAATACAATTACAATGAAAATGGTACCAAACATATTTAAAAACAAAGTAAAACACTTGGATAATAATGGAAACTAATAAACTTTTCGAGACCCGTGTCTCTGGTGGCAAATCAAGAATGCTTTTTCCCCAATTTCCCCATGAATGCGCTGCCCGATTCCGAAACAATGGAGAAGTTACAAAGTAAAATGCACGCCGGTTGCCAAGTGGCAGTGGCAGTCCAAATTAACAGCTAATTATGTGCGAATGAGAGCTATGGTACGAGGTCCTCGGGAAAATTGGGAAAACGGGGGAAAAGTGAGGGAGGTACACGCCAAACACGTACAGCAGCTAAATGGGTAGAGCGAGACGGATATAGAGGGGCGGGCAGCGAGTCAAACATTATTTGAATACAAAATTGCCCTTGAAAAGGGTTGCCAGCCATATGGAAAAGCCAAAAAATACCCAAAACAAAAAGGGCAACGAAATTTGGAAAAACAAACAAGAAAACCCAAAGGCCACAACAAAAGTGACAAATTAGTCGACACTAAAAGCGTTACAATTGAGAAAGGGTGCACGTGTACCCCTAAACCCCCAAAAGTAATCTCGTTTTATCGCAATACAGTTCAACTTCCATAATGCAGAAAAACATCTGTAACATTAACAATCTTTCGACAATATTATACATGTAACTATATAAATTTACCTTTTTAAAATATCTATTAAAGCTTTAATGTTACATAAATTATAACAGAGAATTAGATTAATAATAGATCTAAGTTAAACTATCTTAGATATAAATATTTACTAAAATGTTTTCATATTGAATTTGGCCAAAATTCGTTGTAGCCGGGTTAGACTGCGATTTGTTATATTTGATGCAGAGTATTTTTGTATCATTTTGGGTCAGTGATGGTCGCTATTAAAATTCAAAGAGCAGAATGCATTTGTTTTCGCTGGGGTACGATGATGATGATGATGATGACTTGGTCCACGCCGGAAATCCAATTGCGGTGCTTGTCATAAGACAACAGCCCAAATCTCCACACGTAGCCTTTGCAACTCCAAAGTCCTCGAACTCCCAGCATGATTACATGCTAAATTGCGTGCTGCAATTAAGAAGGCATTTTGGGTTCTAGGATGCGAAGGGGATTGCAATTGAAACCACTGTCATCAAAGAGGACTTGGCTTTGAAGAATAATTAACAAAAGAACCAACAGTTAAATAAATAATAAATAAAATAAGTTATCTTATTAATGAGTACTTGAATTGTTTCTTATCATACCAATACCAACGATTCCGTTTCAGTGGTAAATTATTATTTAGCTTAAAAAAATTTAACATTAGTGTAATTACGTCTTTCAATCACATTCTGAAATTAAGAAATAAAAATAGGTCATCGATATTCTAAATTTGGCAATTACAAAATATCAATGCTCACTATCTACATGTATACACAAAGGATTCCGGTCCTTAGTCCTCCAGTTACCAGGTCCTATCGGGAGTTGGTAAGATAACGCCTCAGCTAGGATCGGCGGATTCTCAGTCCGCCTTCAAGGTGAATATACCGAATGTGACCGGTAATTCGAGCTCACCATCGCCTTCCAGTTTTACCCCAAAGGATAGGTCGTCGCCTTCGAATATTTCACGAGGTATCACTCCCAGGCGATCCTGAGAGTAGTTGATGAACACACCATTGCGGGCATCCTAGGGATTAAAGAGGATAGAAATTAGTCCGTCCAACGGATGTAACACCTTACCACCTCCCTAATGAAAACCTTGTCATTTTGCACCGAGATGAGGGCGTGAAATCTGGACATATAGTCGTACTTCATTTTCCAGTTGCAGATGGAGTGGCGACCAAACAGGTTTATACCCTGGACCAGGTAAACCCGATCTCCCGTCATCACGTGCTCCAAATAAAAACCCATTTTTCCACGAAATTTCCAACGAAATGGAAGCTTCAAAATGCCACGTTCTTCTTCTTCCCTTTCGTTTAAAACGATGCCGGTCAACCAGGGATGGCAACCCATCGATTGTAGTCGATACATTATAATCCGAAATTATTTTTTTTATTATATAATTGTAATAAATCATTTTTAATTAAAACCTGGCAAATCTAAAATTAAACCATGGTATATTTTACCATCTACAACTCAGGGCTGGCTTTAAACAAAAAATATTATAATGGGTCAAAAATTAACCATAAATATTTGTCTCTTCTAACCTATATTTTCTTTTTTCCTTTTTTATTTAACTATTGCCAAAAGAACAATGCAAAATATATTTGCCTTTTGTTTAAAAAAATACCAGATAAATGTTGCTATCAATTTATCGATGCCTAAGGATCGACAGATCGCATTTGAAATCGAGTATCCCTTATCTAAGCACGTTGTACAACACTAAAGAAGCTTCTGCATAAATAATTGGCGAAATAATTGGCTTCGCGCGTAATTAGCCGGAATTCATGGAATCCTTTCCAAGATGACAACGCAGACGAGGCCAAAAGTCAAATACCGGGCCAAATGCAGTGAGCCAAAAATAATGAACTCCAAAATGAAGTGAAACAAAAAGAAAACACAGCTTTAATTATTCATATTTCATTAGTGAGCAGAAGCAGAAGCAGAAGCAGAAGAGCAGGTGAATGCGATGGCGATGGCGATGGCGATGGCGATGGCGTTGGCAAAGGCGTGTGCCATATAAAATTTATAAAAATCAAAGTAAGCACTGGAAGCACAAGAGAGCGGAATTCTCTCAGACCGCAATTGGAATACACTTTTTTGATGCTCCAAAAATCTCATCCAGCCAAATTCCAACTGGAATGCGTACGAATTCAGTGGAATTTCATTTTTCTTATATTAGCTTTGTCATCGGCGTGTTATACTTATAAAAAAATATTATTACCTCAAAATTAAATTAAAAAGCTATTATTCCCAGTTATTTGCGTGTGTAGGGTAGTGATTATTTGGCAGAACATAAAGATATATACTATATCTACTTAACGTCTGGTAATTACGTCTTAAAATTCAATCCAAATTGTTTTGCAATTTTTGGACTTTGTACCATACATATAATTACGTGGTAAGAGTGTGGTCCAAAGAAAACAAACCCTTGCAAGAGTACAAAATGGAGTACGAGGAGCTGGAGGTCAGCTTTGAGTTAAACAAAAGGGAAATGTCGGAAAGGAATCTGGATACACGGATAAACATCATCATTTGTCTTGGCGGAGAGACGGCAGTGGCGACGAAGTGCGGCCGGGGCACATTGATGAATGAAGTGCGTAGTGGCTGAAAGGCCAAAAGGCAGGCCGCATTAAAAATGCACACGCAATCAGAAAATGCTTTACGACGGCCTCAAAAACTGAGGACCCGGAGTGGGGATTCCGGACTTGGGACTCCCGACACCATGGCCCGCCAGGTGATGGATCAGCGGCCTCAGATAAGACAGGCGCAGAAGGACAAGGAGCCGGAGCAGGAGCACGAGCAGGAGCAGGTTCCAAAGCTGGAGCTGAACCCGGAGACGGGGTAATGAGTGAGTTGAAGTGGGACTGGCCTGCTGCTGCCCCGTCAAATGTTGTAAGTAAGCCCCTTTTGAGCCGGGCCTCTCGGCATACCGATGGTGGCAATTTATAATTTGTTTGAGGGCTTTCAGCGGCCTTTCAAGGCAATTACCCCGCTCTGCGGACACCCGGACCTGAGACCTGGGACCTGGAACCTGGAACCTGGCTTTACCTTTGGCAGCAACACCTTCGCAGCATTTCGGCTTGACTGGCTGCGAACTTTGGCACCCAACCATCGCCAGGTCTCGAGAAAGAGGTTCGGGTTCGCTTACTGGGTCAACGCGCTGGCCATCCGCCTCCATGACTCTGTGATTTATTATGGAATCGCCGAGGATGTTTTCTTTGACGTAGCACGTTCATTCGGCAGGGATGCATGCGTGCACTCAGCAAAAAATCAAAGCCACTGATCATGTAGGTAAGTGCACTCCTACAGATTTTTCTATTCCAAATCATTTAATTTAAGAAATGTATTTTACAAAAACTAAAAAATTTATTTTCATACTTAGAAATTGCTTTCTAGAAATACATTTTTTTTTTAAATTTTCTTTTCTTCTAGAAAACCTTTTTCTATAATATTCCTTAAGTTTCTGACAACTTGAGAATGATTTTGCAAATTGATTTTGATTACGTGCATGATTGGATTATAAAAACAATCTGTAGAATTATCTGAAACTATTTAAGTAGGTCGATTTACTATTTATTTATTGCACTAGGTTTATGTCTTATATCTTAGAACTTTTTTTTTTTTTCTGAATAGGACCGCTATATTTCTCTAAGTGTTGCACGTTGATGATTAAGCAAACGGACAGCCGTAGATATGCACAGATTTCCCAATGATAGGATAGGTACTCTCGCTCTTTCTTGACTTCTAAAGCCGAAAGAATGGGCTTTGTTTGGCTGCCATTTATAAACGAGCCGTTTGTAGATCTGTATTAAAATTCAAGCTCTTTCATGCTATTAATATTCCATTGCGTACTCGCGCGAGAATATATTCCATTTTTAATAACACGAAACTTTATGAAAATTTTATAAATAAAAGCCAGGGATAGTATATATCCAGGATATGCTGGGGTAGCTGTTGCCAGATTCCTTCTGCTTTTCCGTTTGTCCTCGTCGGCGGCAGAAAAGGAAAGCTTGAAAGTCAAAGCAAACAGGGGAAAACTCTCTGGGGCCATGGAACCTTATCCAGGAGCTGGATAAATTGCGCAATGAACCCCATTTTGGGAGGGGCGGGGTGGAAAGTTGGCTACCACTCACTCACTCACTCGCACGAAAGAAAACAAAGAAAAACAATTGAAATGTGAATATTAAATATACAAGTACAAGTTGCCCGTTAGTGAGCATTGCTATTGTTTGGTGCAGCACCTTGCACAGATCCACAAACACCCACGCAACCACCCATGGAATTACCCATGGAATCACCCATGGAGTCATCCACAGAGCCACCCACTCATCCAGGCAACTACCCAACGCTTGGCAGCAAACTCCCCGCGGCGTCATTGTGCTTCCTGGTAGGCGGCAGTGGAAAATGCCATTTGATGGCATTTAGATGGGATCGTTGATTGATGTTACTGGCTTCTCCACGAATTCCCAAAGCCAGACCCCTGCTCCGGGCACTGCTGTGTGTGGGTCAGTTATGTTCCCGGCGACTGGAGGGATTCGCGGCGGCTTCTCGTGGGCGCTTAAGAAGTTAGCGGAAAGGTTGCTCTACGCAAATCAACCTTGGAGAAAGATGTCTCAAGTTGGCATTAGTGATAAGGTGATTTCGGATGCTTAGTTAGTAGTTGTGTTTCTGCGGGGCTTAGATGCTTTGCTTTTGAGGCAATGCTTTTATTCTTTTATAGTTATAGTTTATCACCTCTTAAAAGAGCTTAGTGAAACCAAGATAATTGAATAATCAAATTGTTTTTTAAACCGATAACAATCTCTCAATCAATAGTTTCAAAAGTTGCTTTTAAATATAAGTAAAGTATTATTCAAATAAAGTAAAGAATTTAAAAAACCCATTCATCCTTATTTAGTACATTTTAAAACACATTTAAATTAAAATAAAACTAAGTGGATAAATACTTAACATTAAAAAGTGAAATCAGTTTCACTTACATATCTTTCAAGGAATAACAATATATGGAAAATTCTTATCTTATTAACTTCGCTTTGGTTTTACTTTCTAAACTATCAGTAAAGAATTTCGAAAAGGCTTAATTAGTCGATATTGAGTTAAAATCCAAAGCTTGAACCGAAGTTAACTTTTAACAAGGAACTTGAGTTTAAGAAATTTTGAAAAAGTATGTCGAATTGGTAAAGCAATAGAGTTAAGCCGCCCGATAACTCAATCTTAGTCAAGTTCCATCTAGGGCTGCCAGCTTCGTTGTTGTCGTTGTTGTTTTCATATGGACGTCAACCTATATATCCCCGGCTTTACATAGTACTCTTTCCATCGGCGCGCGTGGCATATGTGTAATGCATGCAACGAGGCACATTAATTAAATAAAAATTGATTTTCCAAGCGCATGAAATGCAATCAACGGCCGGGGCTTCAAGTGGTGGGTCCATGTGGCCTGGATGCTGGCCTGGATTCCAAACTGGACCCTGTTCCTAGCATCCTGGACCCTTTCCCTGGATGCTCCATGCTCCATGTGCTCCACATGCTCCATGGACCACTCTGCTCCAGTCCGCCGTGTTGTCAAATGGAGTTAACAAAGTTTACGCTTTTTGCACGCCGCAGTCTCATTCTGCTGGTTTTATTTTTTTGTACTGCTGCAGAATGCCAAGTTTTTTTTGTTTTTTTTTTTGTGGCCCTTGCTCGTTTTTTGTTGCATCGTATGCATAAGTATATAATGTGCAGCTGGCTGGACATGGGTGGGTAAATGGGGCGGCCAGGACCATGGTCTCCTGTAGCCATGGTGCCCGTCGCCGGTCCGTTTCGCCTTTTATCCGTTTGGCCACAACGGCGGCAATGAGTTTAATGTGCGCTGTCGCTTTTTGGCCGTATTTAAACCACAGCAAGTCATCAGGCAAATTGAATTTTCAACGTATGGTCGCACATTGCGTTGCAACAGTCCGTGTCACGAAACCCACTCGCCTTCACCAACTCTTTTTGACCCCAACTCGTTGTGTTTTTAACCCTCTGAAGTGTTGTTACAAAATAACTTGGTTACTGTTTCTTTAGATTTAATTCTGGATATATTGGCAAAGTATCTCGCTGAATTTCAATGTTTTGGGGCACTTTTCTCAAATCTAGCTTAAACTATAAGTTTAATTTGTATCTATTTGTCAGGGTGACACGATTAACTCTTGTGGTTCTATAGGCTATCGAAACTAAGAATTCCGAATTCAAATCTCTGTTTTAAAACTGCTTTAATCCTCAAAACTTTACACATATTGTAACAATTATAATGTTTGGCTAAAGAGTGGCTAAGCTTGAAAAACTCATTTTGATTTCTGTTGTGAGAGTGTTCATATTAAATTTATTGTAACTCCAAGAAGTGATTAAGAATTTAATGTAAATTTCAGAATGTCCGTGGACATTTAAAACTAATTTATGGCAATATGCTTTTTGCTCTTGGGTGTTAGAGGGTTAAGGCCTTGGCTTTTGCTGTCAGTCCGCAATTCTCGTGTCAGTGGCTGTATAACATTTCCATCTCGCTCTTATCAGCACGGTCAGCGTCGGTCCTTTATGCCCCAATCCTGATCCCAATCCCAATCCCAATCCCAATCCCAATGCCAATCCCAATACCCCACACCCGTATATACCCACTGCATTTGCTAGCTTCGTTTCTCGTTACAAAATTACCCACGATAAAAATTGAATTACTTCGTCGTCGTCGTTGTTGTCGTCGTTGTCGTGGTCTCCCTGCTTTCACTCCCTGGCAAAGTGTTTGGCTTGCTCTTGTCGCGCCCATTTCCCCCGTCCGTGATCCTTGTCCGCCTCCAAGTTCTCGTCCTCCTCTTAGCCCTCGTCATTGTCCTCGTCCTCGTCCTCGTGCTGCTTAGACGACACTGAAACTGTCGCCAGGCCTGGTCCTGTGTGACTCCGTCTAATGATAAATGAGCTGCAATGGATGACAGCGAATCAACTTAAGTGTATTGCTCTGCTTCGCTCTCCCACTCTTTCTGGCTGGGAATGCGACAGTTGGGGGGGAATTTGGTGCCTTCTGGCCACCCGGAGCCAGCCAATGCACTTTCCCCTCAACGCTTTTTTGCTCGTGTTTACGTTTCACTTGAAAATTCTATGCTACACTAAATATTTACATAGGAAAAAAACTTGGCAAGTGTAAGTGAGATGCTTTAAAGAAGCGCTCTAAGGAACTTTGCCAAAGTTCCTTCACTCATTATGCGCCTTCGAGGAGAAGACGGGGGATTTCCGGGCATAATCAGCAAATTGGTAGAAACAAAAAGTGGTGACTAGGCTGGACTCGAAACAGCTGTGCTGGGAAACCATTTAGTGAGTTTAAAGAGAAGAAATATGGGCAGTATCTAATATTTGCTGGTTAGATTAAGCTTAAGGGGACAGTCCTTTGGTTCATCATTGTTTGACATTAAAAACTGTGTCTTATAAATCCGTTTTTCTAAACTGACTAACTTATCATACAAAGTGATGTATTAGTAATTTAAATTATTCATTAGGCAAGTTCAAAGAAACGAAATTTTTATAGTATCTAACATTTGCTTCTTTGACAACTTGAAATTCTTAGATTAGGCTTTAAGGGAAAAGTCTTTTGGTTCATCAGGTATTAGTAATTTAAACTGGGCAATTATAATTATATAAAAAATTAGTGGGACAATGTAAAATGCACAAAAACATAAAGCATAAGGTAATAAAATATGCCTTATGATACATACAGTGCAAGATCCTGTTACCAAAAAAAAGCCAAAAGACACACACTTGATTTGCCAGATTTTCATAAACTTCAAGATTTATTGTGGAAAACAAAAAAAAACAAAGGGTATTTAAAATAGTGCAATAAATTAGGTAGGACCAAGGGATAGGGAATAGAATTTGATTGCCAATAGAGGAATACAATTGATTGTGGGGTTATCGTACGGATGCAGCAGTAGATTTAAGGATTTCTGGTCGGGGGGTGTTCTAGTCAATCCCAGGGCGAATCGCCTACTTCTCCAGGCAGCGGGCCTCGTCCTTGGGCAAACAGGACTCGGCGATCCAATCGAAGCGTTCCTTCTTGTCGCAGCGCAGGTGTGCGAACTTGTGCTTGCCCGACTTCTTCACCTCGCAGCGGTAGTACTTGCGACAGTCGCGTACATCTGGATAGATATCGTCCTCGTCGCACTCGTCACCATTCTTCAGCTTCTTGATAAGGTCCTTTACGAATTGCTTCTTCTCCTTGGAGCTCGGCTCGTCGTCGCCGTCGTTGTCCTTTTCCTTTTCCTCCTTCTCTTGCTCCTTCTCCTCCTTGGACTTGTCCTTCTTCTCCTTGCTGTCCTTGTCCTTCTCCTTGTTGTCCTTGTCCTTCTTCTCCTTAGACTTGTCCTTTTCCTTGTTGTCCTTGTCCTTCTCCTTCTCCTCAGAGCTGGGCTTCTTCTGCTCCTGCTCCTTGGATTGATCCTCACTGGACTTGGGCTTGTCCTTCGATTTCTCGCTGGAGGCCTTGTTGCTCTCCTCAACGGAGGCATTCTCGTTGGACGCAGCTCCTCCGGCTGGCGGAACTGGGACAGCCTGTTCTACGCTCTCGGCAGTCTCGGGATTGTTGGGCTTTTGGGGTATCTGTGGTTCCTGCGGCTGCTGAGGATTCTGTGGCTGCTGAGGATTCTGTGGCTGTTGGGGATTCTGTGGCTGTTGGGGACTCTGTGGCTGTTGAGGATTCTGTGGCTGTTGGGGATTTTCCGGTTGGGCAGGAGCCTCGGTGCTGGTCACTGGCCTTGTTGGACGCCAGCTGTTCACCCATTTGTGCCAGTTGGGCCAGAAGGGAAGAGGACGTTGAGGCGGGTTGGCAAGGCCATTGATCAGTCCACTGCCAGGAGCAGTAGCCCCAGCACCTGAGCCGTTTTGTCCAGGAAGCAGTGGTCTCCAGGTCGGCAGGACTGGAATGTTCGGGCGCGGATGCCAAGGCCAATTGCCAACTCCGCCAGGTAGAACAGGAATCGATGGAATGAGTGAGCCAGCTGGTGGATTAAGCGGCGAATTCGGGCCAGCAGCAGAGTTGGAGCCATCAGATCCTGGAGCAGCACCACCAGCGGGTACATTGGGATCAGCAGGGGATCCAGGAGCACCACCAGCAGGAACATTGGGATCAGAAGGAGATCCACCAGCAGGGACGTTGGGATCAGCAGGAGATCCACCGGCGGGTACATTAGGATCAGCAGGAGATCCAGGAGCACCACCAGCGGGTACATTGGGATCAGCAGGAGACCCTGGGGCGACACCAGCAGAAGATCCAGGAGCACCTCCAGCGGGTACATTGGGATCAGCAGGAGATCCATCAGCAGGTACATTAGGATCAGCAGGAGATCCTGGGGCGGCACCAGCAGAAGATCCAGGAGCACCACCAGCAGGAACGTTGGGATCAGAAGGAGATCCTGGGGCGGCACCAGCAGAAGATCCAGGAGCACCTCCAGCGGGTACATTGGGATCAGCAGGAGATCCATCAGCAGGTACATTAGGATCAGCAGGAGATCCTGGGGCGGCACCAGCAGGAGATCCAGGAGCACCACCAGCAGGAACATTGGGATCAGAAGGAGATCCAGGAAACCCACCAGCGGGTACATTGGGATCAGCAGGAGACCCTGGGGCGACACCAGCAGAAGATCCAGGAGCACCACCAGCAGGAACATTGGGATCAGTAGGAGATCCTGGGGCGGCACCAGCAGAAGATCCAGGAGCACCTCCAGCGGGTACATTGGGATCAGCAGGAGACCCTGGGGCGATACCAGCAGAAGATCCAGGAGCACCACCAGCAGGAACATTGGGATCAGCAGGAGACCCACCAGCGGGTGCATTGGGATCAGAAGGAGATCCTGGGGCGGCACCAGCAGGAGATCCAGGAGACCCACCAGCGGGTACATTGGGATCAGAAGGAGAACCAGGGGCAGCACCAGCAGAAGATCCAGGAGCACCTCCAGCGGGTACATTGGGATCAGCAGGAGATCCATCAGCAGGTACATTAGGATCAGCAGGAGATCCTGGGGCGGCACCAGCAGGAGATCCAGGAGCACCACCAGCAGGAACATTGGGATCAGAAGGAGATCCTGGGGCGGCACCAGCAGAAGATCCAGGAGCACCTCCAGCGGGTACATTGGGATCAGCAGGAGACCCTGGGGCGATACCAGCAGAAGATCCAGGAGCACCACCAGCAGGAACATTGGGATCAGCAGGAGACCCACCAGCGGGTGCATTGGGATCAGAAGGAGATCCTGGGGCGGCACCAGCAGGAGATCCAGGAGACCCACCAGCGGGTACATTGGGATCAGAAGGAGACCCAGGGGCGGCACCAGCAGAAGATCCAGGAGCCCCTCCAGCGGGTACATTGGGATCAGCAGGAGATCCATCAGCAGGTACATTAGGATCAGCAGGAGATCCTGGGGCGGCACCAGCAGGAGATCCAGGAGCACCACCAGCAGGAACATTGGGATCAGAAGGAGATCCTGGGGCGGCACCAGCAGAAGATCCAGGAGCACCTCCAGCGGGTACATTGGGATCAGCAGGAGATCCATCAGCAGGTACATAAGGATCAGCAGGAGATCCTGGGGCGGCACCAGCAGAAGATCCAGGAGCACCACCAGCTGGGACGTTGGGATCAGCAGGAGATCCAGGAGCAGAGGTCGATCCTTCAACTGGAGCACCAGGAGCAGCAGGAGCAGCGGTAGATCCTTCAACAGGAGCACCAGGAGCAGCAGTTGATCCTTCAACGGGAGCACCAGGAGCATCGGTAGATCCTTCAACAGGAGCACCAGGAGCAGCAGTTGATCCTTCAACGGGAGCACCAGGGGCACCAGGAGCTGCGGTAGATCCTTCAACAGGAGCACCAGGGGCATCAGGAGCAGCGGTAGATCCTTCAACAGGAGCACCAGGAGCAGCAGTTGATCCTTCAACGGGAGCACCAGGGGCACCAGGAGCTGCGGTAGATCCTTCAACAGGAGCACCAGGGGCACCAGGAGCATCGGTAGATCCTTCAACAGGAGCACCAGGGGCACCAGGAGCAGCGGTAGATCCTTCAACAGGAGCACCAGGGGCACCAGGAGCATCAGTTGATCCTTCAACGGGAGCACCAGGGGCAGCGGTAGATCCTTCAACAGGAGCACCAGGGGCACCAGGAGCAGCGGTAGATCCTTCAACAGGACCACCAGGGGCACCAGGAGCATCAGTTGATCCTTCAACGGGAGCACCAGGGGCAGCGGTAGATCCTTCAACAGAAGCACCAGGGGCACCAGGAGCATCGGTAGATCCTTCAACAGGAGCACCAGGGGCACCAGGAGCAGCAGTTGATCCTTCAACGGGAGCACCAGGGGCAGCGGTCGATCCTTCAACAGGAGCAGCAGTCGATCCTTCCACAGGAGCTCCAGGAGCAGCGGTCGTTTCATCAACAGGAGTTCCGGGAGCGGCAGTTGTTTCAACTGGAGCGGTGGGGTCGACTAAACCGGGTTCGTAGGTAGATTCTTCGGGTGCGTTGGGATCCTGAGGGGCGCTTGGATCAATGGGCGTGTTCGGGTCGACATCACCTGGCGCAAGGGTGGTTCCCTCTCCAGGAGCGGCTGTGGTGCTCTCGGGTTCAATGGGTGGGTTAGTGGCTTCCGATCCGGGTCCCAAAGTGGTGTCCACGGGAGTGGTGTCGCTGGGAATCGTCGATTCGGTCTCTAGAGGTGCCTCCGATCCGGTGGTTGTCTCATCGATGGATGCGGTGGTCGTCTCAGCGGCCGCTTGGGTGGTCTCCACCGGTGCCTGGGTCGTCTCAACCGGAGCAGGTGACTCCGCTGTAGCAGCACTGGATGCGGCACTTGGTCCCTCGGTAGAGATTTCGCCTCCTGAGCTGCTGGAGCTGGAGCCATCCACCAGCGGAGCGGACTCGCTGACGGGGCTGTCGGTGATGGTCACCATCTTGGCGACGGCCGCCGTAGGAGCCTCAGCGGCCGACTTGACCGGCACGCAGATCTCGAGGCCGTCGGTCACGCAACGGGTGTTCACCGCGCACGGCACCACCGGACCGGAGGTCAGGCCATCCACGCACTCCTGGTAGGAAAGTGGGCCCACGCAGACGGCGCTCCTGCCGCCGCACTTCAGTCCCACGGCGGCGGCATTCGCCTGATGATGATTGGCCACCAGTGAGGTCAACTGCAAGAGGGAGATAAGGAGCCTTGTTAGTGGGTGCGTGCTCCAGGGATTTGGACGGTCGGTGCACTGTTCTTGTCTCGGGACCTTAACAATTACACTGCTTTCATTTCACTTGCATAGTAGGATACTTTCGAGTGATCGCCGAGCGCTTTGAACGTTATCCAAAGTAACAAGAGTCCCGGGAGCTACGGGTTCGAATTTGATTGGTGTTTTATTTTGGTTTGTTTTCGAGGCATGTGCGTATCCAAGTGCCGCCACCGAATAAATTGCAATAAAATATATATATGTGTACAACTCGTCAGTAAAGACAACAAATTAAAAAAAAAAAAAAAAAAAAAAAAAAACAAGTTGGGGAGAACACGTTCCAATACAAGTAATGCTTGGATCGAGATGCCGGCCACGATTTTTGGGTATTATGCAATTACCACTAGCAACACCAGAAGTCTGGTGGATCGGTTCGTTGTCATCGTCGTCGTTGGATGTGTTTTTGGTTCGAATGAAGAATCGTTACTATCCTCTGTACGCCAACCTACAGGGCTTTTATGCAAAATTGTCGCTATCTCCGCGCTTTCCCGAGCCAAATCTCCGGTGATGCTAGCCAAATACAAGATAATCGCTTGTTTGCCCTCATTCCCGATAAGCGTGTGGCTAAACCAATTTATGGTATTGCGGCGCAAGTGATATCCGAAGCCCAAAAAATAAGCAAAACAAATCGAAATACTAATTGTGATACCCCGTTGCTCAGGGAAGTTAAATCTGCATGTGGATGAGTGGGAAGATTTGATGTGACTTTAAACACTTTAAACGCACTTTATGGCTATGTCTATGACTATGACAATGAGTCAGCGCCATTATCTTAGATCTAACATTGTTTCCCGCCCAATTGTTTTTACTGCCAAATACGTAATCTTAATCTTGGCCAGCACTAACGTCAAGGTAAATGTTGATAAAGCGGGCTGCGCATTTCCGTTGACTGGAGTTTGCTTTATTTGCTAGTTGAATAAACATAATAACATAATAACAGATATTAACAAAAACTGAGCAGACCCACAGACAGACATTTTCCCCTCTCTTGATTTAATTTCACTCAATCTGATTTTTGGGGTCGTCAGCCCGCTGCCCTCACGAGTGATCGCCGAGTGCAGTTGTTGTCACCAATGACGCAGGCACAATCTTCCAGCTAGTATTCTTCTTAGCCAAAAATATCTTCGGTAGGCGTTGGTAAATTTTCGTTTGCGGGTTACTGTTTCAAGATTACGCTTCAGCTGTGATCTGCTGTCCGAAATGCATATCATTCATTTGGGACAGATCTGTCAGATGAGATAAGGCAAAGGGCTGAGGGTAGCGATATTGTATAACAGGCGGCGAAGCCCTTGAAATTTACGATCTAAGGTCGGACTTTCTAAAGTTCAAATATCACTCAAGTTGAATCCCCCTAAATTGTATACGTTAACTTTTTAATTGCAAACATAGGCTGCATATGAATGCAAATGAATTTGATTTTAATGAAATTTTTAAACTTTGTTGCATATGTTTATAAAATGTGAAATTACCCATTTAAATTTAATTATGTAAATGTAATTATGTAGCTTTTGGTACTCATAAACTTTTTATTGCTGCAATTAAAAACTGCAAACCTTAAAGTCCAAGATTGTGAGAGTAACTGCTAATTAATGCATTTATTTGCACTCGATTTATTATGATTTTATAATAATAAAAATCGGACTCTGTTTCAATTAAGAAATCCAAGTTTCCCCTGAAGCTTCAATTACCTACCATTACCATATGAAATGGACACCACCTGCAATATACATTACTCCCCTGAGGTCGAAACGTGGGCTTAACATCTGCCATGGATCCCACGATCCACAAAGTCTCCCATCGGCACCCTTTGAACTTCGCCCAGTCCCCGGCCTATTGCATATGCCCTTTGAGCCTGGACCGTCGAATTCCATGAAAATTGAACAATTAAGTGGAATTTGCTTTACTTTTTTTTTCGCCATTAATGCGGTTAAGCCATACAACAAAAACGTAAAATCGAGGTGGAAAAAATGAAAAATGTTAAATGGTGAATGGTAAATGCAATGCAGGCGCAGTCACATTGCGGTTTTCGTGTGTCTAGACAATACAATAAATACAGTTAGCCATTTATTTGTATTATCAAATATGTATACACTGCGAGTAAATAAAGCCATTAAGAGACACAGTCTTGACATTTTGTTCTAAGAAAAGTGTACTCAATTGATGAAAGCTCTATACAAAATAAGGTTTTCAAAAATGATTCGAATGTATAGGGTTGTAATGTTTTAGAACAATATTTTATATGAACAGAGCTTATTGTTGATTTCTTTTCTTTGGTTTTTTTTTATAAATATAAATATTTAGATGTCACTCTTGAAAGATTTTTATAATAAGTATTTGTATAAATAAAATACAATATATAAGTAAATTTTTGTATTTGCAAGTTTTTATTAAATTAATGATAAATGTTTGAAGTCTGTTATAAGCTTAGTGTTATTTTTACTTGCACAATGATGTGTTTTAACCCGCACACCCTTTTTTTTTTGTCAGTATGCATCTGTGATTAATATTATGACTGCTCGAGTGGCCATCGATGAGAAACTTTCTGCCTAGGTGAGTGCTAATTCGCTCGAAACCCAGTGGCTGGAGTGGACCCAAACCCAAATAGGCTTTGGGGTTTGCTGTCGAATCTGGGTGATAGGTGGGTAGGCATGCAAATGAGGCAAGGCGGCGGTGGGTGGTGACTCAAATTATGCAAGGGCACCTTTGCAATGGCCCCCGAGCAGGGACACCCTGCCCTTTGCAGTGGCGGTGGCAGCTGCAGCTGCAGCTCCTCCGTTAATGTTGTTGGCGCTGTGGTCGCGGCTTTGGCCAATGGTCTATGGTCGACTATGACGACGCCGATGGTGGTTGCAGTGGAGCGGTGGTGCGGTGGTGCGATGGCTTCCAGTGGAGCCGCGGCTCCACTCCACACTATTGCCTCATTGGCGTTTCACAAAGCGAACGGCGTTGGCTAAATTTGCATAAATTAACAATGTTTCGCAATTGCAGCCACTGATGCAGCGAATTCTTGGTGCCACCGGGGCGATGTGTCCACTGTCCCATGCGAGTGCGTGTGTGTGTGTGTGTGTGTGTGTGTTTTGTGTGTGTGTCACAACCGTGGGCACTGTGCGCGTTTTATTGATTTGATGCTCCAACGCACTTATTATCCCTCGGGCGGCCGCTGCCACTGCCTGTTAATCCCCTGGCGATGCGATGCCATTTGGCACGCCCCTCCATCCTCCGCCCATCACTCTCCACCAGTGGCTCCCACGCCCAGATACACAGACAGTGAGGAGGATATATGAGCATTAGGGTGAGCCACATATCAGCGAAGTTGATCGATTGCGGCTCATTAGGGCTCCATTCATTTTGGAGGATGGTGAACTGCGTTTCGATAACTGAGATGGGCAAAATCATCATTGGAGATAGGATAGTGGGCGGAGACGAAGAGATGCTAAAGAATTCGCGGTTCCCTTATTAAACTATTCGATTTAAAGCTATATAATTTCTCCGAATTTCTAAAGGAAAACCCTTTACTGTCGTTTTTAAATTTTCAATGGGCTGTTCATACTTTTAATTCCATATTAAAAAAAAAAAACATTTTTACATCATTTTATATGGATGCTGTACACCATATCTAACATTAATTATTTTATGAAGAAGAGAAAAGTAAATTGACGTAATGTGACTGGATTTCGAAGGAATGTTTTTAATGGGCTTGCGATATAACACTAACCTTCAGACGGGTAATTAAAACTCAAAATCTAATTTTAAAAGTGCTTCCAAGAATTTAAAAAAAGAAGATAAGATGGGAAAATAAATTATAGAGCTCAGTTTTGATAATCTACAGAGCTACAAGCTCATAAATAAACCTCAGCATCGTTGACAGAAAACTCTTTTTCTTTTCTTTATCACCTTTTAAAGTGAATCACCCCAATGCAAATGTTTTAACTCGTTTCCATTTTAAGCTGGTCCAATATGGCCGTTCATTCAATCAATTAGTCATGTACCAAGCAAGCTTTTTTCAATGTTGCAGTGTAATAATGTTATTTTTAAAACGCACTGGCAAATATGACTGATTATGGATACATTTAAAAAGAAACGTAAATGTAAAATGTTACAAATGTTAATAGTTTCACAAATAATTAATCAGGTGGGGAGGTTAACCATTTTGGTGGAGTCCAAACATACTGACTTCATTTGGAACAAATACATTCGCTTTTTTTTGCATTCTTCAAATTGTTTAGAGTTCAAAAAACATTTATTTTTGTTACTTGATATTTATTTATGTAAAAGCGATCTGCCTCAAAATGTAATTGAGTAAAAAGTTAGTTTGGAAAACATGTTAGTTACAAATATTCCATATAAAACTTTTCTTGTGTATAGTTATTTGATTTTGAAGTTATTTTTGTTAGCTTTAATGATAGATAAACATTATTCTAACCAATGTTGAATTATACGTGTTTTCATTGCCAAGATATGGTGAAACTCTGTCGCTATCAGCTCTTCTTTTTATTGTGATTGCTAATCACAGATGTTTAATCCATTTCGGATGTTATTATACTTTGATTTTAATTAACATATATGTTGAGGACGATAAAATGATAAGATAACGCAATCTGACTTCAAGAAAACTGTTTGCCGCAATGGGGATTTCATGGGGGATTAGGTGTGTTAAAAATATTCACTGACATTTAATGGATGCAATGTGGGAGCAATAAACCGGAGATTCCGTTTTAAGAAAAAATCCAAAAGAAATTGCATGAGCAGATTTATTACAACCTTGAGTGTCCGTTCAAGTGCTGTCCCAGCGAATTATGAGAGATTCCATTTGGGATTGGCCCAGGATGGCCTCCATCTTGACACTCTGTTTTCTGTTTTCTATTTTCTGTTTTCAATTTGCATTTGCTGCAATTCCAGTGTCCTTCTGACGCTCTGATAAATGATTTCTTTTTAACGCTTCGATGGACTCAACTTAGCGGAGTAGTCCATGTCCGTGCCCGTCTAGCCTCTATCTGCCACATCCGGATGAGTCGGAGATGGCATTAGCTGGTTGTGGTGGTGTTGGTAGTGGTTGGGATAGATGGATGAATTCTGGGCCTTGGACGTCGCGCTTATTTGTTTATGTTGCACAAAGTAAACAACTAATTTTAATTTGCCGCAGGAGCCGCACAGCCACGACAAGATGACGACGACAACGACGACGACGACGACATAGACGATGGCCAAGGGCACTGGCTGGGAAACGGGAAGCTGGAGGAGGAACAGGAATCATCACCAAATCAGGGCAAATGTGAAATACCCTTGCAATCCCAAAAGACACAGTAGTAACATGATTATCGTAAACCGGTCAAAACCAAAGTGTTGATGAATTAACAAATTTAAATCTAAAAGAGTATTATTTAAATGCCTAAAAAGGGTTAAGACAACTACATACAAAAGGAAGGTAATATTATTCAGTGAAAAAATAATGAATGAAGAAACGTTCCTTTTCTTGTTTGTATTTTGAGGATCTACATAACATAAATTCTTTAAAAATCACTTTAAAAACAAACCTATTAACCGATTTATTTTACAGAACTTCTGACAACCAAAAATGAGGATATATTTGAACTATTGCGGAGGTGAAAGTGGATCTCAGGTAAAGAAGAGCTTTTCATGAAGGAAATTCGGCTTTTGTATAAATTGATCGATCGAATGAAATCAAGTTCCAGTTTGGCTTGAAGGTGAGTTTGATCAAGGACTTTCAGGCTGATAGATTAAAACCAACCAAACCAACCAACAGCTTGCTTTCCTCTAAATGCAAATTCATAAACCTTAAGTTTTGCAATACCCCCAATGACAAACTTTTGTAAGTTATATGTTGCAGACATCACAATCTTATGTCTCGGTTACGGCATCGGTTATCATCTGAAAGCTCCTTTGTGGTTCCGGTTTTAACCGATTCCACTGGTTAGGATCGCTTTGGGCCTCACTGCGTCGCAAGCTGCTGGTCAAAAGGATAATACCCCGCAGAGGACACAAGAAACGGGGACAAGGACATTGATGTGGGAATGGAAAGTGGCTGCCATAAAAGGGAAACACATTCCCATTCGCATTCGCATTCGCATTCGCATTCGCATACACAGACGGCAACAAACCGCAAAATAACCAAAGACATTTCTACATCCGACACCATCCCATTCCACACTACCTTCAACTTTCCATCGCGTTACCCACACAGCTGGATTTCCTTTTGTTACATTTGGCTCTCACTCTGTGTTTTCATTCTTTCAGCTCGTGGACATATGTAAATATGAGTGCAGCAGAGCAATCATAACAAAAATGCTGCACACTCAAATTATCCCTAAATAATTTAGATCTGTGCGGGCGAGCAACGCGGTGGGTACCTTTACCTTTTACCTTTTACCTTTTACCTTTTGAAGCCTGTATGGTGAAGCTGATTTCGGGGTTTGCTTATCTTTCATTTCATATTTTTGGCCAGCAAAAGGAGGCGCTTGGAGGCGGGGGAGGACCCAACATGAAAGCGGAAGCGGAAGTGCTTACCTCTACACACACACATGCCCATGGGAGTGCGGGCTTCTGGAGGTTGAAATCCAGCACCTGGAGAAAAACAGCACAGTATTTGTTAACTAAATGCATTGATTGTATAAGGTAAGTGTTTATTTTTGTATTGTTATTATTAAAATAATTAAAGCAACGATTTTCAGTAAAGTCTAATCTTAATTCTTGATAATTAAATACAATTTATTGCGGCTTAATTAAAGAAGCACTGGGTCAAAAGATCAAATGTTTATGAATTAATGATAATATAGATCATATGTTTGTCTTTTTAATTTAAACTCAAATATGTTTAATGTGTGCAAGCTTTGTTTACAAAATATTTAGTAACATTAATATAGCTTGCACAATTTTGAGTCTGTTTAAGCTGAAAGTGCTCCCCGAATTGGCAGAGGTGGGGAATCCCCTCCTTCTGCCTACTCAGCTTTAAATTATGTCCACAGGTGCACTCACACACACACATTTAGCGTTTGACTTTTATGCCAAACAAAACAAAAACATTAAATTGGCATTAGCGAGGCGAGATATGAAAGATTGTTGGAAAAGACTCCAAAAACCAGACATTATATTAGGCAACGAAACTCTCATATTATAAATAATTTGTGGGTGCATGACAATGCTCATGGGGGTCAAATAAAAGCCCTTAACTCACTTTTTAGAGTGCGTTAACGCCCAATGGTGCTAAATCTTACAATATAGTTTTAAAAATTAATTCAAAAGTAGTGTTAAATGTGTAACCATTATTTATAAAAGCTTATCGGTTCGAAGAACTTGAATTCCTTATTGAGAAAACGGACCTAAGCAAAGCAATATTATCTATCCATGAACACTGATAGTGGCTAGTTTTTAAGTTTTCAGTTTGCCAAACTTTTCGGACTGCCCTCGCTTGGCTGCGTTTAGAGCAAACGGCTAATTGAAATTTGCCATTAATAATGCAAAAAGGTCTCGGTAAGAAACTTTCGGTACCACCCAACCACTTGAGCCCGTATATGTATGTGGTGCACATATGTGTGTGTGCGTGCCATTTTAAATATTTCAAATATTTGTAACATTTGTGCGGTGACTGCCGGAGTAAGGAAACGTGAGATGAGGAGATGAGGGGGTGGTGCGTTGGGATGGCGTTGGTTGGGCTGAAATCCGGTGGTTGGGGTGGATCGGCCTTGCCATTTACCGCACGCCAAAAACATCAACATCAGCGACGGAGAAGGCGACGGAGAAGGCGAAGGGATGGACAAGCCAGGTGAATCCAAGTGGAGTGGGCTAGTGGCCCAATGGTATGGGCCAGTATGCTTATTTTCTGGTCCGTCAGCCGCCGGTGATGTCGACGTCACCGTCACCGTCACCACATGTAAAAATGTAACCCCAACCGCCTTTTGCCGGCGGATTTGTTTCTTGTTTTTTTTTTTTTCATTTTTTTTTTTTTTTTTTTTTGAGAAGTTGTGTGTGTGTGCTGCTGTGATTTCGCGAACTGGCGACTGGCAACTGTGACTGTCCAAAAAAAAAAATGGGAAATAAATGAACAAGGGTGAAGTTCAGAGGGGATGTTGTTGAATAAACCGAGCACACGTTCAAGATGGAAAGCTCGAAAATATGGTCGAGGGGCGAAATTTCGAATCCAGTGACAAAACCAAAGTTCTGAAGGTGTGGGAGGAAAGAAGCTGCGTAGCAATTACTAAGCCCTAGCAATTTAAAGATTTCGAAACTTACCCATTTTTAATGGTAAATAAAATAACAAAAAAAACTTTAATATCTTTACATTATTGTTGCTATTAGCTGCTGTGTTTTTTTTATGCTTTAGGATAATTTAGAGTCTTTGCTCATAAGAGCTTAAAATTAAACCTGCAGAGAGAGAACATTGAGCTGCCAAATTCCACGTTTTTGTAGCAAAAACAACATAAGAAAGAGTATAAGAAAAACATTTATTTTACTTAAAACATTAAATTTTATCTTTCTAGATCTAGTTTGTTAGTTTCAATAACAGGCTTTTTATAAGTAGTCAGTTAACGATAACCATTGTCAAAATAATAATAATAAATAAATTAACTGATGTTACACCTAAAACGTTTGCTTGTTTTTTGGGTGTAAGTTTTTTTTTATTTATTTGTTATTTTCACGAGGATTTCTAGTTTTTTGTTTATTTTTTTTTCGGTTGATCCTTTATTTATTGCTTATCACGATCTCTTTGAATGTTCAGTAAATTGTAAAACAAAATCGCATCTCCCGGGCTGCCCTGTCTTTACCTTATTATTTATTTCTTACATACTTTCAATTTTTTTTTTTGCTCCTTTTCGTTGATTATTATTTTACAAAACAAAACAACAACGGCAAACAGAGGCCAAAACGAATGCCAGACCCAGGGATTCAAGGCATGGGTATGACTGGAGGGAAAGGGGGGGAAAAAACTTAAAAAAAAAGATTGAAGAAAGTGAGTAGGAAAAAAACGAACAGGAAAATCTCTTGAGGCTACTGAAAACTTCGTTCCTTTTCTGGTTTCCTGGCCGGGCTTTTCCTTTACCTTGGGCAATGGTCGTACTTACACATTTCTTATGCTGCTTCTTGGCTTTGCGCCTTGGCGTCTCGGTCCCCAGTTGCCGCCCATCGTCCTTTGTCCCATCGTCCTTGTGCTGCTCCGTCTCCTTTACTCCTTCACTCCTGGCCTATCCTGGTCCGCCTGGCGTCCCTCTTCCACTTACGGGCTTTTTTCGTCGTCGGCGGCTGCGACGGCGGCAGTGGTTTAAACACATGAAACAATTATAAAGTTGCCAAGAAATGTAAACCCAAAGAGAAAACAATTTAATTGAATTTAACCAGGGGGTTGTCATATCCTAATGGATTTAAAACAACAACAACAACAACAATTACAACAAGAGGCAACCACAACTACAACAACGACTACATCAAATACGAATGCTTTATTTGGGAAGCATAAAAAAGTAGAACTGGGAACGTACATTTTGGGGATGGTGACCCACTGGAGAGGAAAACCCCCAATCGATAGTCGGCCATTTAATTAATATTTTATTATTTGCTAGTGGTCAGAACGAACTTGAGGGTTGAAGAACACATGATTATACCCTTGCAGAGGGTATTATAATTTCAGTCAGAAGTTTGCAACGCAGTGAAGGAGACATCTCCGACCCTATAAAGTATATATATTCTTGATCAGCATCACTAGGCGAGTCGATCTAGCCATGTCCGTCTGTCCGTCTGTCCGTCCGTCTGTCCGTCTGTCAGTCTGTCCGTCTGTCCGTCTGTCCGTCCGTTTATATGCAAACTAGTCTCTCAGTTTTAAAGCTATCTGCATGAAACTTTCCCAAAAGTTGTCTTTCTATTGCAGGTAGTATATAAGTCGGATCGAGCCGGATCGGACGACTATAGCATATAGCTCCCATAGGAACAAACGGAAAAATAAATGAAAAAAAATTATAACTTTGCTGTTTTTTAATTTTTTGTTTAGTTCTTCGACATTTAGCAATGGTTAAACATTTCCGATTTACGGTTTAAATTTCATCAAAATCGGACGACTATAGCATATAGCTCCCATGGGAACAATCGGAAAAATAAATGAAGAAAATTATAACTTTGCTGTTTTTCAATTTTTTGTTTAGTTCTTCGACATTTAGTAATAGTTACATATTTCCGATTTACAGTTTAAATTTCATCAAAGTCGGACGACTATATAATATAGCTCCCATAGGAACAATCGGAAAAATAAATGAAAAAAAATTATAACTTTTCTGTTTTTTATTTTTTTGTTTAGTTCTTCGACATTTAGTAATGGTTAAATATTTCCGATTTACGGTTTAAATTTCATCAAAGTCGGACGACTATATCATATAGCTCTCATAGGAACAATCGGAAAAATAAATGAAAAAAATTATAACTTTTCTGTTTTTTAATTTTTTGTGTAGTTCTTCGACATATAGCAATGGTTAAATATTTCAGAATTATGGTTTAAATTTTATCAAAATCGGACGTCTATATCATATAGCTCCCTCAGAAATAATAAAAATATATAAAATAACTATCAGATAATTGAGCTGCAAATCATCATAGCTTCAATGTTTTTAAACATAAACGAAAGTAAATCATAATTTTAATGTTTTCAAAAATTTTTAATTCTTGCAATAGCTGCAAGGGTATATGAACTTCGGCTTGCCGAAGTTTGCTTTCTTTCTTGTTTTATTTTTGTATCTTAACAACAAAAGTCTATGTATGCATGTACGATATGTAAATTGTTTAAATATATGAAATACATTTAAAATAAAAAATTTATTTAAAACGAGCTTCTTGAAATTTAAAACAAAGACAAATTATTTAAAGCTTGTGTTAAATAAATTTAAATACTTTTTGGGAAAATTCCTTGTGTTAAATTAAATAAATTTAAATACTTTTTGGGAAAATTCCTTTCCGCCTTCTAAAATGCATTTAAAATATAATTGATCTGCTGCCTCAACTGACAGTTTTTAATTTCTCTATTATTTCACTAATTGTTAAACGTTAATTAAATGTTAATGTTATATTTTAACTGTGATTACTATATGAAATTTTTTGACAAAAATATATACAGTATTTATTTGCAATATTACAAAAATCCGCTTGATATTGATCAGACGTTTACATTGTTGATCTATTTATTTATTTATTTATTTTTTTATATATCACCAGACAAAGAAATTTGATCATGACCTTGATGTTGTTGTTATCGCTTATAATGTTGGTATTATTTTTACATATTGTGAGAGGCTTTGCAATTCCAAAAAAAATGGAAAACAAAGCGTTTGTCGTATTGAATGAATTTGTTGTCCATTGTTAAATACGTTGAATTATACGCCTATTTTTGAGCGCCACTGTTTTGTGGAACTTTAAGTAGCCATAACTCTGGCGGTGGCCAAATTGGCGACATTGCAGTCGTCTGCTCTGCTTCTTGCCAGTTTTCATTGTCGTCCTGCGACTGACACCACCCCCATCATCCCCTACCAACCACCAGCCCGCCCACTTTTCGGCCTCACCCTTAACGTTCCGCCCACCAAATAACATGCCGCCACTTTGATTCGGCATTGAAATTGAAATCCGCTTATTTGATGCTGGAA